ATGTATTTTAATTAGTAATGCATAAATATTACATGTTACATTTTTTTATATAATTATGATAATCATCACCTGCTTTCGTCGTCATCTAGTCCATCGTTTTAGAATCGCATATAAATTGCTTCTTTTAGTTTTTAAATGCCTCAATGGTTCTGCGCCTTCGTACTTAAGCGATTTAATTCAAATTTACACACCCTCTAGAACTTTGAGGTCCTCATCTGATTGTTTACTGTTATGTCAACGGCGATCAAGATTAAAAACAATAGGTGATAGAGCATTCAGTGTTCATGCACCAAAAGTTTGGAATTCGTTACCTTTTAACATCAGAAATTCTTCAACAATTACAATTTTTAAGAAAAATATTAAAACTCATTTATTTAAAGAAGATTTTAATTTATAACTATAATATTTTTTGAAGAATGCATATTTTAATCCAGATCGTGATATTTAAATACTTTTATTTTGTTATCTATAGTTTTCTTATATTATATTATTTGCAGTTTTATGTATAAGTTTATTAAATTTTATGTAAGTTTATTTTATTTCTAAATTATTGTATTGTACTTTGTGTGTGTTATATTGTTTTTACTACTTATTTTGTAAAGCGCATTTGAGCACTATGTGAATTGTGCGCTATATAAATGTTCTTAATAATAATAATAATCGTTAGTGAACAATTGGTTGTAATCTTTCAAAGGGTTGTTAAAAAAAATATAGTGATTTGTTCATTGGCATATCGAAATATAACTATTTTTTTGTGTGTGTTGTTTCTGTTGATTGCTTATACATAGGACACACAAGGCCAATTTTTACGGAGAACCAGCAAGTTTCGCCTAGTATGTCTGGACCTGCGAACTTCCCACGAGCTTCGGTAGACACCATTCGGCAATAAAATGTTTTATATTTATCGCCCGAATATTTACTTCTCCCGACCCGTTCGTTGAGTGTGTCCACTCCGGCAAAAAGTGTCGCAGGTCATAGAGTTCCTCGGCCATTTAAATCAAGATGGAAGCCCCCAACAACATCGTGTGGACAAAAGCACACCAGCGCCTGCGAGAAATATGCCAACCGCGTTCCCCGGTCGAGCTATAGGTGAATCAAATTCCCATATTGTGTTCCCAGACATCAGATAAATATATCATATAATAATATTCGGATATATGTTGTAAATGCTTTTTGTTGTGAATATTTATCTTGACGTACGCATACCTAACTTAAATTGTGATATGGATATTAATTCAAAAGATTCAGCCAAACCCTGCAGATATACAGATAGGGGCTTAATTGTTAGAATATTATATGAAATGTATTTACTTGTGTCGTTTATCTGGATTGTATAGATTAATAAATATCGTATAGTAATATTCAGATATGTGTTGTAAAGATTTTGTGGTAATTAAAATGTTTGAACGTCCGCAGCCAACTGAAATATTATTTGGAAGATTCAAGCATCTCAAGAAAACAATGTCAAATTAGTAGGCGTAGGACGTCAAAACCCATTTCATTTCATTCACATCAGTAGGTCTATTGCTTCCGGTCGTTACAGGTTTATATTGCAAATGCTTAGCTTGTTAAAAGAAACAGGGTTCATCTTAAAAGCCCCCATGATACTTTTTTTCTTATTGACGCATATAAATATTTTGTTCTGATATATTTTAACCAGTCGTATATTTCACGATATGTGTTGCACAATATTCATTTATTCCATTATTTTTGTGTTTCGGTACATGGGATTGGACACGAGTTTATTATGAGAGCGTCTCGCTAGCTATTGCATTAATGTAGTATATATAACTGCTTCAATGCCCATTCAGTTTACTGAACAAAAAGTATTGAAATATCCGTAATGGAGAAGCCAACTCCTTTTAAAAACAATTAAAGATTGAAATTAGCAGAACCCGTAACAAATCCGAACGGAAATAAATACTATAAACCAGGGGCCTTTTTCACAAAATTTTAACTAAGATAAAATCCAAATTTTAGTAATTTCATTGGATAATACTAGATTGATTTTAGTGCTTAGCCAATCAAATTTGAAGTATCTACTAAAATTTGGATTTTATCTTTAGTTAAAATTTCGTGAAACAGGGCCCTGGTCATATTTAATGTACTGTGCTACGACACAGGAGGATTGGTGCGTTGCCTTTTGTCAAGGGTTCTCTTACATGCACGGCAACGGGTGAGCCTAGATTGTACGTCCCATTTAACCTACTCGACGCTTGTAAACTTGTCACGCTCTCCGAACTGCGCCAATGGCATAGGGGAACCATGGTCGCAAACTCCGAGGAACTTACCCCGCACGGTGGCCAAGTGGGTGAGATGCTGGCTGGCTAGCCTAGAGGTCGCGGGTTTGCTCCAGGTGTTGGCCGAGAAAGTTTATCGGAATTTTCCGACGTGTTTCCCTTGTCAGTGGTAAAGAACAGAGTGCCTGGCAAGGATAGCTGTCTAGTCGTTCGGATGGGACGAACAACCAAGGTCCCGTGTACACATTGGCGTGTACGTAAAAGATCCCTTGGAAGTCGGAATTCGATACAAGAGGAGGCCAGTCGGAGTAGGCCATTAAACCCCATTTTATTTACTCGGCCAACAGCGATTAGAGGGCCAGAGCTATACTTACTAATCAGCCAAAGCCCCATGCCGAATGGAATTGCTGTGTTGCTGTGAAAAAAATTGCTTACTAATAATACCTGTCATGCAACTGTCACAAACATAAAATCATAAATGTGCCGGTGAAGCAGATCTGCAATAACATGGGCAATAGATATAAACATCTCAATAATTCCTAGTTGACATTGATAGTCTGTCAGTAATTTAAATGTTATCATTTACCTCCAGTATACAAATTGTGGCATAATATATAATCGAAAAAAATATGTACCTGCTTGGGATGTAAGGTATATGAACAAATTCCGGGGTTTCATCTACACCTTGGTTAACCCTAGCTCACAACCCGCCGTACGTGTTTTAACACGCACGGGTCGTGGGCATTCTGAACATCTGAGACACGCTACCTGCGGAGAAGTATCTCAGACACAGTCAGTAGCCATGATATCCATATCTCGTGATCTACACATCACAGGTCATGACATTGGCGTCAATGGGTCATGAGGTCAACATTGTAAACAATAGGTTTATCTTCAGCATTGTGTCCGTTGCACCCATAAAGACTATATAATTCGTAGAGTCCCAACATGTTCTCTCTTCTTCCAATGATTTTTCACAAAAATAACATCTACAACTCATAGAATTAACGTTGTCTTCAATGACAGCGTCTGCGAGGGTTGTTCATAGAGGCCGCCATATTGCACTATTTTGTGCGCCGGTCGGGTCTATTTCAAATAAACACAATCAATTCTGTTGATGTTTTTAGCGTTGGGATTGACTAATAGTTAATGTGTTTCAGTTCTAAAACAAATATTTTAAACTTTAACGCAAATTTAGAAAATAGCCAAATTCTGGCTGGGATTACTGTATACACGTAAGTGCGAAAAAAAGGCTAGCCACCAATTAATTTTCGTACGTTAGTTACGTACGGGGTCGTGGGGTTTGGCAGCTCGCGGACCGGCAGCAAGAAAGTTTTGTAAAAAGTACGGACATAGTACTTGTCATGTATAAACCACACGTCTGACTTATTCAAAGAGTGGAGAAATGTCTTCCTAAATCCGTGGATAGCGTAACCCAGACGTACGTGCTCAGTGCGTCAGTAGTTCTTGTGGAGTACGTGTGACTTAAAATTAACCAATTTCGTGCAGCAGAAGTACGGACCACGTTTGTTATGCCCGTGGTTAGCACGTGCCAATTACTCCTGACTTTAATGTTTTGTCTCCGGCATATCGACCAAAGAAAATTAATATTTTCATTTAGATTAAAACATGAGATCAAGGAAGAGGACGGGCTCAAAGAGTAAATCGACTGATCCTCCAGAAAGGGCAGAGGAGCGCCCAGAAGCATAAGTCTTCTGGAGACGTGACACGCGAATACGGAGACAGTTGTGTGGGGTCGTGCATTCTTAGACACCCTGGTGCTCCTGTGTGTTTTCAACTGCATTGTTGTCAGAAGGCATCTCCAACGGTGTGACAGAATGCCAATACTGAAAACACGATATGTGCGGTATTTGAAAATACGTTGGGGTCTTGTCACCCCACGAAGGCTGTTGCGCTGCATCATCTAAGTTCGTAATGGAAGGCGTCATCTCTCACCTAGAAGGAGGGTATGTCCCTATCACCCCTGGGCAATGGTTCTGGAGGAGGAAGACCAAGTTCATCCTTGTCCAGTGTAGAACAAAGGCTTAATCACTTGAAGACCCCACAATCCGACGCCGACCCAAAGGCACCAAAGGCCACCCACAAGAACTTGCATCGAGCATCCACAAGGCCCAAGAGTATTATCGAAAATAATCCTTTGTAATTGTAGTACTCTGACCACTCTTCTCGGGCTTCTTAATATGGACGTGTTTTCCGTCAATGGTTGCAACACAATGGTAATAGATCTAAAGTATGGATTACATAGCTGCCACCTCGAGCCATATGTCGTCAGTCTCAGAAATGCTAAGTAGTCCATCTCTGTATTCCTCGTATAAAGCACGATACACCCGTGACTTGTAAATATTCACTGTAGCCAGGAATCGGATGGTTATAGCCAGCTTTAGCCCAGATTAACGTGGACGGTTGCTTCGTGGGCCCTTCGTAATGCGGGCTGCCAGGGGGCATCCACATCTACGCCACAGTGTCTCCTCGTGACTCCCTCTCTAGCTTTCCGAATAGGTTGTGATACTGGCTGTTCAATCCATGGGCATACCCACAAACGCCTCTGTCGCCTTGCGTTTGATATTCCTGTATTAGTCCCCGAAGACTGCCCGTAGTAGCACGCACTGTGAGCTAGGCTTTACTCTGAGATCAAGGAACTGCGACTTGAAATGAAAGGGAATTTTTTCTCACACAAACATTACCTTCTATCAAGCCATTTAGTTGTTTAAAAGTTTGGCCGTTTGTCGGACACCCACCAGCAATTTCAAAACACGTTTATTTTTCATTTCTCGTTGCAATATACACATAATGATAAGTTACGCTATGATCAAGGAAATAACAGTATTATTAAAGGATTTTTAAAACAACAAACTTTACCTTTTATCAAGCCGTCTAGACTTTAAAATTTGACAGTGGCGTGTTCGTTTGACATCCATTAGCAACGTTTAAATTATTCATTTCTCTTTGTCGATCAGTTATACACGAGAAGTTTTGCTTTTTTGATCAATTAATATGATAATAAGCCTTCAGGGATGTCTACAGCGATATTTGCTCAGGGATAGACTCTAAAACACATTTGTTTGGCCGAAAGAAACTTATACATGAACAATTTAACTTAATTTGTACAAAGCAATTATACAGCATGCAACGAGATATGCAGTATCATAGATTCTATTGTAACGTGGACGGGAAATCTTTCTTTGTTCTCTTCGTTGAATAAACTGATTGTTTTCCCTCTAGTAGACTGACTGGGGCTTAACCGTGCAATAACTAGACATTTTCGATGTTATTGCACACTCTCGCTGGTTTCCTCTAGTTTTAGTAGAAATCATATAGAGAAGTGGGGTGAGTTTTCAGACCAATAACAACGAGCATGTTGAGTAGGTGTCAGTGTTACAAGTCATTTATAGCACGTTTCATTCGTTAACAGGTTTAACACCTCGGCCTACGGCCGTGCTATAAATATAACTTATGCTTACATGAGCGTATAAAAATGGACGTAATCGAATTATCATCGTTTTCGCTATTAACTTCCTGGTATATTATAAATTCATAAAGATTTCACAAGTGTATTAGATGTTTTGCCACACCCAAAATGAATCAGTTTGGAACACTAAATTGCCGTCTGTACAAGCCAAAATACATTAAAATAATAATAATGACGATATTCAATCTACCAGAGAAGAGAATTTTTACGCCCAAGTAAATGTTCTGATTTTGAGTTGTTTATAATAGTGACTAAATAACCACATTTCACTAATTAGATATAAAATCTGGCAGAGAATCACTTTGTTTGATATATTCTGAAAGTGTATTCCACACAATGGATGATATTCATAGACCAATTCTGAATGTCTTCAAGTTGTGGGAAGGCACATCCAACATAGATTTTAATTTGCCATTTTGAACGTTTTGAACATTTAGGGTGATAAAATGATACTAGATATTTAAAATAGTCTATTTGTTACTCGAAACGGAAGCAACGTTGATTTAATTTTATTCACAGTATAAATAGCATGATTTTAAACTCTGTGCAGATTTTAAACGTTATAATAGTCACGCCTGGACAGCACAAATGATCAAGGGGTCTGTTCACATGGTATTCGAAACATAGATGGAAGTCTTGAAAGATTGGGTGTCACACTTCTTGAGTCTGTGAGCAGGGCCCACAAGTTAGTGTTCATCTGCAAGATCAATTGAAACAAGAATTAAAATGTATGACAAACATGAAGACAAAACCTACAGAATGGGAGAAATCGTTTCTAATCATTGAAAAGGGGAAATGGACATAATCTTAGATTATTATGATATTTATGTGATCTCCGAACTTAAGATGTGAGTCTTAAAATGACCCAAAGATTTTTTACAATTGAAATATTTAGTGTTCCACCTCTTGGGTCTTTGATCAGGTCCCACAAATTAGTGTCCATTAAAAAAATATTAAAATGTTTCTACAAAACCTACAGAATGGTTCAAATCGTTTTTAAACATTGAAAAGGGGAAATGGTCGCGATCTTAGAATATGCTTAGACCAGAGAGACTTAAAGTTTACACTGTAAACATACACGAACAAGATAAATACTTTTTTTCCGTCCTGGGTGTTAGATTTAGATAAAGATAGTCCACGTTCAGAGAAAGGTGGAAGAAACATTTGGATATTTACTAGGTATTTCGATAAAAAGGAAGCCGAGTCTGATAATACAAAAATGTAAATTCACAACACATGTTATGATGCAGAGAACCTGCAATTGAGAGTGCCCGAAACCAGATTTATTTTTCGCCCACACAATATTTAAAACCAGGTAGTCAACATGAAGACTTACGTTGCCAACTCGAGATGGTTAAATCGAGTCCTTCATGAGGGCTCGCTGAAAGCTTTAAAGTCTGTCTGTGAAAGACAGTCGATGGTTTCCATTTATTTTCTACATAATTCTCTTCGAGGTGTACACATTTATGCCAATATATAGAGTGGACCACGGCCTCGTTTATTTGTACTATATAAACTGACCTGTTTTAACAGCATGTTGTCACGCGGATCAAAACAGCGTTTATGAGAAAAGTGCTCTCATGGGATCGCTCGTGCATTTTTCATGCCATGGTAGTGAAAAATTAAGTTTTTGAAAAAAAAAGTCCAAATAAAGAGTATTTTCTATGTAGATTGCTTGCAACTTGTTTAATTTTTTCAAAGAACTCAAATATTGCCTTTGCGCCGCTGTACATAAAGCATCCTGTATACTAAAAGTGCCGTTATTTTTGCAGCTATTCTTTGATTTTGATTTTCTTTCACCAGCGTGTTGCCAAAATACATATAAAGCAAATAAAAAAAAGACTTTAGGTGATACCTAACGTGCAACCTCTGTATTGGGCACAGCTCATCAATTATAATTACACGAAACAGGGGTAAAAGTTATTTTAGTCTTTCTCTACCTTTTTCCTTTCCTATGGTGTAGAAGCGAAGAAAAGAGTTTGAATATACATTTTCTGTCGGGTTTCGGTGAATATTCACGATTTTGAGGCTGAAGGATAGGAGAGTTAAGGTTGAAATGTAGGGTGGAAAGTTGCATTTTTTTTTTATCTATCTCTACTTCCAGTTTGTCTTTCTCTGGTTTTCGACGACAATACATCGGATTATCCAGACGCATTTAAGGCTCGGTATTATTATCTGCACTCTTGCCCATTGATCACAACTTTAATTAAGGTTTTGTAGTTCGTATTAGTGATTACATGTTGCAGCTTACTGAGTCATATATTAATATTGAAAAGTATACTTAAAGAAGAAGAAGTGTCATTTGAAACTTAAGACACTTATTGGGGCTTTAATTTGCAGCTAATACACGCATTAAAAAAAGTCATCATGAACCTAAGTGGTAAAGTAGCCTTGATCACTGGGGCAGCACAGGGTCTTGGCAAAGCTTTCTCTGAGACACTTCTCTCTAAAGGAGCTAAGGTATGCATGGTGAAGTATTATTAACCCATTAAACATTTACAATTTCAGAATTCAAGTCATATTAAACAATTTATTATAAATATATTAAAGATATAATGTAGGTTAATAATACAGACTTCGTTTTTCAGGTTTGTTTAGCCGATATCAAAGTCCAAGAAGGGCAGATAACTACTGACGCACTAAGGAAAAAATTCGGGAAAGACAGCGCATTTTTCATAAAATGTGACGTTACGTCTGAAAAGGAATTTGCAAGTAATGTATTTTATATTTCTTTTGTTACTTTCAAGTAATCATATAAATTTGATTGATTTTTAAATAGAAATGTATTACTTCGTTATGATATTATTATTTAATTAGTTTATTTATCATATATATTATGAAACTTTTAAAGTATTTTACATGGGCCCTATTTCAATTCCGATCTAATGAAATTTATATATTTTAAGATGTGTTTCAAGCGATAAAGAGTAGATATGGCCGATTGGATATTTTAGTAAATAATGCAGGTATCGTTGACGAAAAGAACTGGAGAAAGTTGATTGAAATTAATTTGGTACGTCTTTTTTTCACACCCATTTATACACCGCTGATCTGGTCTTAATTGTCGATAAGAAATCATGCACCGGAATTAACAAAATCGGCAGTTCACATATTTTGAGTTGATTGTCACTACTAATATTATTAGCTTCCGAAAATATACGAGAAAGGCAGCATGACGTAAGTAGTCGGTGCAGAACAGTAGGACGTTAAACTCCATTTCGTTTCAATTGCACGTCCAGAGTATCAGCATCATGCCCTCGTCGACGCATTAAACGGGGCCGCGTTGGGTCTTATGTAGCCTTTGTGAAAATTTATTAGAGCTGATTGTTTAACCAAGGTGTGCCACCGTGTCAAATGGTGTGGTTTCGTTTCCAGGACTGTTCGGACAAGGAATAAGGTCGCCTGCTTAACCGCGTTGATTTTCGCTGTGTTTTCTGTTTTTCCTCCATTATCAAATGATCCCTGTGTGCAAGCGGATTATTAAATTAAAGATACGCCGCGTTGGGAGGTCTAGTGGGTTAACGGGTGTGTGTGAAATCATAAGATATGTCATTTAGTCAAGAGGCGAGGTTTCGGTTCAACGCTTGTAGTGTACGTGTCAAGGAGTAGGGTCGACTTCCAGGCCTGCGAGTCAGCGTCTTACCCACCACCGTGACCATGGATCGTCTTGAAACTTTGTATACTTATTCATTATACCATAATTATGATCCCTATTGTTTTTGGTGAAAGCCCGACCCCTATGGACTGAGCTACACCCATTTTGCTTTGTGTGTTTGTGTGTTGCCTACAGGCCACAATTTTTAATGGATTGTCTTGGAAATTGATATAAGTATTCTTTATAGCCCAAGGATGGCAAATATTGATTTTGGTGCATGTCCCAACTCCTAGGGATAGAGCCACGCCCAATTTTTGTGTTTATCGTATATTGGCTGCAGTTCTGAATGGATCATCTTCAAACTTGGAATATGTATTCCTTATAGCCTAAGGGCGGCAACTATTGATTTTGGTGTATATCCCGATCCCAGGGACAGAGCCACGCCTATTTTTTGTGTTTAGCGTCTGAAGGCTACATTTCGGAATGAATTATCTGGGAACCACATGAATCGATGCAGGAGTGGACGTATATTGCAGCGATAGCGATGCTCTCGTTGTTCCTTATGTTAGACCAACACGCATTCGCCGGGCGAATTTCGCCCCGCAATCTATAGACTGTAATATCAACTGTAAGAAGTTGTCAGAGTTGCATGCAGCCTTGTGAGGACACCTGTCATGACGTGGAGCGATAGGTAAACGAGGCAGAAGAAATTAACCTTGTGAAATTCTTGTGCAGTTTTAACAATATATGAGTTTATCTTTTCTGCAGTTAAGCGTGATGCAAGGGACACAACTGGGTATAGAAACAATGAGTAAAGACCATGGTGGAAATGGGGGTGTTATCATCAATGTATCATCAGCAGCTGGTGAGATAAAGTTTAATTATTTCCTCATCAATGCCATGACTATTTTAATTTTAAAAATAATTATGCCGCTGACAACAGATCTGGCGTATTGATTAAAACTGCAGACCAGTCTTGTAGCTTTTGTAACATCCATGTTTTCCTTTATGGATTCAGTTGAAACTATAGCTGCAATGTGGGCGTATTTCCAGGGTTTGAGTAGCTGTCTTACATTTCGATTAAATAATAAAATTGTTACTAATTAATTAAAGAACTAACAATACATTAATTGACGTTAGACTCAACTTGTTTATATTTAGGTCTACAGCCAATGTTTATTACCCCAGCTTACTGTGCTTCTAAATTTGGTGTTGTTGGATATACCAGAAGTCTAGCGGTAAGCATGGCCGCAGATCTTATTAAATTTTAGGGGGGGGGGGCGGAGGTGGCGGGCTCTGAGACCATTTCTGAGCATTCTGCAGAGATGAATATACCGAGAATAAATTGTCGTTTTTGAGCGAGAATAACCAATAACTACATGTACACAAACAGGGGATGAGGAATATTCTTTATTTCATCATAATGAATAATTTCAACCGACAGGCCGTCATCAAATGCCAACATATTATAATATTTCCTGCCAGATTGGCGATTCGATTTCCAAGATGGCGGCCTCCATGAGTGACCCGACGTGCCTGGCCTAAGTTCATTTTCTTTTGAATTTCAGTTAAAATATAAATATTTTGGACATTTCTAATACGAATACGGTAAAAGGTAGTTATGAGGGCTTAGAGTGCTGGCGGACTGGTTATATTACAAAAGTTAAAAATATTTATTATTAAACTTTAAAAATATAAACAGTAAACCACAGATGATATAGACTGATTAATCAAAGAAGTCCTCGCAATATAGGGATATAGGTACATTGTAGGCTACTAAATTGCCGGTCACGGATGAAAATGTGATGAATAATTTCTCAAGTGGCCGGCTCTGAGCATAAGCTGCTGAGGTCATGAAGAGATCATTCTCAGATCTGGGTTACATCAAAGGCCGGGCATTTTTGAACCAAGGGGTAATATCCTCAGCCTGAAAATAGGACTCAAGTTTTGGGAGACGCTGACAGAGTACGGCGGGCGAAGGCATACGCCACGTGCGCTACAGGCGCGCATTTAGCGGGGGTCTTGGTGCCTCCCCCGGAAGATTTTTTAAAATTAGAATGCCTCAAAATGCTATCTGAGACCATTTCTGGGCATTGTACATCGGCATGTTCGGAAATATAGGCTACATTTCCCGGGTTGAAAATAAGACTTGATGAGCCAGTGCCTTACTCACTAAGCTATAGTGGCTCCCAAAACAGTTGAAATTATTTGTTGTAAGTTGATGAGAAATAAAACAGCTATGGCTTCTAGGAACCCTTTTCACAACGTGTAAGGAAAGTTACGCACAATCATTCGTGTGCTTTATGAAATGGGAACTAGACCCCTGGTCATTTCTAATAACTATATATTTATTTACTTTCAGGGTATCGAGTGTTGCTGAAGGGTTCATGGAACTGGTGACGGATGAAAATAGCAATGGTGCCGTTATGACAGTTACAGCCCGAGACGGCATTCAATACAAATATCTTCCAAAAAGTAAACTTTAGATTAACTATTGAAATTGTAATTTATTATAAAATTGTAATTGTTATGAAATTGTAATTGTTATGAAATTGTAATTGTTATCAAATTGTAATTGTTATCAGATTGTAATTATTATCAAATTGTAATTATTATAACAAACTGTAATTATTATAACAAACTGTAACTATTATCAAATTGTAATATATTTTTTTATTTTCAAACTGTGATTAAAATTTGCCATACGCCAAGAGCTAGCTAACATTCCAGTATGTTCCTACCTCTCTGTCAAATGGTCGGTAGCGAATTCGGAACGTTTTGAATTGACAGAAATGTAATCAATCGACACGGAATTCAGTTCTGTCATTCACTAGAATGTAGTGTGATCAGAATGTGACGTAATGAAACACGCAGAGCATGTTTAAGCCGTTTCGATTGGCGGAGATTGACTTGGCGCATGCGTTGTCGCCAGAATTTTCTTGTTTATTCGCGTCTCAAAATGAGAAAATTCAATTCGAAAACGTCTGTCGATCATTTCTAAATCTCTGGAAGAACAATAAAAGTGTATTGTCGGATAAACAGTGTCGTCGGATAAACAGTGTCGATGGATATAAATTAATAAATACAAATTATTTTGTAAATAATAAATATTCAGCTAATACCTGTATTACTATTTTTATTTCAAAGCGGCTTGAAGGACATCCTTGTCGCAGCTTGTTGCATAGCATTACTACGAATAGGCATAAGCCACGATGCATAATTAGAAACTTGCGATAATCTGTTCAAAACTAAACTCAGGAACAATTGCTTACGCTAGAGTAGACACGTCCATTTATCGTCTTGCTCATATCTTTTCCCATATACCGAATATTGTGATGCGAAGATTTACGGAAAGGAAGAAAGAAATTGGGTTTTACATCCAGGATATCTGTTTTACCGTATCATCCCGCAAGCATTATCCCCCCAAAATTGGAATAGAGAATTAAAAATGGGACAACCTGTTATAATCGGTTCAGGGCAGAATTAGATAATAGAGACTTTTGGCAAACGTAAATTCGCGTATCCGTAACGATTTTGCGTGTGACGTCATCAATGCGTGTGTATTTCTCATGCGTGATACGGCACACGAATACGACAGCACGTACCGAACAGCTTTCATACGGAAAAGGTCCGTATAACCACAGGAATCTGACCTTCTATCCGTATATATATGCATACACCATGTCCAACCAACAATTCGTAATGTCAGGCAATCAAACCTCTGTCGATTCACTCAGATATGTTTTTTCTTCAATCTAGTCGTTTTGATTTGCATAAATACTCCTACAAAACGATATCATAGCCACTTGTTTCCAATATTTACATTATTTTCGTCCGTTTCCATTTTGTCACTGCCGCCATGCGCTGACGTCAAACAAAACCAATCCGCCAAAGATATTTTTAGTTTTTCTCTCCCTTTCCATTTTCCACCTTTTGCATGGCGATTTTTGTTGACTTTTGGGTGGAGAATCGAAGAAGAGGGTTTGCATATACATTTTCTGCCAGGTTTTGGTGAATATTCATCATTTTGAGGCGGAAGTACACAAGACTTCAGAGGTTGGTTAGGTTTTTGTGTGACGTCAGTGTATGGCGGCAGTGACAAAATGGAAACGGACGAAAATAATGTAAATATTGGAAACAAGTGGCTATGATATCGTTTTGTGGGAGTATTGTTGAAAAAAACGAGCCGAAGCGAGAGCAGGTAAAATCGAGTCTTCAACAGGCAATGCATTCCTGTTCCTTTTTATTATATACTATTCAAAAAAAGTAGGGGATATTTGATTTTGGGGGCATAATACTAAAATATGCAAATGACTACGAAAAAAGTCTCTATAGAACCTAACAGAAGAAACATTTCCAGTTACATGTGACGCCCAAACGCACCAATAGCTACCGCATGGAATGCAGGTGATGCTTGGGATCATCATGGGGGTCCAACCCAAGATTTGCACGACTCTGACTTTGAATGTTACAGTCATTGTGGCATTGAATTCCAGGGTGGAAACATCAGTTTAATTGTTTTATTGACCAGAAAACAAATTTTGATATGCGTCGGCTTACCCAAAATGAAAGGTTACGTGCCCTTGACATGCTACAGATCGGCACAACACAGGCGGTTGTGGCGCGGACGATGAATGTTTCTCAGTCTGTCATAAGCAGGCTATGGTCCAGATACCGTGATACACAATCTGTACAGGACAGACCACGCTCAGGTCGACCAAGGGCGACAACTCAAGCCCAGGATCGATTTATCCGTACCTTGTCCTTGAGAAATCGTGTCATCACAGCAAATCAGATCAGCGCTCGTCTTCAAACAGACACTGGTGTGAGAGTGAGTGGCCAGACGATTCGGAATCGACTGCATAGGGGTCACCTTCGCGCCCGACGTCCTCGCGTGATCCCTTGTTTGAGAGATCATCACATTCAGGCAAGACGTCGTTGGTGTAGGGATCGTCAACACTGAGATAATCGACGCTGGAGCAATGTGATGTTTTCAGATGAGTCAAGGTTCACTGTTGATTTTTTGGACAGACGTAGGAGGGTGTGGCGTCGTCGAAACGAGCGCTTCCAAGACGTTAACGTCATCAGACATGATCGATTTGGGGGTGGTTCTGTTATGGTGTGGGGAGGCATCACTGTTGCTGGAAGAACGGCTTTACATGTTGTTGCAGGGCGTGTTACAGGCCAGTACTACCGGGACAACATCTTGGCAGTCCATGTTGTGCCGTTCGCACGACGTCATGGCCGCCGTTTCATCTTCCAGGATGACAACGCAAGATGTCACAGGGCCAGGATCGTTACAGGTTACCTCCAACAACAGAACATCACCACATTACCTTGACCAGCACTGAGTCCCGACCTCTCCCCCATCGAGCATGTCTGGGACATCCTTGGACAGAGGTTACGTCAACGTCAACAACGTCAACAACGTCCTGCCAATGTCCAAGAACTTGCTGCTGCGTTGCAACAGGAATGGGACAATCTGGACCAAAATGACCTTAGACGTCTCATTAGGAGTATGCCACGTCGGATCAATGCTTGTTTGGCAAACAGAGGAGGATTTACCCGTTACTGACTTGGTTGTGATGCTGTGGTAACTTTGCTGTTTGACCCCGGGTATCATTTTACCCTTATAATGGTCAGTCTGTGCCTTACTTAGTCTAACGATCATTTGGAATAAATCGATGAATGTGAACTTCATTTCATTTTGTCATTTGTTTCTTCGTCAGTTTCATTAGGTGACTTTAATAACACTTAAAAATCAAATATCCCCTACTTTTTTTGAATAGTATATATTGTCTAGTTGGACATGGTGTATGCATATATATACGGATAGAAGGTCTTGGCCCTGTTTCTCGAAATTTTAACTAAAGATAAAATCCAATTTTAGTAGATACTTCAGTTTTGATTGGCTAAGCACTAAAATCAATCTAATATTATCCAATCAAATTACTAAAATTTGGATTTTATCTTAGTTAAAATTTCGTGAAACAGGCCCCAGACTCCTGTGGTATAACATCGTCGTCTTTTTACCGTATGTTGTGCCGTAGCGTTTTTATGAATATATGTGTATCCTAGAACACGATGGTATATATTTGACGTGATTTTAACCATGGCAAAGACTGGAATTTAATCATTACTTTTGATGAGCTTTTCGAGGAATTTCATATTTTTCCTGTCTGTCTGTTCGCTGGTTGATCTACGTGCTAAATTTAGGGAGGTGGGACCTTGCAAATCTGTAAAAGGGGTATATACTTTCTGAAATGATACATTAGTGAAACCAAAATTGTTGTCGAGTCGAGGTCGAAGATTTTTAATAAGATTCGCCACTATTTTTTTTTTAAATAACTCAGCGACTGTCAAACGACTTCACTCCCTTCAGGAATTTGTAGGCTAGGTACTTGACTAATAGTAATACTGATGTTGATCTTGGTAGATAACTGTCATTATGCTGTAAGAGAACTACGTTATACGGATGGGAAAAATTCTCTAATGTCATTCACTCAACCGGTATCTCTATTTGGTGTACGTGTAAACAAAAAGAGCGTAACGTATGTAAGTGTGTGTTGAATTTCCACACAAATTGGGACATTTCGATACTAATTTATACAGCATCTTTATTCTATACCTCGCCTGGATACAGGAGGGGAAACCGGAGAAACCCCACTTAATTGGAAAGGCGACCTTACTACTTATGGAGTTTAAAGGCCAACTCGATATGCCACTTCCAGAAGCAGTAGAGGCTCTTCCGCCAGACTCTTCCAGACTCGTGGCCAATTTTAATGTTTTATTGACGATGCACGCTTTCCGGAGATGGAGGTTTTTTTAATAGGTATTTCCCCACTTGGGATCCGACAAAAATTTCCCAAACGTGACTTACGATTTCCCACACAGAACTTGATAGGCTCAATTTAGCTTCTTCCATCATCTTCACAGCTCTTCTATGTCAGAATAAACCTTCTGAAATCGTGACCAATTAGTCAAGACCAAAACAAAGGCTCACCAGAAGTGGAACAAAACCTTCCTGAATTATCACGGTTGCCATACACGGTACGCCGAGATTTTGTAAGAGACAGGGAACAGGGAAAATCGATAGGGCTCACCCTCTCATTTTCCCAATGCCTCACATCGAATATGAACCTGTAGCCTATATCTCATTCACGCCGAATATCAATGGTGTATTATTTAACTTCGTTACGCTTTGTGTATGTATGGCCATAACCCAGGCAGTTGCACCAAAATCGAATTCAACCAAGATCTTTTGACCCTCAACATCTAAAATGGGCAAAACTTGAGGCCTGAATTAAAAAATTACATAATTGACAGATATGTATCGGTATCATTGGCAGCCCAAAGAAATGTCCAAAGGCATGGCGGACCAACCTTTCCGGTAACCTGCAGCTGACTACTTGCATCATCAACAGCTTTATTTTTAGATATTTACACACAAAACACGAAATTGAAACGAAATCAAACGTAGTGGCTGATGATCACAATCAGTGCTAACGGCAATGTTAAAATAGACACGCGAATCCAGCACTCGGCAAACCTCGGCAGATTCCGTCACTCTGCATCGAGCCTTGGCTGTATCACTCGGATGCCGGTCACAACAGTACTGACAAGGCGTTATGATTACTATGCAAATGGCGAACGACTAGTTCCTTTTTCATTTTTGGAAGTCACAATCCGAGATAGCTGACTTGGCAATCTGACACTTTTATGATCCACAGTTAAGAGCTTTGTTACCCATCTTGTAGAAACTGTTGCCATTCCTGATTCGTTGGCGACACTGTGCTCAACCCTCGTATGAGAGTTGCCCACACCACTGGCAATATGTCGAGTTGTCAATTGTCGATCAGCCATCAGCGTGTCATGCACATGGATAATGTTTTCTTGATTGGTTGCTATTGAAAAGTAAGGCCCGTTATCCCCTAGAGTGGATACAATATCGGCAATTATCTGAGTTAGCGTTAAGGCCCGGTCCCAGTGGCCGATGGACACAAAACGTATGCAAAAGGGGCACAGTGGACGAGCAAACTTTCGGGGGCGGCTCCATCCGTTTTCATCCGCTCCAGAAATGGACAAAATTGACGAAAATTTGCGAAGACAGAACGGAAAAGAACGAACGTGGGAAGTATGAAGCGGGGGTGTTAAATGGATGTCCATCGGAAGCCTAGCGGATGGAAGTGGATGACAGCTCCGAAGGCGTTAGGCAAACTCGAGACATCCTTCAATATACCAGATACATCCCAGATACAAACGCTTTGTCTGTTTTGAAAACTTTATATACGAGATGCATACGCTTACATCCTTTCTATTTCCGTGCTACTAACGATGTATAGACGTTCCATGTACCTTATCTTTCCTCCCTCTGTCCGTTTTCAGCTGGAGCGGATGTGAGTTGCGAGGATGCCCAGAGGATGCAGAGAGGATACAGTGGACGTTTAACGGATGATAACGGACATGGAACGTTTGGTGCTCGTATATGTCGCGCATTTTCATCGTACACGGCAGAAGGTTAATACGTTATAAAAGTTTTGTGCAGCTCAAAACTTTTTGCGCGGATGAAATCAATGTGAACGGATGCTCGATGGATAGAGCGGATGAAACACGTATGCATTGAGTACACAACGGATGCATGGCGTTTTCAAACGGAGGGCACGTTTTTTCCCCGTTTTACATCCTCTTTGCATCCGTAAGTGCAGTGGGACCGGGCATTTAGTCCGTTACGTTGCAGGTACTTGATGATTGTCCTATAGTCAGTTATGTCCGTTTCTGGTGATTTCAATGGATAGTGTCACAAGATGGCTTAGTACGAAGACAATAATAACACCACGGTTGCAGATCTTATGTCTATGATTCATTCAATGATTGTACTTCTTGGTGGCAAAAGTTTGTTTCAACCCAATTGATGTATCCCATTCAGCCATTGGCGTGGATTTAGGGGGGGGGGCTTAGAATCGGAAGGGGAGGGACGAATAGGTCTCTGTCCCCCCATGATTTTGATCGCCAGGACAGATTTTCAGGTTTATATCCACATGATGGTGAGCTTGTTTCTACGTATCTGGAACTGAATCGGGACTTGGAACAAGAATTGCCATTCTTCTAGCGCCAGTTTTCGGCCTATTTCACTTGTGCACGAAGCGTTCCTCATTATGTCACCTGAAGTGAGGCAGATGTTCCCTTCTGTCGAAGCTCTTCTCATCTCACACTGCTGAACCCTGCTAGTTCCTGCTCAGCCGAGCGATACCTAACCCAGTACGCCGTATGAAAACTAGGCTGCGCAACTCCTTGACGCAAAACCAACTGAACCACTTGATGGCGTGTGCGGTGCAATCCGTGCATAATGACCCCCTTCATGTCGCCAAGATATTCAAAGAGAACAATGGCGTCGTGCCCTTTGGGGCCAGCCCCCCCCCCCCCCCCCACACACACACACACAAATTCTCAGGGAAATAAAAATTATTTTTATTGATATTATTAAGACAGAAGACATGTCCTTCTTTTTTAGTCCTCACACTAAAGTATTATTTATTGAAATGGGGTTTTGCATGAAGATGTTTGAAATGTCCATTCAATAATTAAATCGAAGTTGAGATGAATAAAATATTTATTTTTGAGTGATAAATTACAATTATCACTAAAAAAACCGACCATTTTTCAATCATAACTTTATTGTCGCTAATCCATCGAAATGGCGTTTCCCGGCTTCTAATTTTAAAAATTTTCCCCGGACCCCCCTTGTATGCTCATGCCTGCGACATTCGATGTGGGCAGCGGTGCCGCCCAACGCCCAGTAAATTTAATTTACCATGAACACACTTGCAGAAAATTGCCCCCCCCCCCTCGAATTTTTTTTTTTGCACGACGCCCCTGAAAGAGAACAGTCCTGATCATAGAACGAACGTCTTTGGACGATTCAATTAACTTCATGAACAATTATTATTTATGCAGCTTTGATATAGGTAGTCAATTTTTCCATATTGTCACCATATTAGTATTATTACTCCTAGTCCTAGTTACAGCCTTCATCGAAATAACACTGGTACAGTAAACTGTGTGGGGATTACGTGGCTAAGTGGGTAAGACGCTGGCTCGCTAGCCTGGAAGTGGGGTGTTCAAGAAAGTTCATCCAGATTTTCCGGCGTGGTTTCCCCTTGTCAGTGATGCAGGACGGAGGGCCTGACAAGGACAGCTGTCTAGTCGTTCGGATGGGACGAAAAACCGAGGTCCCGTGAACACATTGGCGTGCACGTAAAAGATCCCTTGGCAGTTGGAATTCGATTTCCCTCATAGCACACTGTATGGGCGTAGGCCCGTCTTCATTATTTAGCCCAGGTTAGGAGCAGAACAGTAGGGCGATAAACCCAATTTCATTTCATTTCATTTTACAGTAAACGGTTCGTAATTATTTATTTCGTTTGGTAATGAAATGTTCCAGGTTCCAGGGTTTGTCCGTCCCCCCAAAAGTTATGACAAATCCACGCCCTTGCCTTCACCCAAAGAAAGGACAGATAAAGTGAAAGGTATTGTAATTTCACAAAATTGTGCCTGAAAATCAGGAAAGTTAACAAAAAATATCCGCCATTTCATTAAGATAATTATAAACACCCCACCCCACCTTTTTTTTAAAATTAATGTATTTTGAGAGATTTAATTACACCTGTGTTAACATTTAGATTGTAGTTATTGGAATTTGTGGTTGAATTACCGCTAAGAATTTTATTTCCACCATTAAATAGGTATTTTGCACATTTCAAGAGTTTCTAACACTCTTTGTTTAGAGTTAAGCTTAGAATTCTGAGGCATTTCTGGCCAGTGAGACCACACCCTGGTATAAAACTGGTGTAGATGTGTAAGGCATCCTTTTATTTCATTTTTTGCTTCAGGAAATTGATGCAAAGTTCAAGACAGATTACTTCAGCACAAGGATTGCAATAAGAATTGTATGATACCTCTTAGGTTTGCGATGTTAGAAATTTTGTGAAAATTGTGAATTCCGTAACCCTTTTGTTAGAAAGAGGTGATCATAGACAAAAAATGGCTTTTTTTCATTCACCCAGGCCTTTTTTTTCTTTTTTTTTATCATAATTCATTTTTATTGTACGTATTTTAGTTTATATGTACATAATATGTTAGTTACGGATGGTAAAACGTAGCTGTTAGACAGATTTCTTTGGTAATGTTAGTTCTGCAACCAAGTATGATATGTTTAGGTGGTAGGGATACATGTTTCAGTATACGTCTCTAATATTACAGGCAATGCAACTGATTTGCGATTCTTCTGTTTGTATATTGTCCAAAGTTTATAAAATTATATTCCTTGCCAGTCTGGCTATCTAAACATTGGGAAATTATTAGTATTTTGAAAGATACTACGTGTAAATTTTATACATTTTTCATGACATGGTAGTGAAAAATTAAGTTTTTGAAAAAATAAGTCCAACTTAGGAGTATTTTCTATGTAGATTGCTTGCAACCTCTCTAATTTTTTCAAAGAACTCAAATATTGCCTTTGCGCCGCAGTACAAAAAGCGGCGTGTATAGGCCTACTGAAAGTGTCGTCATTTTTGCAGCTATTCTTTGATTTTGATTTTCTTTCACCGGCGTGTTGCCAAAATACATGTGAAGCAAATAAAAAAAAAAGACTTTAGGTGATACCTGACGTGCAACCTCTGTATTGGGCACAGCTCATCAATTATTCCCACACAAAACAGGGGCAAAAGTTATTTTAGTCTTTCTCTACCTTTCTTCCCCACTTCGCATGACAATTTTTGTTAACTTTATGGTGTAGAATCGTAGAAAAGAGTTTGAATATACATTTTCTGTCGGGTTTCGGTGAATATTCACGATTTTGAGGCTGAGGGATACGAGAGTTAAGGTTGAAATGTAAGGCGGAAAGTTGCATGTTTTAAAATATCTCTACTTCCAGTTTGTCTTTCTCGGGTTTTCAACGACAATACATCGGATTATCCAGACGCATTTAAGGCTCGGTATTATTATCTTCAATCATGCCCATGGATCACAACTTTAATTAAGGTTTTGTAGTTCGTATTAGTATTTACATGTTGCAGCTTACTGTGTCATTTATTAATATTGAAAAGTACTTAAAGAAGAAGAAGTGCCATTTGAAACTTAAGACACTTATTGGGGTTTAAATTTGCAGCTAATACACGCATTAAAAGTCATCATGAACCTAAGTGGTAAAGTAGCCTTGATCACTGGGGCAGCACAAGGTCTTGGCAAAGCTTTCTCGGAGACACTTCTCTCTAAAGGAGCTAAGGTATGCATGGTGAAGTATTATTAACCCATTAAACATTTACAATTTCAGAATTCAAGTCATATTAAACAAGTTACTTTAAATTTATTAAAGATACAATGTAGGCTAATAATACAGACTTCGTTTTTCAGGTTTGTTTAGCCGATATCAAAGTCCAAGAAGGGCAGATAACTACTGACGCACTAAGGAAAAAATTCGGGAATGATACCGCATTTTTCATAAAATGTGACGTTACGTCTGAAAAGGAATTTGCAAGTAATGTATTTTATTTTGCTATATTTCTTTTGTTACTTTCAAGTAATCATATAAATTTGATTGATTTTTAAATAGAAATGTATTACTTCGTTATGATATTATTATTTAATTAGTTTATTTATCATATATATTATGAAACTTTTAAAATATTTTACATGGGCCCTATTTCAATTCCGATCTAATGAAATTTATATATTTTAAGATGTGTTTCAAGCGATAAAAAGTAGATATGGCCGATTGGATATTTTAGTAAATAATGCAGGTATCGTTGACGAAAAGAACTGGAGAAAGTTGATTGAAATTAATTTGGTACGTCTTTTCTTATACCCATTTATACACCGCTGATCTGGTCTTAATTGTCGATAAGAAATCATGCACCGGAATTAACAAAATCGGCAGTTCACATATTTTGAGTTGATTGTCACTACTAATATTATTAGCTTCCGAAAAAATACGAGAAAGGCAGCATGACGTAAGTAGTCGGTGCAGAACAGTAGGACATTAAACTCCATTTCGTTTCAATTGCATGTCCAGAGTATCAGCATCATGCCCTCGTCGACGCATTAAACGGGGCCGCGTTGGGTCTTATGTAGCCTTTGTTAACATGTATTAGAGCTGATTGTTTAACCAAGTTGTGCCACCGTGTCAAGTGGTGTGGTTTCGTTTCCAGGACTGTTCGAACAAGGAATATGGTCGCCTGCTTAACCGCGTTGATTTTCGCTGGGTTTTCTGGATTTCCTCTACTATCAAATGATCACTTTGCGCCAGCGGATTATTAAAATAAAGATACACCGTGTTGGGTGGTCTAGTGGGTTAACGGGTGTGTGTGAAATCATAAGATATGTCATTTAGTCAAGAGGCGAGGTTTCGGTTATCCGCTTGTACGTGACAAGGAGTAGGGTCGCCTGTCCGGTTTTCTCCCAATGCTAGACCGTAGACCCCTACGCGCAAGCGAATTATTGAATTAAAATTGAACCATGTATTAATCCCTGAATGACCTAGTTTGTGTCGAGTGGACACATATGAACTGTTTAGCGTCGTGTTCCTGGCGCAGAGAGGAGATGCTAGGGAAAGAACGGTAATCTGTGATGGTAAGAAAATGGCATTACATTATGTATGCAGCGCTAAAGTGGCTTTAATTAATTATTGCTAGCTCTTAAATCAAACAATCGCTAATTTTTATACCTCCACATTCAAAATGTGGACGTATTATCCCGTCGCCCCTTTCTCTGTGTGTGTCTGCGGGTCGCCTACAGGGCGCAATATTTAATGGATCGACTTGAAACTTTGTATACTTATATATTCATTATACCTTAAGGATGATCTCTATTGGTTTTGGTGAAAGCCCGACCCCTGAGCCCCACCCATTTTTCCTCTGTGTCTTGCCTACAGGCCATAATTTTTAATGAATAGTCTTGGAACTTGATATAAGTATTCTTTATAGCCTAAGGATGGCAATTATTGATTTTGGTGCATGTTCCAACTCCTAGGGACACAGCCACGCCCAATTTTTGTCTTTATCTTATACTGGCCACAGTTCTGAATGGCTCATCTTCAAACTTGGCATATGTATTCCTTATAGCCTAAGTGCGGCAACTATTGATTTTGGTGCATGTCCCGACCCCAGGGGCAGAGCCACGCCCATTTTTGTGTGTTTAGCGTCTGAAGACCACATTTCTGCATGAAAAATGGGAACTTAGTATACTTTAACTTGATTTTGGTACATGGTCCGCCTCCCTTGGGTAGTGCCACACCCACTTTTTGTTTTGTCAGTAAATAATCTACAGGTTGCAATTTGGATCAAATTCAGTATGATCCATCATAGGGTTGTACCTGCTTATATTGGTTCATGTCCAACCCTCAGGGGCGGAGCCACGCCCAATGTTTGCGTTTTTTGACTACAGGCTGGAATTCTGAATCTGAATGGATCATATTGGAACTTGGCATATTTATTCCTTAAACCGTAAGAATAGCAACTATTTACATGTATTTTGGGGCATGTCCCGACTCCCAAGGGCGGTGTCACACGTGTCACACCCACATTTGTAAATTTGGCAAAACAAACCCAACGCCTAGCCTTCTTTATTTCAAAAAGTGCCATATGAATCGAAGTAGGAATGTGGACGTATATTGCAACGATAGCGATGCTCTCGTTGTTCCTTACTTTAGACCAACACTCATTCGCCCCGCAATCTATAGACTGTAATATCAACTGTAAGAAGTTGTCAGAGTTGCATTCAGCCCTGTGAGGACACCTGTCATGACGTGGAGCGATAGGTAAACGAAGCAGAAGAAATTAACCTTGTGAAATTCTTGTGCAGTTTTAACAATATTATGAGTTTATCTTTTCTGCAGTTAAGCGTGATGCAAGGGACACAACTGGGTATAGAAACAATGAGTAAAGAACATGGCGGAAATGGAGGTGTTATCATCAATGTATCATCAACAGCAGGTGAGATAAAGTTTAATTATCTCCTCATTAATGCCATGACTATTTTAATTTTAAAACAAATCTGGCGTATTGATTAAGGCGGCATTATTGAGAGTTTGCTAGCGGCATATGTTCAAGATAGTCCCTAAAAATGCAGACCTGTCTTGTAGCTTTTGCACCATCCATGTTTTCCTTGTAGCTGCAATGTGGGCGTATTTCCAGGTTTTCAGTGGCTATCTTTTTTTTATCTCGATTAAATAATCAAATTGTTACTAATTAATTAAAGAACTAACAATACATTAGACTGAACTTGTTTATATTTAGGTCTACAGCCAGTATTTATTACACCAGCTTACTGTGCTTCTAAATTTGGTGTTGTTGGATATACCAGAAGTCTAGCGGTAAGTCGGTTGTTATTACGAAAACTTACGAAAACTTGTTTTCGGTACCAACCAGTAACGACTAGACACACTTTCTAGCATACCACATCCCCGACGATTGGAAAGCGGGTCTGAGAGAGTTCATGCAATATGAATTAAGTGACTTCGAGTCTAACGTGTACAGTTCTTTAGGCGCAAGATCGAAACACAGGCGGTGACAGGCAGTTTGTCGTTGCACAATAGTTTTTTTTTCTTGTTGAAATATTCCAACTGCCAAGGGATCTTTTACGTACACGCCAATGTGTACACGGGACCTCGGTTTTTCGTCCCATCCGAACGACTATACGTTGTTCCTCGCCAGGCCGTCTGTCCTGCGCAAATAACAACAAGGAGGAACCACGTCGGCAAATCCTGATGAACTTTCTCGGCCAACACAGGGATCGAGCACGGGACCTCCAGGTTAATAAGTTAACGTCTAACCCACCGAGGCTCCCTGAAGTTTTAAGACAGAGAGAGAGAGAGAGAAGAGAGAGAGAGGGAGAAAGGGTTTAACGCCCACCAGATCATTTTGGACTAACACATTGCTCAATTTTATTTCATTCATTCGCTTTGAGCGTAGGGGTCTTTTATCAGTTCTGGGGGAGGGGGGATGTTGGAGAACAAGAAGAAAACCCACGAGGCGGGACAGGCGATCTTACTCCACGCCACTTGACGCGCCACTTGACTCAATCAATGCAAGACCTTATAATCTAACACGCACATGTTAAACCAACCATTCTGCCCCCCCCCCATCTTGTTTAACGTTTAAAATACATAAGATTAGACTGCCATCATTTAAAAAGTATAAAGAAAATAAACCGTATCCAGTGATAAACATGAACTGTACAAACATTTTCATTTTATTTTTAATAGGACAATCTAATTCATATTAGGAATGGCTTAAGATTTTGTTGCCTGTGTCCAGCCTTTACTGATACAGATATTATCAAATTCTCTGAGAATGCTACGGTATCGACGATCGAATTATCTAAGAAAATTATTCAAAGTGTCGGAATTAATAAGTAAGTATAACTCTAATCCATTCACACAGGAAACCAATCTGAGTGAGCACAATGTCATCATCCTTCTTTTATGACACGGCAAATTCAGTCTACTGTCTGATTCATCGTAAATTTTAAACGGATTTCTTCGATTATGAACAAACTACTTAACGTTGGTTATTATAAACTTACCTGTGTGTTTGTAATGAACTCCCGTTCGATAAAATCCATTGCACAACTAATTATCACAACGATGAAAACAAGTTCTCTCTTGAAAAATTGAAATATCACAAACTTTTCCCAGAGAAAAATACCAATGTGGAAGATGGTTACGTCACTCTGCGGAAGATATCATTTCGTATTAGGGGTGACAGCATAGGAAATTCAAGTACAATTACGACAAGAATCCATGACCACTCGGACCAAAGATCACTCGGTTCAAGACCAGTCGGACCAAGTGATAGACCACTCAGCCCAAACAAATAGACTACACGGACCATACAAAAAGACTATTCGGACCCAACAGAAAGACGACTCGGACCAATAATAAAATGTTGTTTTAATAAATTGATAATTGCGTTTGTTTTAATATAATTACTCGAACCAATAATAAAGTGTTATTTTAATAAATTGATAATTGTGTTTATTTTAATATGACTACTCGAACCAATAATAAAGTGTTATTTGAATAAATTGATAATTGTGTGTGTTTTAATATGACTACTCGAACTAATAATAACGTGTTGTTTGAATAAATTGATAATTGTATTCCAAATCGCAAAATATCGAGAACCACACTTGTAGTCACGTTTAAAAAGGGGCATATAAACGTCCGGTCTTCGTATTATTATGTGCTGTTTATATTAACGCATCAAGGGCGGATAACTTGAAAACGTGTCTCCCCCCCCCCCCCCATATATAGTAACCCAGGGGTTAGTGGGGTAGAACGGAATGAAACCGCTGGGGATACCGCGAATGTGGAAAAAGTAAAATTAGGCTATCAGACAAGAACAGTATACCCGTATATGTAGAAACTGTCAAAAGTCTGGACATACCGAGTCTCATTGCAAGAGTAAAGAAAAATTAGATTGATATTTTTTTTGGCACCATTATTAATTAATTTTAAAACTAATCGTTGATTTATTTACGTACACAAAATTGAACCAAACAACTCTAAATATAAGAATTCCGTATAAGAATTATTTGATTCTTTGTATTGTGATTTAATAATAAATAAATAGCATATTGTCTAGCCTTATAATATAATTTAATTGGTCCGACTGGTCTTGTTTTGGTCCGACTGGTCTTAGTCCGAGTAGTCTTTGGTCCGAGTGGTCTGGATACCTACGACAATTGGCATTGAGTTTGAGCGTTCGCACACATAACTACCCGCATTCCTGTATTTAGTTACCGTCTTTTACATTCTAGTAAAATCTCTGCAAATTTTATAGCTTTACTTTTTGAAATATTTTGTTCTAATTATTTGATTAGCGACTCGGATGGGATTATTTACTTTTGAACACGCATGCCGCACAAATACAACTATACATTCGTTTTACGGGCTTTATCACACTTCGGTCAAAACTGTCGAATCGAGAATAAATGTTCCGCTTCTTACGGGGTCATACGGGCTTAGTAGCATTATATACCCACCCGGGCACCCAATACAGCAATAGACACGCTGAGGGCTGCCGCAACACGCTTAAAGATGTTACTGAAGCGGTTATTATTCGATCGAAAGAATGCGTATAAAATTAAAAATACACTCAGAGAATACGGAGGTAAGCTTCATGATCCTTGTTAAGTTATTTATAACATGAAGAAGATAGGATATTTATAGTTTATTCATGACTTTATTTTTACGAGTATCCGTGCAATCAGTGATATTTTAATTGTGAAGAAAATTTGATAGACTGGCGATCAATGGTTTCCATATAAATCTCCTATGTAATTGCCTTCAATTGATATTTTTCGTCGCCCAAACCCATATACGATCAAAATGATCGCGCTGTCAAACTATCTTTCAATGTTAACCAACCCCCGCAACAGGTATATTGGATTCGACCAATACGTCACGAAGACATTGTTGACATCGACTCAGTCGAAATTACAAGTAAATTTTCAAATTTTTCAAGAGAGAAATTGTTCTCATCGTTGTGATAATTAGTTGTGCAATGGATTTTATCGAACGGGAGTTCATTACAAACACACAGGTAAGTTTATAATAACCAAAGTTAAGTAGTTTGTTCATAATCGAAGAAATCCGTTTAAAATTTACGATGAATCAGACAGTAATTAAAATCAGATGTTTTCAGTTTGATTTTCGTTTTCTGACATTTCATATTCCGTATTTTACATTGCATCCGATCCAGACCATTCCGACACAACCAAATACGCGGGTTATTTCAGGCATTGGTTTAAATTAGTGTTGAGTGTTGAGTAATAGAGGTGTTTTTAACCAAATATTTTGAATGCGTTCAGTTGATGTTAAGTTGGTGTCGTAATCGATCAAGGGCGGGTGGAAGGGGAGACACACATTATAAAAGTTTGAAGGATTATGGCCCCCCCCCACCAATACACACTTTACACACACACCCACACCTACACCTACACACGCGCACCACCACACACCCTGGCATTCAGCCTTTGACAAACGTATCATGGTTGTCTATTAGAATGTTAAACAAAAGGTTCACGCATTTTTTGTTTGTTGTTTTTCGGGTTTGCCTATAGGTTAATTATGCAATACGAAACAGTATCAGCATGTTTTGTATTTGACATACAACATCAAGTATATATTTCTGCCATAAGATGGACTAACAGTTTAAATGAAACGGCGCTTATCGTACAACTTTTCTACACCAACTAAACTAATGAAGACTGACATACATGTATGTCATACAGTGTGCTATAAGGTAGATTTTGCCCTGCCTGTTGTTATTTCAAATTCTGTCAGTCAATGGTTCTTTTTCTTTGCACGCCAATATGTACACGGAACTGCGGTTTTTCGTACCACCAAACGACTTATCGCGGTTCCTTATCAGACGCTCTGTCTTACACCACTGCCAAAGGGAAAGTACGCCGAAATCCTAATTGAGATCTTTTGATAGCGAGCCAGTGCCTTACTCACTGGGCTATTGTGGCTCCCAAACAGTTTAAATTATTTGTAATTTGATGAGAAATAAAACAGCTATGACTTCCAGGAACCCTTTTCACAAAGTGTACGGAAAGTTACGCACAATCATTCGAGTGCTTTATGAAACGGGAACTAGACCCCTGGTCATTTGTAATAACTACATGTATATATTTACTTTCAGGGTATCAAGTGTTGCTGAAGGGTTCATGGAACTGGTGACGGATGAAAATAGCAATGGCGCCGTTATGACCGTTACAGCCCGAGACGGCATCCAATACAAATATCTTCCAAAAAGTAAACTTTAGTTTAAATATTGAAATATTATGAAATTGTAATAATTATGAAATTGTAATAATTATGAAATTGTAATTGTTATTAAATTGTAATTGTTATCAAATTGTAATTGTTATCAAATTGTAATTATTATAACAAACTGTAATTATTATCAAATTGTAGTTGTTATCAAATTGTAATTATTATCAAATCAAATTGTAATTATTATCAAATTGTAATTGTTATCAAATTGTAATTGTTATCAAATTGTAATTATTATCAAATTGTAATATTTTTTTTTTTTTTTCAAACTGTGATTAATATTTGCCATAAGTCAAGAGCTAGCTAACATTCCAGTATGTTTCTGCCTCTCTGTCGAATGGTCGGTTGTGAATTCGGAACGTTTTGAATTGACAGATATGCAATCGACACGGAATTCAGTTCTGTCATTCGCTAGAATGTAGCAAAGCCCTGTATAGGGCTTAGGAATGTAGTGTGATCAGAATCTGACGTAATGAAACACGCAGAGCATGTTTAAGCCGTTTCGATTGGCGGGGATTGACTTGTTAATTCGCTTTTGAAAATAAGAAAATTCAATTCATAAACGTCCGTCGATCATTTCCAAATCGCTGCAAGAACAATATAAGTATATTGTCGGATAAACATTGTCGTGGGATATAAATTAATAAATACAAATTATTTTGTAAATAATAAATTTCAGCTAATACCTTTATTACTATTTTTATTTCAAAGCGGCCTGAAGGACATCCGTGTCGCAGCTTGTTGAGCCACGATGCAGGATTAGCAACCTGCGATAATCTGTTTAAAACTAAACTCAGGAACAATTCCTTATGCTAGAGTAAACACGTCCATTTATCGGCTAGCTCATATCTTTTCCCATATACCGAATATTGGATGCTAAGATTTTACGAAAAGAAGGAAAGAAATTGGGTTTTACATTTTGTCAACACATTTCGTTAATTTACATCCAGGATCTGTTTTTCGGTATCATCCCGCAAGCATTATCCCTCCAAAATTGGAACAGAGAATTAAAAATGGGACTATTTTAATTATGTCATTAACTCAAACGGCATCTCTACTTGGTGTACGTGTAAACAAAAAGAACGTAAAGTATGTGTGTTTGTTTTGAATTTCCACACAAATCGGGACATTTAGATATTAATCTATACTGCATCTTTATTCTATACCTCGTATGGATACAGGAGTGGAAACTGGAGAAACCCCATTTAATTAGGCAGGTGACATTACTCCTTGTGGAGTTCAAAAGCCAACTCGATATGCCACTTCCAAAAGCAGTAGATGCTCTTCCAAAAGACTCTTCCAGACACGGGGCCAATTTTAAGGTTTTATTGACGATGCACGCTTTCTGGAGATGAGGTTTTTTAATGGGTATTTCCCCGCTTGGGTTCCGACAAAAATTCCAAAACGTGACTTACGATTTCCAGACCAAAACAAAGGCTCACCAAAAGTGGAATAAAAACTTCCTGAATGATCACCACGCTTTCACTTTTAGAACCAAACAAGCGGTTGTCATACACGATACGCCGAGATTTTGTAAGGGACAGGGAACTCGGAAATCGATAGGGCTCACCCTCTCATTTTCCCAATGCCTCACATCGAATATGAACCTGTAGCCTACATCGCATTCACCAGGTTTTTAGAAAAGTTCGGTAACTTTTTTTCGTATGCAAATGAGCTTCGTCGTAGATCCCATATAAGGTATATGTCCTAATATGCTAAGTTCTATTATGCATTTGTCTATTATGCAAAATGCAGAACGGAGAAGTGTAATGTGCAAAATAACTTTTATACCGTATTTTGTACTATTGAAAAGTTTTTTCTGTATTTTAACACTGTAACAATGGTATTGTGGAGCAATGGAAATTGCAAATTGTAAAACTAAAATACGTATTTTGAACTGCTGACATATGCATTTTGCACTACATGTGAACATTGAAATAATATTGGCAACGTTATCCTTCCATACTTTTGATCCTTAATATCTAAAACGGGCGAAACTTGGGGCCTAAATTAATGTGAAACTGTTTAAAAAATACATTTGTATCGGTATGATTGGCAATCCGAAGAAACGTCCAAAGGCAGACGAACCTTGCATCATCGACAGCTTTATTTTTAGACATGTACATACAAAACACGAAATTGAAACGTATAGTGGCTGATGATCACAATCATTGCTAATGGCGCGCTCGCTAAATTTCCTCATGCAATATTTTCCGATTCATAAGGATAAATACCATTTTTTTCAAAGCACGGATTTTAGATTCTTGAAGCACGGATTTTTCATTTTGGGGCACATGCGTGCCTGTAGGCATGTTAAAATAGACATGCGAATCCAGCACTCGGCAAACCTCGGCAGATTTTGTCACTCTGCATCTAAGTGATATGTACCCACGCCTATACAATTGCGATGCGACACCGGTTTACTTATTAGAAAAAATTGTCGCTTTTAAAAAGAGTTATCAAAATTGCGTCGTTCGAGGCGTGTGTAGAATTTTTAGTGCAAAGTTGTCCTTGTTTTGAAGAAAATCGGATAAACTTGAAAGAAAAACAGCTTCAGAATTTGAAATATTTGTATGATAAAACATTGTTCAAAGGTGTCGTCATGGGCAACGCGGTTGGTAATCCGGAAACTTGAAAGTAGTTCCAATGGCGGACTTCGTCATACAACCGAGGCTAGATGAAAGGTACTAGAATCTGCTGAGATTTGCCGAGTGGCGAATCCAGAGAACAGAAGAAACAAATATGGCGGATAGGATCAGTTTATCTGCAGTGAGCGGCTGTGTGGTTATGTGTGCAATGATCGCAATCGCAAGACTTGTTGACTCATTGGGTGGCCTTATGATCTAAAGCACTCATGTTATCCCACTGCCCAACACCATCACACACACACACACGCACACCATCACACCCAGAAACACACACATCAAAAATAAAACACTGGTTGTTTACATAACGGCTATATTAGGTTAAATAATAAACATAAACAAAATTGTTAACAAATATAAACTACAGCACAGTCATTAGTAATGATACGATTTACAATTAAAAGGAAAACTCGGTAATTAATGTAGGTTGCAAAAATAAAAAGTTGCAGTCTCGTCCTATGTCAGCAAAAATTTAAAGAGATTTTATCACTTTTACTCAGAAAATAAATGTAATTAATTTTGAACAAGGGCGTATTTGAAATGTTTTATGCGAGCGTTCACTAAATTGAAATGTTTGACTTTTCTTGATAATCAAATTTATCAAAAATATTGCATTGTCGACTGGCAAAGACTGCTAAAGCGATAATGACTTTTAATTCAATATGAATCGAATCTTAACAATATTTAATTGAACATAAAACAAAAATTTAATTTCTTCAGTACCAAAATGAGTGTCCCTTTTCATAAAACAATTACACGTCGTTGACACAATATATTATTCTAAGAAAGTCAGTGCCTTATATGTTCCATGTTAGTTTAAATATACAGAAACACATTTACTTTCTTCGTGAAAGTGATATTGTCTCTTTAAGATAAATTTGTATTCAAGTAAATCCTAAACAATGATCACCTCTCACCTCATGAATTAAAATTTTAATAAATCAAAATTTAACAAACAGCGAAAATAAAATGGGTATAACTAACTATTCGAAAATTTAGTTAGCCTGTTAGGTATTTTAATGAATAAATGACAGGTTTCTTGGGGAAAATAATATGAACATGCCTTGATTCAATTGAAAGTTAGAATGTTCAAATAATCTTGCTTTAAGTAGGTCAGCGCTAGGATTTTCGATAATTAAGTTAGTTTGCGGTTATTTTGAACATAAATATAAATTTAAACACATGGTAAACACGAAACATTGGCTACATAAATTTGTTCTGTTTTATTGTTTAGTTCAATCAATGTGACCCTGGCATTTGAAGCATTTAAACAAAAATTGGTCGAAATCTTAAAACACGTGTCATGGTTCAGGTGGGGTAATCTTTAATATCTTATTTTTGGGAGATTTATATCCTAGTCAATCTTACCAGTCTCTCACCTACCCATGGAGTAGAGATTCTTGGATTGATCCTTTCTATTGGTCTTATATTTTTCGGGCTATTTGTACCTTTCAAACCAGTTTTGGTTACAATGACTGGGGTTTATCTCCGATTATACTTTTTTATATATATATATATATAAGAATAAACCACGCGGCATTTGAATCATCGACGTTCATTGGACCGCATGCTATGATCGATAGCCAATCATAACTAAACACTGGGTCATGATTGAATCAGCTCAATTAAGAGTGCCCGGGTTGCCTTTTTAAACCACATTCTCATCTCCAGGCCTCTCTGGTTGGACACTGGGGTTAATTACGTTAACTGCACATGTACTGTTAAGCCTGGGGATGAGAGTAGTGTTTGAGAATGGTATTTTGAAAATGACAGGCAGTGCCGGTTCAGTTGTTACCGGCATAAGTAAGTGTTAGTTTTGAAATAAATGAAACATGTTGCAGTTAACTACATATTTGTTGCTATGGTGATTTATGACTCCCAAAAATCAAAATCAAAGACTTGGAATTGAAATATATATAAATGACCACAATGAAATGTAAATGAAAAGACTAAATGGTGTAAATGATGTCGATGATGAAGTGCATTTCACCGGATCTACTGGCATCGGTTTCTGGGTAAAACCATAGCCACCACATCTTGGAAGATCAGCTGGCCGTGGAGGGAACTCCTTGACATCACCAATTTGAATTAGCATTGCTTTACCTTGTACTACATGACCATCAATGTGACAGTGGAAGAACCAGAGACCTATGAAACGGAAACAATAGTATATGGTATATAAGGAGGACTGCCTTTCCATCTCATTACATATTTGTATAAGGGAACCAAATCACCGTGTTATGTCTTTTTTGTATTCCTTATGGTTTTCAAATTTGAGTGAAATCTGTGTCACTACAGGCCCAGGACTGTACAGCGCAGTGTACGCTTACGGCTGGCCCCCGGATCTTTTCACTTGATTTGATATTTGTTTATTTGGTGCAAATACTGCAATGTCTATTTTCTATCTTGTCCGCAGGTTTATCTTGTTGATTTTTGTTTTGCGTGTAGTGCGGTCCTCCTGCACTTACTATTAATGTTTCTCTCCAAACTGGTCAAGTATTTTACTGGTGCCTTAATAATCTCAATGATTTTGGGGTATATGTCTCCGCTTCGACTATAATGAATAATAGTCTGGACAGCATAGCAGCCATTGTGTATATAACTGGTTGTCTGGTTAATCGTGTCTATAGATGACGCAATGACTCATGGGAAGTGCTCCTCAAATTAACAAGTTAACACTACCTTGTATGCATTTTTCTAATATATGGTAATGGTTAATCGCCATTTTCACTCTCCACCAATCGTAAAACTACGAGAATCTCCGTATGCCCTTTGGCACTGTATACAAATTTGGCGCTATATTGTCCGCACATTGTTCGTTATAGATGGACGAAGCAGAGACAATAATCAAGACTAAGGTCCAAGTGATTCGCTTTCGACCGCTAACGTACCTGGATTGTTGGCCACGAACCTTAAAACCGCATAACTTGCTCCAGGTAATATAAAGGTATCTCTTAAAGGTGGGTTGATGAAATTTCTCTTTAATTTCCCCTCTTTCTCCATTTGTTGTACCTCTGCAAGTGTTATGGCGTGGTCAAACTAAAATTAAAGCTTTTGCTAATAAGAAAATTTTGATTTCGTGTCGAGTTAATAGGTGTTCGAGGCACTAAATGTTGCCAAACACACGGTGTTTACGAGAAAAACCTGAATATACAATATAACAGTCATTATACTGTCATTTCCCAATCTAATAAAAATTCCATCATTATTTCACCGAGGTTTTAATTTTTATTACGGTTTACGCTATCTAGCGTTTCATTTTTTTTTGTTTTTGTTTTTTTTACCCATACGATTTGAACTTGGCTACTTCTTTGACAGTTCTGTGTAAAGCTATTGGCTAAAATCATTTATGCCCAAGAATAAACGTCTCCTGGTATGGCTAATTGCGATGTCAGCGAATTTTAATTAGACTATACCTTTTCTATTCCTAATATCCTAAAACTATAACCATGTAAATGCATAGGATGGTCGGCTGTGGTAAACATGGACCCTTGGTTAATTATAACTATTTCAACAACCTGAAAAATAAAATAATACCAGATATATACTTACAAGTGCAAGTATTGGTTTTCCATCGAATATTTTTTGTGACAAAGAGTGACACAAACTATGCTCTCGTGGGTCCAATATTGACTTTGATTTCAATATTTGCTTGTGTGAACGTGCCTTTAACAAGCGGGGGTGGGGTCAATGACAGACCGTATTATAATCTGTGTGTATGTGTGTGAACTGATATCGCCGATATGTTTTATATTCGACTGAGCAATTGGTTACACCTTCGAAAAGATTTATTAATTACTATGAGTTTCGTAAATCAGTATGATCAGGAGTTATAGTTTGGGAAATCTTTTAAAATCAAAAGGTATCGTCCTTTTAATTAGCTAAGCAACCTATTAAAATTAAACCTTTGGTCGTATCAAAACATTATTATACCAGGTATGCTTATCAAAAGAAATGGTTTCGCATCACGGATAATGATTCTCACCTCTCCCAATTTAAACTGTATGCGATGAGTACATGTACACAGGTCTTCTAAACATCTATCAGAATCTACTAAACTTGATCTATTACAAAACAAACTTTCATCTACATCTTCTGGTTGAGATAATGGTGGCACAGGCGGAATATGAAAGGTTATCTTAGTATAGTTGAGGATAAAGTTCGAAAGCGAGAGAAGGCTAATTTTCATTTTTCTCATTTAAATCTAACATAAATAAAGGCTGAAATGTATTCTGTAAATAATGATAAAGACGATTACATAGAAAAACTTAGGTTAGATGCCATCTTGACCTCGATGTTCGTGGATAGAAACAAGTTATTCTTCAATAGGTAGCTGACGTTCTAAGACCGGTGACGTTTTGAAATGAGATGGGGTTAACTTTCTACTTTTCTGCTCCGACTGGGCTAATGAAGACGAGAGCATACATCATACAATGTGCTAGGAGAGAGATTCTGCCCGGACAGCGGCGTTACGGTCTATTCTTGTATCGAATTCGAACTGCCAAGGAATCTTTTACCTGCACGGCAATGTGTACACGGGACCTCGGTTTTCGTCCCATTCGAACGACTACACGCTGTTCCTTGCCAGACCCTCTGTCCTGCACCACTGACAAGGGGGACCACGCAGGAAAAATCCCGATGAACTTTCTCGGCCAACGCAGCAGAGATCGAACACGGGACCTCCAGGTTAGCGAGCCAACGTCTTACTCACTGAGTCACAGCTGCTCCGATGAAATCAACAGACAGTAAAGGAAATTTTAGATGGCCATACTTCCCTTACGCTGGGTCAATTTAAATAATTTTTGGACCGATATGTGAAATATACTTAGTTATCAACTGAATGGGAAATAGTATGGTTCGTGATGGTATCTTTGGTTGAAGGGATACTATTTAGGCACTCATGGCCGATTAATAAAAAAAAAAAAAAGTTTTCTGGTTGAAGTGATTTGACAACACAAATAAATATAATATATTTGTATTTCGATACATTTCTAACCTGGTGGGTTGGGTGGCCGAATGGTTCAAAGCGTGCACGTCAAATCACACGGTCTTTCATTAAGTCTCCCGTCAAAAGGCAAAATCTAGTAACTCACTTTTTTTTTATCAAAATTGAGTTAGGACCAAATTTGTAGTTACTAGGGTATGTGCTTCCTGTTGCTGTACTAGATATTCCAATCTTTTGATTTTGTAAGCAGATACACCCATGACACAACCTAGCAACTTCCATTATTTGCCTAGTATACCACAGCAAAACCTAGTAACTCAATAGTCAAATCAATGGATGCGCTGGGGTTTAATATTCATTCATTACGTTGTCCTTTGTTTTCTCAAAATGAGAAAAGGGTGAGTTACTAGGTTTTGCCTTTTGACAGGAGAAGTCAAGTGGCCTGGTTTCGATTCCTCGCTTGTATGTGACACGGAGTAGGGTCGCTGTCCCAACCTAGTGGGTTTTCTCCCGGTCCTCCAGTTTCCTCCCTCTGCTAAAGACCCATACACGCAAGAGAATTATTGAAATAAAACTGAAACGTATGTTAGTCCCAAAATGACCTAGTTTGTGTCGAATGGACGTTAAACCCCGTCTCTCCGTACCTTTTGGTTGACAATCTGGGACTTGGCCTTTACAATTACACCCCCCAAAATTATATGATATCTGTTCTCGTCCACTACCGTTTATGGCCGTAAACAGTTCCAGTTACTGAACAGAATTAATAAACAAAAACGAAAACACTAAACATAAAATATTTAATGGTAAGGATACGTTATCCATGACTGGTGTTAAATGTAGTTTTTCAGGTGATAATGACTTCACAGGATATAGTACTTTGTTGTTGAAAACACTGTTATCATTATTTGAAAAATATGTAGCTGAAAAACAAAATACAGAAAACTTTGCATTTTCTGCTAAAATACCAAATTACTCACGGCGTAATTCACGTTAATGTGTACTCAGATTGATGAATTAACATTTAATTTTGAGACCAAAATCAAATAATTCCTCGGCTTTGATTCAATGGGATTTGAAACAGGCCCATCCCTTCTGTTCACCCACAACAAATTGATTTCAGTTCAACATAATCTTTGAAGATACTGGGTGGAATTTAAACCGATATTCTCACAAGAGATCCGTTGTTAATAAGCTTGTAGTGTGCAAGGGATTCTTACTATGCAAGTATATTTTGTACCAGTAAAATAATAACTATCATCAACTTTGTACGATTACATTACTTTCTATGATTGCACTCCTTACCAGTGAAATACTGACAACCTACAACTTTCTATGATTGCACTACTTACCAGTGAAATACTGACTACCTACAACTTTCTATGATTGCACTCCTTACCAGTGAAATACTGACTACCTACAACTGTGTATGATTATACTCCTTACCAGTGAAATACTGACTACTAGTATCTACAACTTTGTATGATTACACACCTTACCAGTAAAATACTGGCTATTTACAACTTTGTATGATTATGATTACACTCCTTACCAGTGAAATACTGACTATGCACAACTTTGTATGATTACACTACTTACCAGTGAAATACTGACTATCAACAACTTCGTCAGTATAATTGGTATCAATAATGCCGGAATACCGTAACCTATCTGGCATGATCACTTGACTGTGGTTGTATCCATATGCTGTTCTCTTCATTTCAGGATGGGGCATTGGATTTAAAAGCTAATAATAAAAATAGGCCATAGCGTTCAATTAACATACAGATAACAGACAAATCAGCTCATCTCATCTGATATCAAATATCAAACCCCTATTATGGGAGTTAAAAAGCAATAAAGGATATGGGGATTTATTCAACTTCTAAGAAAAATATACCTTATGGGCTTTGATTAAGAGTAAGTGGGGTGGGGCGGGGGCGCCTTCTACGTTTTGTGTTAAACCTTTCCGTCAAATACGCCGAATATGTCGAGGAATGTTGCGTCTGTGGTTGAGTTCACATAATGAATGTGGGTCAGCAAGAATAAAAGGGGTATATTCAACAGGCCATCTACAAACGCTCCATCATCAGTATTTCGGTATTCATTTACTTTAAGCTTAAGCTGATTTTAAAATTGTGAGAAAGTCCACTTACAATTCCATCTCTGTCTTTGGTTGGGTCACCTACAGGATCTGCTATCGGTGCTGACGTGTAACGAACTATGGCATACGGATTTGCTTTGTCGTAACAATCCCACAAGCCAACAGCTCGCATCCAATAATTACCAATAGAGTAATTAGCATGCAAAACAACATCGTATCTCTCACCTGTAGAAATACATAAAATCATCCGACATTTTGTTAATCAAATTAGAATCAGACGATTTGTAAATTGTGTTTCGTTTTCTTTAGCTTTATATTCCGTACTTTATATTTCACCATCATATCATATTATATAATAATATTAAGACGTGTTATTAGTTGTGTACTCTAAACAGCAGAAGAAATGGAATAAATATATATGTTTAATTAGACTGTAATTCCATATTAGAAATAATGTTCCCTCCCATAAAGCAGTTCAAATAATTGAAACATTCTTTGATTAAATATATTTAGGCAGTACTACCACGTGTTTTCGTTTTCCCCTATTGGATTATGTACAGTTTGTGTAATTGCTGCATTTGTTCCAAAACAATATTCAGATAATACTAACCGATATGGCATACTCAGGATTATTGGCAAAGTTGGAGAGTGACACGTGATGTAAAATATTTTCGTACCACTATTTATTTTAGTAGAAAATAGGTAAATTACAACAGGTAAAGGGCGTGGTTAAAACTGAGAGAGTTCTTCCTTATACTTGAGGAATTTCGATTGATTGACAGTTGGTGGTTACTTACCAGGGCTAATAATTAAAGCATCAACTACAAGAGGTTTAATAGGAATTCCATCATTAGTTATCACCAGAAGGGTGTGGTCATCCACAGACACCTGGAATGCACATGCACTACTTCCACCAATCAATCGAAATCGGTATCTTTGTCCTTGTGTAACCTCAAATACAGCAACAGGGGTTTGGGCCGTATTATTTTCATTCTTAATTTCAAAGTTCCTCGCTTTGCCGTTTATGAGTGCTGATAGTTTAACTGCTGGATCAAACTTATCGTGCATCTGATCCATAAAACGAACAATGGACGGAACCGGAAGCCATTCTTGGAATATTACGATATGATCAGAAAGATCTTGATCGTACAAAGCAGCATTATGATCCATGGACTTTGGATGCCGAACAATAAACGCCCCAATCAGACCATCGGCTAACTGAAGGCCCACATGGGAATGATACCAATGCGTTCCAGCCGGACCAACCACAAAATCATATCTGAAATAAAAAAAGAACGATATCTCAATCGTGGTGTGGTGGAATAAGCAGGAAGGGATATCTCAATACAGAATTCGTATCTATGTGAACTGATAAAACAAATAGATGTTATGTTCGTTCCGTTAGGTGTCTGTGGGTCTGGTTCTGGGCCTATGGCGATGGCACAATATAGTACCTTTAACCTTCAAATAGCCAAATGGCTATTAGATATCTCCCAGTAGGTTTTGTTTGGTTGGTGGGTTGACCCGGATTCGACCAATCTCAACATGTGGATTACATAGCAAAGAACTACATTAATAATAGGCCTACAGAGTTGGGCTGCTGTAAATGAATTCTCGATTGATAAAAAAACAGCAAGGCACCAAATAGATATTATTTCTTTCAATTCCCATGCACAAGGAACCGAGTCAAATCGGACACCAAGTCAAACCGCCACATCTAATCTCTCCCGCACAATACAACAGTATTTGAAATTTCTTTATGAGATAATCAAGACTACGAATATAGCCGTATTTTGAGGGCTTAAATTCATTGTGGCATAACGGTATGGCAAATGAAAGATGTAGCCAGTTTTAGATGTCAAAACGAATACGAAATATAATCTAGCCAATAAACATACTTGAACATTTGGTTATATTCTATAGCACATTGTGTAATAAATCCCACACCATCCATATAGCCCGAATTTCTCTGATGCTGTCCATGCCAATGTACACTGGTAGCTGCTGGATCTATCATTAGATTTTTAACCCATACTATAACTCTGTCACCATCACATACCTAATTGTATTAAAGAAGAAATCCGAGATATCTTTAAGTTACAGCGACATAAGGTGAGATTAAATAAAAAAAACTTTCAGTTCTCGCTATAATAGTTTAAAAATAGATAATGAAAAGAGAATATGCTTAAAATTTCAGTCAAATACCGTTGTTACGATAAAAAACAAAGTCTCGATTATCCATTTTTACGGTGACCGCATCGACCACAAAACGTATTTAAATCTACTTATATCGCACCCATTCGATGGCATCGAGATTTGATTACGGTCTTGATAAATTAATTAATGTCTAACATTTCAGGCCCAAACAAAGACCTGCAATAAACAGATTTAGCTCTTGCATAATGCCTGTTTAATTGTGACTTGTTTGGGGTCTCATTTGAATGTAATAAATACTAGTAAGTGAAACAAAAATACTGTATTAATTTATGAAATAATTAATGAAACGTTATAATTATAATGTGAAAGATACACTGTCCCGAAAGTATTCATCGGGTGGTTATTTCCAATAAAGGTATGTCAACGTTGGTATATATGGAAAGTATAGACACCCAATCTTACTAGAAAATTACTGGATTACCCGTAAAACCCCCATGGGGCAAGCATTAGGCAAAAATGTCAGGGTATCACCATATTCCGGAAGCAATGGTCCGAGAAATCCCTCTCTAGGCATTGCTGGATTGCCTCTGATACTTGAGCTTTTGAGGGAGTGTGCCTATTCTTCCGGTTCAATCAAATCTATCCCAAGTACAGCAACATGACAGCACTTCGTTTAATCTGGGGTCTTCCCTTAAACATTGGACAGTGATTTAAGCTATTAAAAACGGCGAAAGTATTGTTCGTCTCCAAACAGTATTGTTTACATTGCATCCATTTTGATAGCCTCGTTTGTCACTCAATTAGTTTTTCTGCAATATTCTGCTATGCATTGGTTAAAGCCCACGAGGTTGGACAGGCGACCCTACTCCTTGTCACGTCAACCGGTGAATCGAAACAACGCCAGTTGACTCAATGGCAGACCTAATGATACAGCGCGCACGTGCTATTCATTCGGCCATCCATTCACCCCCCCCCCCCACACCTCCGTGTTCAGTCGGAGTGTTTGCCTAAGAAGGAATGGGAAGAAAACCGGTACGTTGACGTGCACGTTAAAGAACCCTTGCAAGTTCGAATTTGACGAAGAGTTGGCTGAAACATCGCTCACGACACCAGGCAAATTGTCACTTATTCACACTGTATGGGGTAAGCCCGTCTTCATTTCAATCAATCCGATTAATAGATGTGTGTTTTTAAGAGGGATCCGCGGTGGCTCAGTGAGTTAGGCGCTGATTCACTAACCAGAAGGTCTCGGGTTCGCCACCGGTGTCGGCCGAGACAGATTCTCGGGTTTTCCGGCACGGGTTTTCCTTGTTAATGGCAAGTACAGTGTCTAGTCGTTCGGATGGGAAGAAAAACCGAGATCCCGTGTACTCACTGGCGTGCACGTAAAATAACCGTTGACAGTTGTAATCTGAAATAAGTGTAGGTCGTAACGCCGCTAACCGGGCAAAATTTTCCACAGCACAGTGAATGGCATTTGCTCGTCTTCATTAGCCCAGTCGGTGCAGAAAAGTGGGACGTTAAAACCCATTTCATTTGTCTTCAAAATATCATATTGTTACTTTACCTCTATTTTCGGACCAGGTATTTGTCTGTTAAAGGTGGAGACAACTCGTGGGTTGCCATCACCGGCCACACATTCTTCTCTAGCGCAATCACTTACGTTAAAGGGACAATCATGGCAAGCCTATTAAAAGAAAGACAAAGGGACAATCATGACAAGCCTATTAAAAGAAAGACAATCATAATATTAAACCACACAGGTGACAATTCTATGAAATACAATTACTGATTATTACTGAGCGACGTTTCAACTAGGCTTCTATAGTCTTTATCAACCAATGATCCTTGTCTAGTCACAATGTTGCTCATTGATAAGCACTAATTGTGACCGGTGTATTCCAGTTCAATTACTAAATGCCAATGAAACAATATTCAACCAGTCGACGTGTTATCGCTTTAACATTAAGCGTCGGTGAACCCGGAGTATGCAATAACAGGTTTACAGCATAACTTAGACTTTTTAAAATCACCACAAATAAGTTAGACCATAAATGAATATTATGTGATGTTTTTCATCGAAATCTATCAATTTTTATAATTTATGTTTTATATGAGTCAATGGCTTCCTGTCACGTTTGATAATTTTATCGCACATAAATAGGTTGAAAGTCATCATGAACTCAGAAGAAATATACGAGTTACTTGGTGTTCTTGCCAGAGAAAAAAACTAACTTATTTTTTGCTGGATAGTGGTATTTTTGTTACTAGAATGTGGTTAATTGAAGTAAGTCACTTGTACTATAATACTACTAATCAAAAAATCGTTATTTATAAAATTTTGTATTTATATTTACTTTCTAATCAACATACTAAAATGTTTCTCAAATATAGTACAACAATGTGAAAAAGTTACGTGCAAATCTGGACCGAAATACATGTACACAACAACATGTAAATAGTCTTCTTTTTCTGGGATACGATGTTTTTAAGAAAATTTATTTATATCTTATGGGTAGTGAACATAATATTTATCATTTTTCATAACACCTGCTTTGTGATTTATTGCAGGTTAACTTGTTTATTTACAATAAGATTTACATGTATACCAATAAAATATAGTAACAAATTAGTGTAATACTGTACGTGGACTTTATCATGAGAACCAAAATAAATGGCGGTCCCCTGATAAAGTATTTTTACAGAGGAAAAACTCGTTATAAGTGAGCGGTGTTAACACCAATTCGTAAAACAATACGTCAAATAAATAAGGCTAAATTTCGTCAAGGTCGCCGAGATGTAAATATGGTTAGGGCACGTGATTGTTGGCGAGGTTGTGTAGGTAAGCGTTGGGCTAGGTCCAGGGTTAGGGTTGGGATTAGCGCTAGCTCTGTTTACATCGCGTGACCTTTGACCAAACTTATGAAATATATCTAACCGTCAAATAAATAACAACAGTGGACTTCACCCACTGCGCACGTCCGTTCACTTTCCGTTAATATGTTTTTACGGACCACAGACGAGTCATGTCAAATGGATATTGTATTGGTAAATTGATTGCTAAATTTCAAACTATAATTTCATATAAAAGCTCACAACTAATAAGATGAATAAGATGGAAATTAAACAAGGCAATGTCCAATAAATGTACAAAATGACGTCTTGAAGTAAATCCTTCATTAATTATAAGTTGCTTATCAAATATTGAATGAATTGAATGAATAAATTAAACGAAAATTGAAACTTAAAGATACATTATGGGAGATTAGATAAAGAACTGTCAGTTTTCACTATAATAGTTAAAAACAAGATAATGTAAAGGGAATTTGCTGAAAATTTCAGTCAAATTGATCCAATCTGAGCCGAGATTTTAGCGATTGAATTTTTGGCCTAGCCTCTATCATCATTACTAAATTCGGCACGATAAAAACCATAGTCTCGATTATCCATTTCATGATTAAATCATAAATCGAAATGGAACAGCAAATCGGAACCTAATCCAATAAACATCGCAGGCTAGCGATGACATCGGGAGTTGATTATGGTCTGGATATGTTAACTAATGTCTAATTAATAATTTAGATAACATTTCAGGCCTAAAGAAAGACCTGTAGTAATAGGCAGATTTAGCGCTTGCATAATGTGTCTATTATGGTGTATTAAATGTTTATTTCCATGATTCGCTGTGCACATTGATATTTAGAAGTGTGGGGAAACAGTATTAGGTCCCAATGTCCTAAAGCATGGGTTTGAATATTACACTCCTCCTTTATATTATAATAGATTAAAAAATCACAGAGAACATGGTGTCTTTTCACCTATTGTCCGTGGTCCTTTATGTAAGTCAGGTACGCTCTCATTGGCATGTATAAAAGATATTTTGTCATTATACTATATATTATACAATCTCTCTATTCTATATCAGTTTATCGTTAATTTCAGATCAAATTTTTATTTGGGTTAATCGTAACAGAAATACCCACATTATAATAAGAAAAACGAATTGAACCGGTGATGTTGACCCTCTCATGTGAACGAGTTACATACCTTCGAAAGAACTCTATAGGACTCGACTGTGAAATTGTATACACACACTTGTGAGACTTCGCCCTTCACACACTCTCTTTTACAAGGGTGGTTTGAATAGGTCTGGGCTTAAATATTAAAAGTTCATAATTCAGTTAATACGAAATTATTTAATACAATTTGTGTAAAATAAATATAAGCAATATGGTTTATACTATATATATACTGATCTACTTAGCAAATTTAAACAGTGTTTAATATCCAACACTCCTAATTAGGAATTTAAAAAGTAATAGACTGACCCATAATAAAAGTACATTTCTTTATTACCTTGGGTTAAACAGGTCTCGGCTTACAAATTAAGTTCATAATGAAGTTAATACGAAAAATTTTGATACAATTTGTATAGATTAAGCAATATGGCCTATAAATGAAATGAAATGGGGTTTAACGTCCCACTGTTCTGCTCCAAAAAGGGCTAATGAAGACGGGCATACGCCATACAATATGCTATGAGGGAAATTTTGCCCAGACAACGGCACTACGACCTACTAGTATATCGAATTCCAACTGTCAAGGGGTCTTTTACGTGCACGCCAATGTGTACACAGAACCTCGGTTTTCCGTCACATCCAAACGACTAGACAGCTGTCCTTGTCACGCCCTCTGTCCTGCATCACTGACAAGGGGGAACCACGCCGGAAAATCTGGATGAACTTTCTCGGCCAATGCAGGGATCGAACACCCGACCTCCAGGATAGCGAGTCAGCGTCTTACGCACGTAGCCACCGTGACCCACAATATGGCCTATAAAAGTTTACATTTGATACCAATCTGCTGATCAAATTTAAAAAGAAGTCTAGTGACCAACCAAGTTATCTGCGACAACACTACTGTGGAAGCAGACGATAAACAACAGCTACAGCAACTACTATCGATACAACAAGGCGCTGCGTTAGTGTCCATGATGTTATGAAATTAATGAAATAAATTTGTAAAAAAACATCCCAGAGATTACAGAATCTGCATATCATACTCACAGAGCGGATCCCGGGTGTGTGGTCAAGGTATCTGTTACCATTCGTAAACAGTAAAGTGACGATTTTAATCAGTAAGTATTAAAAGTGGAAATAATGAAAGGAAAACATATCTGCTGAAGTCTCAGAATAAACCGAATGCCAAGATTAATATAGAATAAGATAGTTCGGTCACTATATGGATCCGCGCTTGCTATATTTATTTTGGTACACGCTAATCATTTGAATTTGGGTATACATGTATATTGTACTCGATGCATCTTTAGGAGATTATATCTATATTTATCTTTAAAAACATCAACACTTAGCAGATGAATCAACACATGCGGTGTATGTCATTTCAGCTAAAGATAAACGCATATCAAGAACTTTTACCCTGCCTGCATGGCATAATACGAGCATCAGATAACTTCTCAAACACCATATCTATGTCATAGATTTTTTTTTATGAAAATTGACATCGGCGTTGGGAGGGGGGTGGGGGCGGTAAGGCGGTTATGCAGATATGCAAATAATGCAAATAATGCAAACGAATGAATGTTTCCTGATGACGCGCTTTATCTTAGTACCTTACTGAATTTTAGACACAAAATAAGCAACGTTAACAGAAAATGGTGCAAATAAAATGATAATGACAACTTATACAATATATATAACAAAATATTTAAATACATCACGAAATTAAAGATGTATAACTTATTATAGTACGAAAGATAATTTTATGAAAGTAAGAAACATGAAGAAACGGGATAAATCAGTTGTGAGCTTTAATAAATATGCATGAATAGAGGTTATCAAACAAATGAGGTCCACCCTGGGTTCGACGAATTCAGGGCATTCTATAATCTACAGTCAAATGTCTATATCACCCGGTTGTCGCGTCCGATGACTGATTATGCTTTTTATAATTTATATAAGTTTATTTCTACTGAGCGGACTGTTTGCCTTGGATTAACAAATGTTTGTATACGCCGAGGGTGTTTATTATTCAGGGCGAAATCTATACCGTACAATTTATATTTACAAAGATCCTTAGAGACATCGTGGGTAAAAACGGAATATTTGAAACGAATCAAATATGTCGTGATAACTTTAAAAGGTTTATATGATCTTAAATTTCTATTTATCATCATAATACATACTCGATTTGACTAGATGCTTGGAAAATTACTTTATTACAAAACAACGACCTTGTCCGTGAAACATTTACAAGTAAAATGATAGAATAAAACAAGTAAAAAAGAAAAATCTAACTAAATAAGAACCGAATCGATGACTTATGGCAAAATTGGGGAACTAAATACTCAAAATATACTCCGTCCGCACAGATATAACTGAGTTTATCCGGGAACCGAATCACACCGTTACAGATGCATCTACTATTTTGGATTAAATTCCCTATCCATACAAGTTTTAGAAATAATTTAGAAAAACAATTCTTTCCATTCTTGAGATCTCCAAATGGTATACATGAATGTTTAAACTAATCGCACAATGACTGACGCGATAAAAGGCATCAGTGCATATCCATATTGTTTTTTAAAGTATTGGATGTGAAAAACGAAAATGGATCATTTTTATTATAGCATAAAATTGCAGCATTTGTAGGATTATAGACTAGTGTTATCAATGGATATTTTCACCATATTCCATGGGCCTCAGAGGCCTTAAAAAGGATGACACGATCTTCAAAGGAGAGAATTTGAAGGGTTGCCAAAGAGCTTCTGCTTCCTCTGTTGTAGTGACAAGGAGTGGGGTCGCCTGCTCAACCTCGTGGGTTTTCTCCGGGTCCTCCGGTTTCCTCCTGCTAAAGACCCCTTCTGCTAAAGACCCCTTCAATAGCGAACTATTGAAATAAAATTGAACCATGTGTTAGTCCCGAAATGCCCCAGTTTGTGTCTAGTGGACGTTAAACTCCATTTCTCTCTCGCTCTCTGCTTCCTTTCATTCATCCCCTCCATGCTGTGATCCGTGTAATGATGAGAGAGAGAGAAATAGGCTTTAACGTCCACTCGACACAGACTAGGTCATTTCGGGACCAAAATATGTTTAATTTTATTTCAAAAATTCGCTTGCGTATAGGGGTCTTTAGCCGGGAGAGGAAACCGGGGGACCCGGAGAAAACCCACGGGGTTGGACAGGCAACCTACTCCTTGTAACGTACAACCGGGGATTCGAAACCACGCCAGTTGACTCAATTACAGCGCGCACGTGCTAACCATTCGGCCATCCAAACCCTCTATGTACTGATGAAAATATTAGCTTCAATATTGGGTGCCATGATGGCTCGGTGAACAGCTTACTAGTTTGAAAGTCCCGGACTCTATCCCGGTATCGACCTGGAAAGTTCCTCGGGATTTTGAGGCTGGTGCAGGACGGAGGGCTTGTCGAGGAAAGCGTCTAGTCTTTTGGGTGGTACGGAAAATCCTTGCCCTGTCTATTCCATTGCCAACATGTTAAGAGTAGGCCGTAGCGTCGCTATTGGGGCAAAATAGTACTTGGACAAAATTCCCCTCGGACACGGCAGGGTGTATCCCGGTCTTTATTTGCCAATTTGATGGAGTAAAGCAAGACGTTAATCCCCATTTCATTTATAAAAGCTGTTAAAAAGTAAATTAATGTAAATAAAAATACATAAAAGTATATTATATTATTTTAATGTAAATAAAAGTATGTAAATGTATTTTATATAATTACCTACCTGTGCTAACCGTTAATAAACTAGCCAATGTGAAACAGGTAACGATAAACAATTCCGCTGCATTCATTATAAACAGTGATCTTAAAATGTCAATATGTAAATCCAAAGATTAAAAAAAAATCCGAGATTGTTAGGTTACAAACTCCTAATCAAACGATAAGAACTCTTATGCTTATCACACCGAGGACAGTGGGTCAGTTAACACTCGCAAGGCTTTAATTCCAGGTACATATATGTCAATTCATACACAAGTACTTTACTTCTGATCTACGTTACAACAAACACATTTAGAGTTCGGCACGCGGTTTAACCCATCTAATATAATACTAGCTATAGTGATGAGTAACATTTTACTTTATATGGGGTGGTTTTGTATATTATGAAATTACGTGGGTTTTAAATTATTATGTATCAACATAATATAGCTAATTTGCATTTTCCGAAAAACTTACATCATGGTTTTTGAAAGCGAAGATATGTATTTGACTTGTGGTGAGGACACGCTAAAATTGATTTAAATTATTTTGGAGTTGTGTAGTGAGTGGGGGGGGGGGGGGCTTTCCGGCGACATTTAACGCCCCCCTCCCCCTGCCACTTTTCCCAGACCTATACTACCTCATCACGATAATGTTGGCGGTTATAGTTAGTTAACCACTCAATGAACTCAAGTGGCAGGAAATTGACTAAAATTTTCAGGCCCAGTCCCCCAAAAATTAAAAGCTCCATTACATATTATACGCTATCTGAAATATATTTCTCACCTACGGCGCTTGATTCGATTCCACTATATCACCATTCTTCCACTCCTCTGTGGTCTTATAATATATCATCAGTATCTTATCCAACTCTTACAAAACAGGCAGAATTGACAGGCTGGGCTGATCTCGAGATTCTGTCCCATTTCTGTTCCTCTAATTCACAAGAATTTGATCCCATCAATGACCTCATTTGCCAGGAAATTGACTCGAGGTTTCAAAAGTATCTCAGCACCCCCCCCCCCCCAAAGCAGTACATGTATATAACTGCTTTCAGGGGATATAACGATCTATTTTGATATTCATTGTGGATGGGATTGGGGATGGCGCCCCTTGATTTGGAACCGACCCCCCCCCCCCACACACACACACACACACAATATTCGCAGTTTCTAGATCCGCTACTGTAAGTGTCTTTAAGAAAATACGTCAGATTTACCTGTTAACCAACTTTAATAAATTATTACGAACACCTCTATTGAATAATTATAATATTACATTTATACTTACGGTGTTAGTTAATAATATTATTTCACTTATCACCTACAACAATTGAATTGTATTGGAGATGACTACTTTGTAAGTTTTAGTAGCTTTTTTGTCCAATCCGTTCACTTTAAGTAATAAAATATGTTTAAATCATAAATGTAGATAGACTTCCTTTGCTTTCTAGGCCAGTTTAAATAATTCTTGTTTTAGCCCTATAATGATTTTCATTAAACCGACAATCGTTTAATTACTGGCTTATTGTATGAAATAGAACATCTATGCATAAATGATCACCCCGTAGTTATCCTACAATTGTATGAATCGTAAAGTAAAACTATACACTTTCTATGCCATCCTTGATGGATGTAATGGAAATAATTATAATTATACAATAAAACCTTATCGTCGTCCGCCTCCCCTCCGAATTATGATTTAACTTTGCTTGTTTTGTTTGTTTTTTTAAAAAAAAAAAAAAAAATCTTTACAGAACGGTTGGCTGGAGTTGCCTTACTATAAAACAGTTTGCTATATAATGTATTCAGTTCGTAACATACGAATTGAATACATTACATAGCAAACTTTTTTCGTATACAATCGAATTATATTTTTTTTAAAACTTTACTAAACGCTTGTCTGTAGTTGCCTTTATATAAGACATTTTGATATGTATTCAATTCGTATGTATACAATCGAATTATATTTTTTTTTAAAACTTTACTCTGAACGCTTGGCTGGAGTTGCCTTTCTATAAAACATTTTGATATGTATTTAATTTGTATGTATACAATCGAATTATAAATTGATCTTAATTTTATTCCAGTTTTGATTTTGGTTGGCTTACACTATAAGATCTAATTAATTCCTCGTCAATTGTTTGTTCTCTTTGAAATCTAATTTTAGCTATTGTTACTGGTTAAAATAATTCTTGACTAAGCCGAAGATTCTGTTCATTGGTTATAGAACACGAAAGGGCACTTATATTGTAAAACTAAAACTAAAGATACTGCAGCGCAAATGTAAATTGTATAAAAATGAAAGTAGGCCTAAAGTCCTATTTCAATTAGACTGTTCTCTATTAATAGATTATATAACTGAACGGATCTCTTTGGTCTGCTGCATCTTGCGGTTCCTTCAATTCCAGTTATCACCTTTATAAAACAGTTCGGCTTAGGATACAATGAAATGAGGTTTAATGTCCTACTGTTCTGCTCCGTCTGGGATAATGAAGACGGGCGTACGCCACACAATGTGCTATGAGGGAAATTTTTCCCGGACAGCGGCGCTACGGCCCCGGCTTACTCTTATATCTTATTTTGCCCGGACAGCGGCACCATGGCCTACTCTTGCATCGAATTCTAATTGCCAAGGGATCTTTAACATTCACCTATAAAATATTCCCACGTTGTCTATACATAAATTAAATTATCTTATCTTACATCCACAGATACGTGCAGCCAAAGGTATTTAATTTAATTGTGGAAACTAACGGTATTTACGAGATCGTTAATTCAAAGGCTAGGGTGGGTAGTCTAAAACTACTGTTAGCGGGTTCTTGAAGTTCTTATAAACAAGCTGCCATTGTATGTACCATAGCCAAGGCTAATTAAGCCAACGTCAATAATAGATTTATATAATCCATACACACACACACACCCCCCACACCACTCACCTTTGGCTCACAGTTATTATTGTAAAAAGATAGTTACATATAAATTGAATGTTATATTTATAATGACAACGCGCCGTTTTTATAAATGGATTGTGGTAACTCTTTAGATACACTTTAGTCTTGCAATTCAGAATGTCACAACATCAATTCACGACGATATGGCATGCTAGAATGATGTTTTACCGACAGATCAGTTCTATTAAACATAAAAAGTACATTTGACAGAATGAGATGTTTTGAAAGACTGTATGGGTCATATATGTGGTGTGAAATGGGTTTTTGAAAAAGCCATGGTCAGAACAACTCCTGCAGTTCTATGGAAGACGCAACAATATGCCCGGCTACTACACCTGAGCACCGATAATGCGCCTGTGAGTGGATTCCAGAGTCGCCGAAGAGTTGGATGCCACCACAGATACCATCCTTAGACTGTCATATCGTTTCCAGCAGATAAGGTCCACTACAGATTAGCCAATGTCTGGGCGGTAACGGGTGACCAACACATTATCCGGCAACAACTGCAGGATCGGGTTTATGTGCCACGTGTTCTTAGGTTGGGCCAATTGAGATCTGCAGACGTTTCAGCAACCAATGATAATGCTCGACCACATACATCTAGAATAACCTAATATCTCAACAATAGGGCATCTGTGGGACACTGTTAGACGTTGTCGTCAAATTGCGGTCATGAACGAACGATAACAAGTGTCAAGAGACCCAGAAATATGTCATTTTATAATGATAAACTTGAGTGTTTTAATCTATATATCCTTTTAGAGACTCAAAAAGGAGCAGAGGTGGTTTTCAAAAACATAAGTGGTTTAAAGATACCTCCCAAAGAAACCTATAAAGAGGAAGAGGTGTTTTTTTTGTTTTATTTTAAAAATGGACGATATAACTTCAAAGACTGAAGATATCATCGTTGATGTCATTATTGAGATAGGCCATCTGACGACAGTTTACAGACATAAACAGTCCTTCCCGATCATTTACTTGAGATTTACAGCCTGTTGAACACAGGTACCCTCATGTAATCATGAATAGTTCTAAAACTGAGCATCGTCCGGTTTTCAAGTTTCTCACATGTATGACCAATGTGTATGGGAAGGAAGCCCCTCAATATTCTACTGTTGCAAAATGGTCAGCTGAGTTTAGCGGGGTCGCAGCTTCTTGGACGATGACCAACGGCCAGGAAGGCCTGTTGAAGCCATCAGAGATGATATGGTTGCACGGGTCCAGGGCTTAATCATGTCCGATCGTAGAATAAAGGTGGACGAGATATCTTCAGGGTGTGGCATTTCTCATGGAAGTGTTTGCACCATAATTCATGAGCAATTGCACATGTCAAAGGTGTCTGCAAGATGGGTGCCACGAAACTTAAATGCACAAGATCGACACCAGAGAGTTGAATCCAGTCGTGAGCTCTTGGACATCCACAATTCTGATCCCGATAACTTTCATGCCAATCTGGTTACTGGGGATGAAACGTGGATTCATCACTGGGATTCTGACACCAAGCAAGAATCCCATGCAATGGAAGCATAAGCACTCTCCTACACCAAAGAAGTTCAGAACTCGGCCTTCTGCTGGCAAGATCATGGCGACCATTTTCTGGAATTCAAGGGGCGTGATACTTAAAGACTATAAACCACCTAAAACTACAATAACAGGAGCCTACTATACTGACTTGTTGAAGCAATTGGGAGCGGCGATCAAGAATTTGTGCAGAAATGCAAGTTGAACAAACCAATGTTGCCATGATTGGGGAGAATTTCCAGAACGGTCCTGCTTTCGATCCAAGTTCAAGATATTATGTTTTGAGAAATGACTCTACGTTGTGATTTTTTAAATACTCAGATGTACTTAATTAATCCTGTAGATCCAGATTTTAACAAAGGTTTCGGGAGTAAGGGGCACAATGATCGTGACCTAGGTTACGGTTAATGGTCAGACCAGTCTATTATCATGCGACCTTACATGAGTTTTTTTTAATGATGATAACACACAATATTTGTTATCAATACCAAAAACACTTCTTTAAACCTGATACACAATAGTGCTTGACATATTTCCACATATTTGATTATAAAGACGAGTGGTGAGGATTTTCGAGCTACTGGGGAATCTATATCTGGTTAGTTTTTTGCGAAGCACTGAAACACCGAAATGCTGTGAAACTAATGTCAAATTAAACAAATTCTAGATTGATCCTTTGGTGAGAAATTATAGAAGGTAGAAAAGAAGACCATGTTAATCCACGACTTATATTAACATTCTTTAAGACTGTCATAAAATCGCATTGTGTGAAGGCAGTTTAATTAATAATATATGATAATGATGATACCTTCGTCTTAATATGTAACCACAATACAAAGTGTATATAAGACCCTGATTGCTTGAAGTCACAACTGTGACAAAGTGATCTATACCTAAAGTTGACGTTTAAATTGTGTTCGTTATTTATTTTTAATAAATAAACTGTGGGTGGGAAAGGAATGTGACAAAGTGATGTATACCTGAAGATGACGTTTAAACTCTCTATAACTTCTGTTAAGGCACGATCTTATTAAACATCTAGTTTATTCAATATGTTCTTTACAAGCTACAAGTGATCCGTGTATAACACTAGACAGAACTTCAAAGAAAATGTATTAGTGGTCAGTGCCTTGACCTGACAATGACTTCCAAAGAAATATGCAGTGTAATTACAAACACGATAATTTGATAATAAACAATACCATATTATGATTATCACTCCTGTCCATCTCCCCTAATTGTTAAATGCTATATAAGCAGGCGTTTACTGACAGTAAGTCAGACTTGGAATAGAGCTCCTCCCGATTTATGTCTATTTCATATTCTCAATAAAGGTCTTATATCAATTATGCTGATCTTCTGTTATCTGTAAGAAAGTGTTACACAACACATCCGCACATAAACACAATTCCACTAAAAAAGATATGCAAAAAAGGTTTGCAATAATGAATTGTCTAAAATACATCAACCAAGATAGAATAGGGATGTATATATAGGTTAGCATGATGAATGCTTTCTCTGATAAAATCTACCACCTACTCGGACAACTTGGTTAGCTAATCACATTATAAAGGGGAGAAATTCCAACTAAACCAAGACCACAAATGGATAGAAAAGAAATTAATATTCTGATAATAGGAGCAAGTTTCTACTTCTCCTAGTTCTTGTCAGTTCTGTGGAAGCTGAGTTAAACAACCACTAATCCATCAGTCAGAAGTTAGAAGATCGTTCAGTTTCTGAATTTACTACTGAAGAGTGGTTACAGAGTTACCTCATGTATTATATAAGGTCCATGGTAGACGAGGTTTAGAATGTTTTTCCTAAGTGCAACTTATATAAATAAAGTTAATATTCACATCTCAAAATAGGCATTACTGGTCATTTTTATGCATTTACAATGACCAGATCTTTTGTTGATTTCATTGGATTTTATGTGTTGATTAGTTGTAAGGAGATAACCATCTGTCTTCATTCATAATTTGATGTCTATTGATAAAGCCAGATATAACTGATTTTGTGATCAACTGTTGACACAGTAATCCAAGAATTAGACTAAAACTGGTAAACAAGTCGACTTCCACTTAATCTTTCAAAAGAAAAATTCAATCATATAGCGCTTGATGCATCACTAATTGAAATTAAATATCAGATCCATCCAATTGAATACTTTATTTTGGCCGAAATCAAAGAGGTATAACCCCTTTAATAATAATAATACAAATAAGTCAAAAAGATATAACTCCTTTAATAAAAATAAGAACAACTATTTGGTTCTTGTCTTTAATAATCATTTGTTGAACAATTCATGATTAAATGAGTTTTAAGGTAACAAATGCCCATTCTTTTACTGCCTTATCATTCTCAACCTAATCTGTTTTGAATAATATCAAAAGTACAAGCTCTAACCTAGTATGGTATGTTTTAACCAGAGCATGTTTACTCCTTGAAAACCACTAAAGATGTGTATGAATCAAATCAAAGACTATGTTTTTCCCAACCCTAATCAAGTACTCCTTTAATAAATATCATCTTTTCTTCCCCAACTCTCGATCTGTGAGTGAGTTTTGGTTTATAAATAGTCTATTGATATAACTGAATCAGTTCATCACTAACAGCTGATGGAGTTAAAACACCTAAATCAGTAAATAATAATGATATATAAGATGGTGGGGTATAATCAACCAATGGATGAACTTGTTCCAAATCACATCCTGATTTTAATACCGCTGATGGATACTGAAATAAACAAAAACAAAAATAAATAAATCTATACTAATATTTGTGACTGTTGTTTGTCTGTCTGTTTGTCTGTCGGTCTGTTCGGGGTTGGCGGCTACACTAGGTCTGCCCCGTGTCTGAAATTTGGGGTATAGGAGTAGCTCGGACCGGGGAGTAACATAGGCCAGGTGGCGTTAGTCTACCACTTCTGGTTTCGGGGTTATGAAACCCGAGCGAAGCCGGGCATTCTTCTAGTAAAATATAAAGAATAAAAGAACAATTTAAAAAATCTGACATTTAATTTTTCATGGGAAATTCACTCTACAATTGATTATTTAACATGTAATTTAGAAAACGTTGTACCTCAATTATTACACAACAAACGGTCTGAGAGTTATGTGTCCTCTGGGTTATTTTACACATGGAACAAGTGTGCGAAGTCTTAACAAGATTGGTGTCGAAAAGTTAGTGCATATCTTAGACTACTAAACGCCCTTAATCAAATGCATAACTCTTTATTTGAATAGAATTCCCCATTCTATATACTTACTTTATATTCTGATGGCAAATCTTTTTGATTTAAAGGGTAGAGACGAACAAATTTAAAACTTTCTGCTACAACATAGAATGGTTTATTCATAGCTTTAGCTGATATAGCTGAAGTAAAAGTTCCAATCTAAAAATGAAAGGACACAAAATTATCATTGATGTATTTAACAAAAAAACGACTAATACAAATACACATGTTGCCGACTAATTTGATATTTGAATAGATATTGGTTTTTACTGTTTATATCACCAAATATATCAACCGAAATATCAAATTAATTAGATTCATTTGTCCTCGTACCAAATTAGTTACTATAATCTGCCATTTATCAATATGCTAAACTTTCAATATGGGTTGAAAAAAACCAAAATACACTGACGTTATACTGGTTATTAAAAATAATAGAACTAAGTACCTTATTAATAATACCACCACTTTCAACCACACCTTCTGCTCCAACTAGTATTAAATCTACACTCTCCATAACATACCTATATTACAGCAAATATATTTCATAATATTTAACATAACGTATATAACTATATCACAGCAAATACATCAGGGGCGGATCCAGGATTTTCAGAAAGGGGGGGGGGGCAAAAATTGTTCGCCACCACAAAAAATAAGGGGCCTGGTGCGTGCGTCGGGTGCGCCCTCCCTCTGGATCCGCGCCTGTACATGTATATATCATATTATTTAACATACTATACCTATATCACAGCAAATATATATCATATTATTTAATATAAGAGATAATTTAAGATGAATAATGACAAAAACTGTTCAACATCTCAATAAGGTATCAGATGCTCTAGCAAGGGCAAGCTTACACTACCTCCTGTACAACACTTGTCACAAATTAATGCTAAATTTATCAATTATTTGATTAAAGAAGTTATAACAGTATGCTTAATGTACCGTTTATAATTCAATTAGAGTCTGTAGCTATTCTGGTTCTTGGCCAATACAATTAGAATCATATTATAGGACAGAAAATAATAACATACCCAACTGATGCGTCTAATATTAAAGTATTTGGAATACCTAGAGCTGTTAGTTCATTACACGTTTCAATACTGTAAAACAAAATTATAATAGGTTGCAATAAGAATTGACAAGAATCTGCATCCTAACAAAGGGCAATAACTCAAGAACTTATCAGAAATTGAAACAAAGAATATAAATTTAAATTTAGATGATAAAATTGTGTCAACGGCAAATACTCTGGTAGTAATAAATTGAAATCCAACAGGATTCTTTGATTTGCAAATCTGATCAATGCATATAAATGTCAACCAGATTGGAAGATAACTTTTGTAGCTAGAGTATTCACAAGTAAGCAAGGGGCCATAACTCTAGAATAACAGAAATTATTAAAGTTTGACAGGCTTCTTTGTCTCACTAATATGTGAAAAATATCCTATGGCAAATGTAATCTGAAGAATGTTCACCATACATTGTGGGCAGTGGAGGCAAAGGTAATATACAATCAAATGTCAATGTATGTGTATAAAAATCTAAATCAGTTAGTGCACATCAATAGCTTAAATTTAGCAAAATTATCTACACAATTAACTGATGAAATTCAACGATGAATATTTGACACGTATGCAATCTACCTCTATTCGATCCCAAGAACTTTCAGTGTAAAAGATGTACATATTTTCTAGTCTAACATAATTGCAAACTACTGGCCAAATGCACATAGGTATCCACAATATGAATTGGCTTCAGTCACTCACAGACAACACATTTTCAAACACATTTACGCAACCTGTAATAAATACATACCCTGATTTATCTGGTAGTGACTCTGTAACAAAAACTTTAAATCTCTTTCGTGTTAGACTAGCTTCTTTTAAAACTTGAAGAACAACTCGTGATTTTGAGTGAGTCAAAATAGTCTGAAAGAATGACAGTAAATCCAGCTAATTACTTCCATGTGTGGTTTCTAACATATATTGTTTAAAACTAACTAGGTCTTCAGTAAGTTTTTTTTTTAAAATTAGGAGGAAGTTTGAGTACCAGAGAAAACCCATGAAATTCGGCTTGGGATTGTTCCCATAACTGGTGTAATGGTTAATCCCTTGGGTAAATTAGATCAATTCTATGTATACCTTAGCAATGATTTTAAATACAAAACAGGTTCTGTTAAACATGCATTATGCAAGCGCTAAATCTGCCTATTACAGGTCTTTCTTTAGGCCTGAAATGTTATCTAAATTATTAATTAGACATTAGTTAACATATCCAGACCATAATCAACTCTCGATGTCATCGCTAGCCTGCGATGTTTATTGGATTAGGTTCCGATTTGCTTTTCAATTTCGATTCATGATTTAATCATGAAATGGATAATCGAGACTACCGGTATGTTTTTTTATTGTACCGAATTTAGTTATGATGATCGAGGCTAGGCCAAAAATTCAATCGCTAAAATCACGGCTCAGAGTGGATCAATTTGACTGAAATTTTCAGCAAATTGCCTTTACATTATCTAGTTTTTAACTATTATAGTGAGAACTGCCAGCTCTTTAACTAATCTCCCATAATGTATCTTTAAAGTACAGATATCCTTTATTTCATCTGAGTGTAATCCAGGGCCTATTTTAAGGATTATTTGATGAAGCACGGTCTCCGTGTCAATGCTTATTTTGGGGGTGGGTGGGTTCGCTCCCCCTGGCTCCGAGAAAATTTTCAAAATTCGACCGCCAGAGAACGCCGGAAACACCATTTCCAAGTAGAAAGTGATCAGTTCAATGTAGCTCCTTAGCTTTCAGAAATTGTGACCAAACAGATCATGAACTATAAACAAAACAATCGGATAAAACTCACCAGAAGTAAACTAATAACTTCCAGAATTATTATCACACTACTTACACTTTTAATACCAAAGAATTGACTGACAGATTTATGTATATCCGACCGCTTGTCAGGACATCGGATGTTCAAAGAAAAGTCCAAAGTCGATTCAAAGAATCAGCCTTGGGCCCGTATTTTCGATCCGATTTTCGAGAAATGAAGGGTCTGTAACATCTCTTCTGATAGGGATAAAAACACACTGTTATATCGCATAATGGAAATGGGCGGTAACCTAGCTTGCGTCCTTGAAACAACCAGTGAACCATGCTTGGTTAGTAGCTTTACCTGTGGGTCTTTCGCGGCGGTCCTTCGCATTCATCCACGCTCGCACAGCCGGTCGAACATCAAAATTTGCAAGAACTGGCATGTTTACACGTACATTCAAATATGCATCTACAGTTTCGCTGTTTAGACTGCATCTGTCGTCATCTTTGACCAGATTATAGGAACTGACAAGTCTTTCTACATCGCACGAATGCGGTTATGCGGCTATAATTCTGGCCAATGTTATGGAGATAACTTTCCAAAGTGAAGAAAAATAATGAGACTGGATACCAAGTCAAATGACGTGATCGATGATCACAATGACTGTTGATGGCGCACTTGCTCATTGCATGATCGCACATTTTACAAGTACACACTCAGATTCACAAAGATATACACACCTTTTTTCAGAGCACGGATTTCAGATTTTCAAACACGGATTTTTCATCCCGAGGCACGTTAAAATAGGCCCTGGTGTAATCTTCATGTTGTTATTACCCTTGATGACCAATACATTATGGGTATGAATACCTGTGATGTAACTTGGCAGTTGGTACTCTGCCAGTTCTCCATAGTCATATAGGCACTGGAGGAATTGTCACTGTCACTATGTCGCAGGGCTTCGCAAGGTATAAAATGTTTTACAATACTCATACTTACAGTTCCATCTGTTATAAAAGGATTGGCAATTTTAGCGATCTTCTGTCGAGAATTTGAGATTCTTTCCAAAAATATCTTTCCTCTTTTTACAAGAATCTTCTGGATTTCTTGAAAATCCTAAAAAATAAAATGAAGTGTAACTATGCTTTTATACGATCAATGCAAAGGCCAAACAATCTTTTAGCTATGTGAACACCTCAAATGAGAAGTGGTAGCAGGTGTTCCAGAAAGAGTATGCATTCACAAGATTTCATAAGTCTGAACATAAGAAGGAGATAACTCTGTGATTTGCAATCAAAAACTTTGAATTTCAAGATGGTTCTTTTCATCCAATGAATAATCCCTGCAATTGAAAAAAATCATGCAGGTGACTACAACCTTTACATTCAAAGTGGGGATATCAAAATATACAGCTTTTATCTACTTACAGAATGTTGTAAATTAGTTAATGTTATAAAACGTAAGAATAGATCACAACCACTGGCTATAGATGTATAACTACTGTCTGTTTCTGTTAATGTTGATATAGCATCTTTTAATCTATATCGCATCTCTGATAATGTCTCCACTGAAATAACACAAATAAATATGCATAAATAAATAATTGCTATTTCATGCCTTGTCAAATTTATAGGACAAAGAAATTGCGATTACAAATGTTAAAATTTCTCATCAATTAGAGCACGTCAGGCTTTCCAGGAATGAAGCATCAAATCAACTGCTTATTTACAATCCCTAAACATCATTTGAGCAGTTTTGAATCCCGTACAACGGGGAGTTGAATAGCCAAATGGTTAGCATGTATCATAAGGTATCATAAGGTCAACTGGCATGATTATCAATTCCCTGGTTGTACATGACAAAGAGTAGAGTTGCCTGTCCAATCTTATGGGTTTTCTCCGGGTCTTCCAGTTTCCTCCTACTGCTGAAGACCCCTACGTGCAAGCGAATTATTGCAATAAAATTGAACCATGTGTTAGTCCCAAAATGACCTAGTTTGTGTTGAGTTGATGTTAAACCCCATTTCTCTCACTCTCTCTGAATCCCTTACAAACCACAATATTGTTAATCTCTAGAAGAAATATCAATACCACAGCTGGTTCAGTTCATCCTGTATACAAACATGTGATAAATTGAAAATATTTGTCAACATTTGGCATCTTTAGACGATATACACAGGATATGTTCAAAACAAGCCAATGTCTTCTAGATCATCAATAAATCTTTTGATGGGCCTCTTTTAATCTAACAGAATCTAAGCTGGGAGTCTATAAACTGCTGATATTATGCTTTGTTAATTAAATGTTAAACAATCAATTTGAGTTCATTTTAACTTTGAGTAAGACTTCAGAAAATCAGGCATTGTCTGAAAAATGTAAGATCGTCATTGACCTAAGGGAAGGCATCTGAAAGAATAACTTGTGGATCTACTTCTGTATAATTTTGTTCAAATGTTATATCATGTGTTGACTTCTGGTACAATTTAAATCTTACTTTCGAAATTTAACCAAAAAAGCTCACAGAAAACATTATTTAATAAAGTGCACAGTCACAAATTTAGTAAGTATCTTCAAAAAGTACATTATGCCACATTTTTTAAAAAAGTTTATGCTTGCATCAGAATCACAGTTACAATAATGTTAAAGGGATGCTATTATTCTTGGTGCAGCATGAATGAAACTATGAATCGTCTTATTTTTTCTGTTATAATTTACAGTATGTATGCATATTAACATTTTGATTTTGGGTTGAATATCTTATAGCATGAAAAAAATAAGGCTTATGCAATAAACATCATTGTTGCTGAATTGTGGATCAAGTTATAATTCAATGGGTGGATCACATTTACTGTGTGAACATATTTTGGATCAAATAACATAGGCCTAAAGTATGTAAAAGTAAGGCTTATGCAATCAACATAATTGTTGCTGGACTGTTTATAACTAAAAATAAGATACTCCTTGGCAGTCCTTCAATACAAGCCATCTTGTCATCCATGTCTACATGTACTTTCAACAACCGCACATTCACAAGTTTTACAGAAATCAATTTTTACAGAATTTCATCATAAACACTGTCCCAAGCTTTAAAAGTAAAAAAAAACTGAATGGCAATATAACTCTCTGAAACATGTTCAGAATTTATAATCTGAAAATTTTAACATTCCAGGGTCTTTCTTATGCTCCTCCAATGAATAAGTTTAAACAATTCCGACGTGAACTCCATCCTGTATCGCATTCATAACATTTGATAAATTTGATTACACATGATGTGCAAACATCTGAATTTAGATAGGGGTCGGCTCAGCCTTCCATGTATACAATTTCGCTCTCCTGTCTGCTTGGAAAAATTATGAATCAAATTATAAGAAACTTGCAGAAATTAGATCTCAGGAAATGCATAGTAACTATTACACTTGATGATATCAAAAGCTATCAGAGTGTCCAAAAATCTTAAATTGGGAGGATTTATCTTCTGATCCCCCATCAGGGCTCTGACGCTCCGAGTGGTAACAGCATAAGGCCTTAAAGGATGTCTGAAGTGGGATTAACATGGAATGCACCCCGGGACCCAATGAACAATGCCTTAGAATATTGGAACCATATCTATTCACAGAAAATTTGGGACAAGCAAATAATGAAAATGTACTTCTGGATTAAATATGGACATAATGTAAGAGTTATTGAGTTCTATAAACATTAACTTACATTTATAAAGTTTTATAAACATTAACTTATAAAGTACTATAAACATGAACTTACATTTATTATTCTATAAATATCAACTTACATTTATTAAGTTCTATAAACATTAACTTACATTTATTGAGTTCTATAAACATTAACAATGTTTTTATGGCAGCCACAGCAGCTGATATATCAGGGTCTTCTTTAATAACTTGACTAAAGTATGTCAGAATTTCTAAAATAGATAAAAAAAATAAAATAAAGGTATAGTAAGTTTAACAATACTTGGCTCGAATATATACTCTTCAAAAAAAAAAGTAGGGGATATTCAGAAACAATACAAAACTGCGGAAATGCACTGCTGTTTTTAACCAGTGTATGTTAATAACAGTCCAATTGCCTACACATGAACATAAACAGTTGATATGGGCGACTTATCTGACGGTACCATTTCACTCGCAAAGAGATACACTGTCAAAAGTGAAAATGGACGTTTTTGATTTTTGTCTTAATAATGAGTAATTGCTCCACCAATCCTCAGACATTCAGCAATTCGTCGTGGCATGCTCCTAATCAACCATCCAATCACGATTTGGGGTCATCTGACCCACTCCTCTTGCAGTGCCACGGCCAATTCTTGCAGTGTTGTCGGTTGACGTTGACGTCGACAAACACGTCTCCCGATCAAATTAAATGTAACACACTAAAGCAAAGATTCGCTAAACCGTAAATCGTATGCAAGAACCGATAGGAAAGCAAACATGGATAGGATAATCCAGCACACGGCAGTTTTTATCAACCCTTGAAGTGTCAAATTTGACACGGAACCCCTCCCTCGTGTATGGCGTTATTGTGTGTCGCATGTGCAGCTCAGTGGTTCTGTTGGGGTGATAAGTTCTTCATTTGTGAACATACATGTACTCTCAAAGCATGTCCAATGTCCATGACTATTTATCATATCGCAACCTGCATAGGTATTTGCATTTCAATATCCCCTACTTTTTTTAATCCAGCCTCTGATAATGTCGCGTAATGGCAATTATGTATTGAAGTCAGCAATTGTGGGCACACATGAAAACTAAATGTTTAGACCATTATTACCCATATTTCTTTGTTGCAAATACATTGTACAATTAATCAATCTTTTTCCAACCTTGATGTCTTTACATTATGTCAATATCTATTCAGCAAATTGATTGGATGACCTATTTTCCTAATTATATTTTTAATTTGAAACAGCGGACTCAAAGATAGAGAGTTGGGTAAAAAAAATTTGTAAATTCTTAGGGTTAGGTTCAGCTTTTCTTGGTTAGGGTAAGCAAATAGATTAATCTTCGACAGCCAGGTGACGAATTTCCTTTCTCACTTCATTTTATTATGGTAAGTCAGTGCCATTTGTTTAATAGATATATTATTATTTCCCCAAGCATATTTTTAATTATATCATAGCTGCAGATTTGGTTTTGCATTAAAATTCCTCAGGGTTTACCCTTGTCAGTGATGCAGCACTGAGGGATTGGCAAGAAACAGCATAGTAGTCATTCGAATGGGATGGAAAACTGAAGTCCTGTGTACTGTGTAGTGTGAATGTAAAAGAATAAACCCTTGACAGTTGAGAGTAGGTGGAAACACAGCCGTTCGGGTAAAATCTTGCTCATCCTCATAATAGGCCTAATGACTACTGGTAGTCATAGCACTACATTAGTTACAAAACTGTGTTTAGCGCTACAATTGATACAGTCTAAGAGGCCTTACACAAGAACAAATATGATCAAATGCACAATTGGCAACACATATCATTACAGTTTGTATTGAAATAAGTAATTCTATCACAAATAGTGAAGACTGGACCACTAAAATAGTTACCGAACAGTTTTTCTTTGTGGTAATGCATTTTACATTTTCAAAGCGATGTCTCTTATAATGTGAAAGCTACCATGACACCGGCCACTTGAAATAAGTTCGTTAGTCGAGAAATTTTGTGTAGCCTTTGGGTTTCATATCATATAATTAGGCGGTAAGGCTTCACCTTTATTTCAATAGGAATTGGTTTATTATGTTAAGCTATGTGCAGTACAGTTTTGGGTCAGTTTATGTGTAAATTAAGGGAGCTATAGGCCAGTAACCTTTTTGTAGTCATTTGACTAAAAAACTTGCGCAAAGGAACTCCGTAGGACGAGCCACTACTGTGGCTGGTGTATGGCGGAAGACATCAGTAGTGGAACCATTCCTAGTTTTTTTTATACGATATGTGCAGTAGAGTTTGGGGTCAGTTTATGTGGAAATTAAGGGAGAAAAGGCCAGTAACATTTATGTAGGCATTTGACTAAAAAACTTGCTCAAAGGAAATGCTGGCATAAGATGGAAGACATTAGTACTAGTAGTGGAACCATTTCTAACTTAATTCTAAGTACTACATGTTCATCTTCATTATCTTCATCATATTGACCTTTTAGTTTTAGGCTTTTCATGGCCCTGAACTGTAGGCCTAAATCATAAAACCATTTTATTTCAGAAATGATGATGTTATATCGAAATTAATGGGAATAATAATTCATCTTCCTTTTACGTTTATAATAATCCCATTTCGAATTTTGACAAATGGGATTCTTTTCTTTCACTTCAGCATGACACATTTCTCAATTTCACTCTTTTCAATTCAAAAACTTTTAGCATGTCATTTTTATCAATTTAACTTACTGTCTTTTTCCATATTATCTTTAGCCATTTTTGAATAATTTACTGTCTGATATTAATAAGATATTTATTTTTCCATACGAAATACGAGCAATATGTTTTTCTTAGGTTGCATCAGGAAAAAAATTGTTAGAGTTATCTTCCCAAGCCCTCACCCGTGTCTTAATGTGTCATCGCTTCTAATTAGGTTTCTTAAAATAGCCATCCAATCAAATTGTTCGTCACATTTTTTATAAGTATACCGGTTGATCGAGACGATAAACCTATGAAAGAAGATAGGATGCGTGTTTATAAGTTTCTTCGTTGATGGAAACAAAACATTAAGCTCTGTTTTAATTAGAATTTGTTAAAATGAATAAATAACGAATAACTTTCCATAAAACCGAAACCACTATTTCAAGATGTCAGGTAGTAAAATTACTTGGGAACATTTTGTGCTATATGAACTTTTAATTGTTCATCAATCAAGTTGAACTTAGAAGTAAACAAACTTGAATCTGGCAAGAAATATATATGTCTGATATATTGGATGGTTTGAAACAAATAATTCATTATGTTACAAGATTATTCAGAGGGAGACCAATTCTAACTGAAATTTGCTGCAGCCCTGGCTAATTTATGTTAAGCTATACAAAATATGTTTTCAGATTTCACAGCATTGTTATACACGACACTACACTAGAACACTACACTATAATAGTAGTTTACGTCTGCTTTCATTAACTTCTTCTTTGAGCGGCATTTAGCAATTGACATACATAATAAACACAAAAACATATTATGGAACACAATTACTATTCATTAACTTGCCAGAAAAGGTTATGCATCAGTGAATTTGAAGGCCATGGCGGTCCAGCACTATTAACTGGCATAATCCCAATAACAAATTCACTATCCAGATCCATAGTTATATCTTATCTACAGATGACCAAAATGGTTTAGCACTAACTACATGCAGGAACTCACTAAAATGTGCTTTATGGTATTAACTTCTTTAAAAAGTTTAATTTGAAAATGCACACATGTCACTGATCAGTTAACCTAAAGTCCATTCTTATATTAAAGAAGGTACCAGAAAGGTTTTTTAGTCCATTTTTAAAATAGATGTAATACCTCTCAACTCAATCTGTGACAATTAAAAACATCCATGAAATCTACATAGACTATATTTTTTAATTTATCTCAATCGATTTTGTTTGCATTTTTCAGACAAAAATAACAGTAGTCTGCTAGTTATTATCTTGGATACAAATCCAATATGGTGGGGTCAGACAAACTCAAAATCTGGAGCCAATGTAAGTATAGTTAGCTGATCCATTTTTGGTAACAGTATGTAATCTTGATGCTTTCAGACCATTATGAGTGATTATTCTCCTTGCACACGGGTCTCCTGGACTCACCTCATATTTGGGGAGTTGGATGGCCGAATGGTTAGCACACATGCGCTGTATCATAAGACCTGTCATTGAGTCAACTGGTGTGGTTTTGAACCGCCGGTTGTACGTGACAAGGAGTAGGGTCGCCTGTCCAACCTCGTGGGTTTTCTCTGGGTCCTCCGGTTTCCTCCCACTGCTAAAGACCCCTACGTGCAAGCGAATTATTGAAATAAAATTAAACCATATGTTAGTCCCGAAATAGCCTAGTTTGTGTGCCCTGGACGTTAAACCCCATTTCTCTGTCGCTCTCTCACACCTCAAATTTATAATAGATCTCCTATAATTGGTTTGATAAGAATAAGTAGGAAATACATTTCACTCACTTGAATTCTTTTCTTTTTTTCCTACAGTCCTGTTTATCCACATGTCTCAACTCGGTCATGGTGTTTGCTAATTCTCACTTAATGTTCAGTCATTCTAATAAACTGGCAGTTATAGCTGCTCATACAAATAAAAGGTAAGCTTACAAACTTGGCCTAATGGATTTATTATTGTATTGGAAGACTAGGAATTTGATTTATTCAATTTAAACCTTGCCTTCTTCTGTATTCTGCGGTGGCTCGGTGCATAAGGTGCTGGATCATGACTAACCAGGATTTGCCAGTGTAATTCCCTCTTGTCATTGATGCAGTAAAGGGGGTCTGGCAAGGAAAAGTGTCTAGGTGTTTGGATGGGACAAACACTGAGACCTCATTCATGGACACGTTATTGTGCATGTTAAAGTACTATTCCAAGTTGGCATTCCATTAGTAGTCTTATCTGTCTTAATTAGCCCTGTTCGTGTAGAAAAGTAGAACGTTAAACCCCACTTTATTTGGCAAGTGAAATTAGTTGTTCCAGATTTGTACATACCTGCCACTAAAACTTATAGTTATGAGGCTAAAATTGATCAAATATTATTGGACCAACAATGCCCTCAAAAATGTTTTCGTTTGGTTTACAATTAAAAAGAAACCCAGAAGATAAGAATATGTAACACACGGAAATTGTTATATTATTTGGTGATTATACTACTTTCAGTTGTTTCTTGTATCCATTACCGAAAGAACCAGTCACCATTGATCCCGTTGTAGATACAGAGAATGAAACAGAAGAAAATTCAGTAAAAGTTCCACAAATTGGTCAAAATGATGGAAAATATGAATTATTTGCCCAGTTTAATGAAACTATTAAATCTGAAATTCAAAACTTAATATTTAATGGTTAGTATTTAACTTTTATCAACACGTATTAATTAACTCTTTGTACTTGAGTCAAAAATAGATTGATTTACAATACTGTATGTAGAGGGTTCATTTTTGTATCAATTAGCCGTTAGAGTGCTGCAGCCAACTATAGTCAGCCGATTAATATCTCTGGTTACATTACTGGTTGGACTGTGGTGTCTCAATGAATAAAACGTTGGCTTGCCAACCTGGAGGTGTTAGCTACTAAAGTTTATCTGGAATTTCCGGCATGTCAGTAGTGCAGGATATAGGGTCTGCACAAAAAAATTTCTCTATTAGCACACTCATTGTAAGGCGTATGCCCGTCTTCATTAGCCTAGTCTGAGCAGAATAATAGGATGTTAAACCCAATTTCATTTTAAACACAAAATCATACAGTGGATCAAAAACAAGGACACAACTAATTCTATCGTTGGGTGCTAATTTTACCAATCAAATATTTTTAGTCCTTATATTTAATGTAATTGTAGTGATCAATTTTTGGGCTGTTCTTGGTGAGTTTTCAGATTTCCATGGAGACAAATAGATCAGATTACATTAGTTTTAATTAACATCGCATAACAAAAACTAAAAATTCAAAATGATAGTAATAAATCAGAAAATTATCAATTAAAGTAAATAGATCCCTGAATCAGCTATATGATCTATTTTATATGGCAGGTATTTAAACCCTGTACTTTTTTATTTTCAGATAAACTTGAAGGTGAATTGTATTCAGATTCCTTAATAGCTGGAGCAATGTCCATGGCACTGTGTTGTATCCTTTTTAAAAATATCATGTTGATCATAAAATTCTTTGCCAAATTGTCAAGCTCCATGATAGAATGAATGAAATGCGGCAAATGAGATTTCCAAAAATTTGATTATGTGTCTGGTGTGTTTTTGCGTGGTTTAAAGGGAAACTAGCATAAGTAAGACATTAAATCTTGTATGTTGATTAGGCCTAAATATAGTCCAACTCTAAAAGTAAAATAGTGAGGTTTATTTTATGATCAGTAGTGGAATACCACGTTTCATCAGTGAAATAAAAGTGTTATTCCACTGGCTAGTTGTTTTTACCTAAAATGATTGTAAAATCATAAAATAAATAGAACATTTGTCGTTTTGTCGTGAATAACATTTTATTTCATCTCTAAGCTAGAAAACGTTTTCTTGCTTCTCGATGAAATAAAATATATTATTCGCTCTAAAACGACAAATATCCTCTATTTACTTGGAAATAAACTTTTGGCAATAGTACTATAGATCTATTATATATACAATGTATTATTTTAACCTTGACCTTTAGTTAGACATTCATAGAATGGAGAAAGAGGCGTCAGTAGGAGAAGATGTATCATCTAGAATTCTGGTAATAATATATTAAACATACATTATGCAAAAGCTAAATCTGCCTATTGCAGGTCTTTCTTTAGGCCTGAAATTTTATCTAAATTATTAATAAGACATTAATTAAAGATCCATTATGGGAGATTAGATAAAGAGCTGGCAGTTCTCGCTATAGTAGATAATGTAAAGGGAATTTGTTGAAAATTTCAGTCAAATTGATCCACTATGAATCGAGAATTAAGCGATTGAAATTTCAGCCTAGCCTCGATCATCATTGCTAAAGTTGGTATGATAAAAAAACATAGTCTCGATTATCCATTTCATGATTAAATCACGAATGAAACTTGAGCAGAAAATCAGATCATAATCCAATAAGTATAGCAGGCTAGCGTTGACATAAAGTGTTGATTTCAACAGTGATAACGTCGTTCAGAATAAAGTAATTTGACTGAAATATTCAATATTTTCATCATCTATTTTTGAATTGTTATAGCAAGAATGGCCAACTCTTTATTAAACTCTTAACTAATATATCTTTAACCAAGATATGTATCTTTGTGCTCCATTTTTGGTTTGAATTAAGCAGAGTTGTCTCCCATTAGTGTCTGGTTTTCCAGTTCTATCTTTTTATATCAAATGACCTTTAAAGAGCAAGAGGTAGTAGTAACTAGGTTAAAGTACTTATTCATGGTTAAATTCGTTTTTACTTCAGATTTTTTGTGACAAATTTAAACTATCATTGATAAGATTTCTACAGTGTCACTGACTCTCTTATCCAGTGGCATACCAAATATCTATGTAGTTTTCACAAATAAAATGACACCAATTAAACTTAAATTAAATTTCAAATTTAAAGATAGAATAGACTGTAGTCCCATCTTGTATCATTTTGTACACCTGCTTTCTATTTAAATGTCTTGATAAATAGAATAAATGGTTGTATCCAAACTTTGGATTCCAAAGTAAAACTTGATATTTATTGTGGGAATAGAATAGGGTTGAAATTTAAAGTCTTGTCAACGCAATATTTTTGTCATTTTGACATTAACATAATAGTTACATGTGCAATGAGAAGGGTAGAAGTTAGTCTATGCACAACACAGTGTACATGAGTGGACCTCTGTTTTTCATACATTCTGAATGGCTGGGCAAGCTTCCTATGTCAGTCCTGTATGTACCGCCTCTAGAAAGCTTGAAAAATTCTTAAAGTTTTTCTTTATCCAAGCCTTGATTCAGACCTGGTTTTTTTTTGTCAAGGGGCCAGTGCTCTACCTCTCAATAACTGTGGCCCCATTTTATGAAAAAAAGACACATTTGATAATCTGGTGTATTTTTTTGTTGTTTAATTCTAGGTAATAAAAGGATCTGAAGATAATGCAGCTCAATATATGAATTTTATGAATGCAGTATTTACAGCACAAAAACAGGTAAGTTGTGTTGGGTCAGATTCATAGCTTTTGTTATAGATATACATGTAGTCTTACTTTATCGATTTTGATTTTGTCGCATCATGGTTCTTTGTGAATGAAGATTTTTTAGAATTAGAATATTTGAAGTTAATTGATGATCCATAATATACTCTTCAAAAAAAGTAGGGGATATTGAAATGCAAATACCTATGCCTGTTGCGATATGATAAATAGTCATGGACATTTGACATGCTTTGAGAGTATGTTCACAGATGAAGAACTTATCGCCCCAACAGACCCACTGAGTTGCATATGCGACACGCAATAGCGCCATACACGTGGGAGGGGTTTATTGTCAAATTTGACACTTCAAGGAAGGGTTGATGAAAACTGCCGCTTGCTGGTTTATCCTATCCATGTTTGCTTTCCTATCGGTTCTTGCATAAGATTTACTGTTTAGCCTATCTTTGCTTTAGTGTGTTACGTTTAATTTGATCGGGAGACATGTTCGTCGATGTCAACGTCAACCGACAACACTGCAAGAATTGGCCATGGCACTGCAAGAGGAGTGGGTCAGATTGCCCCAAATCGTGATTGTACGGTTGATTAGGAGCATGCTACGACGAATTGCTGAATGTCTGAGGATTGGTGGAGTAATTACTCATTAAGACAAAATTCAAAAACGTCCATTTTCACTTTTGACAGTGTATCTCTTTGCGAGTGAAATGGGGCCGTCAGATAAGCCACCGATATGAACTGTTTATGTTCATGTGTAGGCAATTGACCTGTTATTAACATACACTGGTTGCCTGTAAAACAGCAGTGCATTTCCGCAGTTTTGTATTGTTTCTGAATATCCCCTACTTTTTTTTGAAGAGTATATATTTCTTTTTATTCTGCATAAAGCTATAGGTTTATTGTGTTGCGATTTGGTCCATCTCATTTTAGATCTTTGAAAAGGCAATAACATTTATATGATATATTATAATTTGAAGATATATTAGACTATGCAATCTTATGTTATTTATATTTTCTATATTTAGAATGTAGTTATTGATGCCTGCATCTTGGATAATGATTCTGGGCTTCTACAACAGGTATGTAAATTTGTTTCTATTTATACTATGTATGTTTTTTATCGACTAATCTAAAGTTTATATAGGTTAAAGGCATAACAAACCCATCTCAAAAATCAAAATATGTACTACTAGCTGTTTACTCGGTATTGTGTGGGTAGCAGAGCCCTTCGATGCTCCCTTATAGGAGTTTTGAGAAACTGAAAGTAGTGTAATCCGAAGTGGCAGTGCAACACCACCAGGCTTATTTCACCACATAGTTTGATCTGACTTTAAAGCCCAAATTTCAGCCCAGACAGACAACCAAACAGATAATCTACAGTCATAAATATATATGTAGATTTCATTGTAAAGACTATATTTGAGCTACTTTAAAATATTAAAAAAAAAGCTTCTTTAAGAATGGGCGGTCTTTTACGAAAAAGGTAACAAAATTAGTATTCTATAGAAACCAATGTAAACTTTAAATTGCCATAACTTTTGATTGTTTATGGTCTTAAATTTGATATCTAAACTGTTATTCTGACATGTTGGAGCTTTAAATTTGTCAAACATGATTACTATATGTTTATCCATATATCTGTATAACAATTGATTTAAATTTACATATATGTATAACTATTTATATATATATTCAGGCATGTGATATAACGGGAGGAATGTATCTGAAAGTACCACAGATGTCTGGTCTATTACAGTATCTTCTGGTAAACCTTTACTCTTATTTATCATGTTTCCACAAGTGTCACACTTCTATTAGTGTTTAACATCTGCTTTCAGCGATGGTGATATCGCAGACAAGTTGTTTTATTTTATTATGCTTAGTGCACCCGAGGGGGTCTTTCCTGTGGAAGTAAACTAGGGTTTCCGGATTAAACCCGTGAGGTTGGGAAGGCACCCCTATCTCCAAGCCACATACGATCACACTAGGGATTGAAACCACAACCACAAGCCAGAGGTGACCGGGCAGCTAGAGCTCGAAGCATGACACTCTAGACCACTAGACCATCCCAATCCGGGAGCATGACAAGGACAGCTGTCTTATCGTTCGGATGGGACGAAAAAACTGAGGTCTCATGTACGCATTGTCGTGCATGTAAAAGATCCCTCGACAGATGGAATTCAATATAAGAGTAGGCTGCAGTGCCGCTGTCCGGGCAAAATTTCCCTCATAGTACAATGTATGGCGTATGTTGTAACTTAAAGGTTTTGTTTCTAGCCTACCTTTAAGTCAAAGTAGAAACTGGAAACAGGGCAAGTTAATTAACTTATAAGAAATATTAGTGTAGAAAAAATGGCTAAAACGTTGGGTTTTCAATACTGTTGAACCTCATTTCGTTTCCAGCCTCTTCTTGGGGGATTTATAATGATAGTACCCCATCCCCCCCCCCCAACACACACACACTATTAAATATCCCTGCATAAAGTAAATTACACCACAGACTGACCTATCAACTGGATATTTATACCAGATTTATGACCCTTTTTCTTTCCTTGGTCATGACATTTCAAGTAGCTGTGGACACAGGCACAATGAAGAGGCAATCCACTGGATTTCCTAACAATAGTCACTAAGATAACCTTTTCTGTCATCATTGCATGTAAATCTCTGGACAAATTCTTAATGTATACTCGTGTAGTTGAATCTATTATGGACTGACATAAAATTGACATCTATGTAAATGCATTATGTCTGCCCTCCACCTTACATTTATTTTTGAAAGGAAAACCTTTTCTCTTACCAATGACTTGCACCAGAGGCATGCCTTCTGTCAGTAATACAAACTCAACCAAATTCGATTTTTATACACCCACATTCAATGTTATAATTTATAGAAATAACAATTCATACACAAATATCTACTATAGTGAATCAAGGATTATTTTGAGTTTGATTTTGTTTTTTGACTAGAAATACTAGTCAACTCTCTCTTCACCGTCTCCGAGAAAAGACGATCGTTTGATTGACAGGCGTTAACTCCACCTACATAATCTCGATTATCAAGTAACGTTTTCAATGGCTGTGGTTTGAGACGGGGTTGCAATAAAAGGCGTATCACATTTATTTTTACTACAAATTAAAAATAAGACTTTTAATATATAGATAAGAAGCGAAAGTTTGAAAGGAATGGACCAAATCAATGAGGCATAATTATAGCCGACTTCTTGTTAGCCTGCGTGTACTCTTGTACTGTAACTGGTAGGCCTACGTAACTCCCGAACAGTGATCCAATGGAGCTGCAATTCAACTGGGGTGATGTTAGCTGCGATGTTTATCAATTTCTATAATTTTTCTGTAAACGCAAGTGACAAAAGAGTGTATAATACCGACATCCAAACTCTCATTTTAACCACAACTAAACATAATATCAAGGCCGTATATATCGAACTTTCAATCAAATTGACTGACATGCGGCCTCGCTTCATGCAATCTATCATTTAGCCTCGATCTAAAATTATTTCCGGGAGTATGACGTCAACGTAACGGTTAATCTCTGCCTACGACACCATTTAAAAATTTAATCAATCAATGAAATCCTGTTTAAATCCAAGCGAATCCAAGCCATCCGTGGGTCTACAGAGTTGATTTTGTGCTTGTTGTGTAAATAAAGATCTAATTTATAATTTCTATGACATCTGAAGCCTAAATAAAGACTTGCAATAATCAGATTTAGCTCTTGTATAATGTATGTTTAATGGGTAATGGTAATTAATTACATTGTAATGATTACTTTTAAAAAGTAATGGTAATGTCATTAATGTTGATCGCCTGTCTCTCTTCCACCGTTGCTTGTGAGCACTCTAAAATGCTATTTATACATAGCATTTATGTTCATTAGATGATGAGGTGAAGAATCCTATATGTTTTCAACCATATCCATAAAATTACCTTCAGAGTTATAGCCCTTGATCCCTTTGGAAAATCTTTGTTTACTCGCTGAATACTAAGATTATTATTTGATTAATTGGAAATGGATGTGCAGTGTTTATGTTCTTGAAATAAAACAAACACCCAATTGTTTTCATTGAATTTTGATAACCTAAAAGCTAAAACTACCATCTAGTTATTTCTCATAATTACTTTATATGTTGTTGCCCTTGATCAGTTTTTAGTGTCTTGTAATATAATAAATCGTACCTAGTAAAGAATAAAAATGTGACAACATTTATCGACTGCTCAGACAATTTAGTTGCTGTTGTTGTAAGTTTTATTGCTTGACAACATATACATGTAGTTGATGACTTACAATAACTCAAATAGTTATGCCCGTTGATTACCAAAGTTTGTTAACACAGTTTGTCATCAGATCTTCATGAAATTTTGATAGCTTGTCCAGCTTTTATGGTGTTGCTAGGTTTAACACCCAGATTTACATTCTTTACTAACTCTCTGATAACAACATTATCACTGGATCTTTGGTGGAATTTAAATAGGTTGTTTAATATGGTTGATTCAGAAACTTACATTAATACAATGGAACAGAGTAGGCTACACTGTTATAATTTATGGTTTGTTCAACTTGCCTTAGCTTGTTTCAACAATAATTCTCAAGTGTTATTCAACTTGATTATTTTAATGAGCATATGTTTGGTTGCCTGGCAACCTACCTTTGCTATTTGCACAGACTTATTGCTTGTTATTTTGGAAATTAAAGCTATGTGTTGGTTGAGACATGATATTATAATGTGTGCAAAATTAATTTCAAGTGTCATGAAAGCTGATCGTTATTTGTATTCAACCAATATCATATTTTTCACAGCTTAATTGATGCTAAAAGTGTATTCATATTGATTGTTTAAAGATGCATGTATGTAAGATTTCGATAAAGAGCTGACAATTCTTGGTATAATAGTTCATAAATAGATATTGAAAAAGGGATTGTTGAAAATTTTAGTCAGATTACTTCATTGTGAGGGGGGTTGGATGGCTGAATGGTTAGCGTGCGCGCGCTGTATCATAAAGTCTGTCATTGAGTCGACTGGCGTGGTTTCCAATCCCCGGTTGTATGTGACAAGGAGTAGGGTCGCCTGTCCAACCTCGTGGGTTTTCTCCGGGTCCTCTGGTTTCCTCCCACTGCTAAAGACCCCTACGCGCAAGCGAATTATTGAAATAAAATTAAAAACCATATGTTAGTCCCGAAATGACCTAGTTTGTGTCGAGTGGACGTAAAACCCCATTTCTCTCTCTCTCACTTCATTGTGAGCAGAGTTATTGCCATTTGAAGAACAATGTTGATTACGGGCATGGCATCTGAATAAATGTCTTATTAATGATTAATATATAACATTTGAAGCCAAACCAAAGATCTGCATTTGGCAGATTTAGCTCTTAATTAAGAAAACAAATCTAGAATATCAATAATACATAATCTCCTGGCATTGATTCAGTGAGATTAAAAAGTGGCCCATTAAAAGATTTTACCCAATAGAAATTTTAATACCAAGCTTATTAACCAAATACGTTATGGTAAATTTAGGCCCAACATGTGTCTATTCTAACATGACCCACACAATGTGCATCTTAAAGGGACTATCCCGATTTGAAAAGAGTCTCAAAAATAAAAGTCAGAGTTCGTATGAAATTTAAGTGCCAAAATATAGAGGAATGGTGTATTTACCCTGCCTCAAAATTTCAGCTCAAAATATTGAGTTGTTTGGACGTGAACGTCAAAAATGCTTATCTGGACACGTAACCCTTTTAAGATTTCTGGTCATTTTTTTCGTTGGGTGACCTGATACTCTATCGCCGTTCATTTAGAGGTCTATACAGTGAATGACCCATGTGCCGTACTGGATAACGAAAGGTAAATTTCACCTACACATTGTTTTTATAAAATAAAAGTCTGGTTTTATCCAGACACTGCATAATACAGCTTGGGACACCGGTCTTCATTTTCAGATGAAGACTGACGGGTGTAAGTTGTTTGAAAACATATCAGAAATATTGAATTACATGTAGTTGATCGGCCCTTAGGTACGGGATATAAAGGAGTTTTAACACAAAATTAAGCAGTTTCATTCTCCAAAATATTATCCTGATTGGCCCTTTAAGAAAGAAGGTTTATTGATCAAGTAAGATAGCTTTATATGATATTTAACTAAAGGTAGTTAGATTGAGCATAGCTTTGTGTTTCTTTACAAGTATGAGGAAGTTTTAAACCATTTTATTGATTTATATATATTATCACAACTCACTTGAAGAACGATAGAATCAATAGAAGATGTTAGTACAGCTTTAGTTCTAAACTCTTGTAATGATGGTAGCAAATCAAAGATGATATATTCAAGAGATGATGTTAGCGTGATTTAGCTGATTAAAGCAACATGCTGCAGATCTAAAAAACAGGAATCCATTTTGAAGTTCATGATCTTTCTAAAATATTAAATGTATTGAGCTGGTAAATAATTCAAAAGACTCAGTAACCCCTGCTTAGAATTAAGTTTTGGTTAGGCCATTACTTGTCTATAAGATCTTGATAGGAAATTTTGATATTAAAGATGCATTGTGTAAGATTTAGATGAAGAGCTGGCCATCCTTGCTATAATACTTCAAAAATAGATAATACAAAATTAATATATTGAAAATTTTCATTCAAATTACTTTATTCTGTGTGAATTTGGCACTATTTGGAGTGTTTACAATGTGGTATAGATTGTTTATTATTGTAGCAATTAACCATTTTTAAATTAAATCATTAAATGGCGACAGTGTTTCAATTCATTTAAATCTACAGATGATCTACAGAGTTGATTATAGGCTTGCCATGTGAATTAATGTCTTAATAATAGTTTAAAAAACATTTGAAGCCAAAATAAAAACCTGCAACAGTCAGTTTTACCTCTTACATAATGCATCTTAATTAATATTTTGTACCGGTACATAGACTTATAAATGAGAACATCCACTTATGACCCCAATGCTTCTCAGCAAATTTGGTGGACCGACAGGTTGACGGCATAATACGCCTACACATAGAAATGACTCTCTTCATTGATAAAGAAATGAAATGAAATTTAAGTCCTATTTTTCTGCACTGAAGACGGGCATACACTGTGCAGTATACTACGAGGGAAATTTTGCCTCGACAGCAGTGCTACGATCTACTCTTGTACCAAATTCCAACTGTCAAGGGTTCTTTTTTACGTGCACGCCAATGTATAAACAAGTCAATGGTTTTTCGTCCCTTCCAAACAACTATATAATACCACCACAGCCCTCTTCATTGATAAAGAAATATTGTCAGTTCTATTGTAGATAATGCTTTAATCTCAAATTTATTCAATTGCGTACATTAACAATTCTGATTGTTTTATTTTGAAAGGAAGAAAAAGACAAAAAATCAATAATGATAACAGATCAGTTTTATTTTAAACTCTTGTAGTTAGCAGACGGGAGACTTGATACATTAAACTGTCACATGTTAGCGTATTATTTCCTCCATCTTCAACACCGACAAGGTTTCTCTGACATGTAATTATAGTCTCATCTGACATGACAAATGTTGATGCTATTAGAGACAGGAAATTTGAACCATGATGTCATGACATGTACAGTCTTGTCAAATGTCAATATGGCACCATAATCAAATAGGTATTGATCAAACAGCCCTAATAGATATTAAGACAACACAATGTGTAGGTGTAGCTTCTTATTCTGAAGTCTTAGATCAATTTGTGTATACATGTCCGAAAATATTAGCACAACGGAAAAGCAATACTCCTTTGTTTTACTGTAAACGATAAGAAGGTAAATTTTATGCCAACACAAACTGATTTTAACACTGGCTGAATAACATTTAACATTTTAAAGTACTTTTTTGCTCATCTGGGGAGATCGTCGGAAATAATGTCATTGTACGGAGATGAACAAAATACTGCAAATAACACTAGTGCTTTCAAGTGACAATAAAGAATAAAACAAGAGTTGGTTGCTAACACAATATATACCCAAAATAGTGCTTTTAATAGGATGGAATTAATAATACATATGGGACAAGATTTACCTAAGATACTTGTAATGCTTTTAAGTGACAATAAAGAATAAAACAAGAGTTGGCTGCTAACATAATATATACCCAAATTTCTGAGGGCTAGCCACAAATAGCCAAAGGATCATAGATTGTACACAGAGTTTTTTTTTTTTTAAAAACCAATCTTAGGATCTTGAATACTCATCAACATACCAATAATTAACCAATTTTGTTGATGACGGAACTATTATATATATCATCTGCACTGGCATATAAATACCATAAATAGGCCTATTTTATTTTTGCCATTAATTAGAAATACAATTTCAGACAAAGGGCAATATTACGGTAGGGTGGGTAACCTACTTATATTTGGGAGGGGGGAATGCTTAAAATAACTTACTTATTAAATGTATTATTTGTAATGTTTTTTTTGTATTTTTCAAGTGGGTATTTTTACCTGATCCAGTAATGAGATGTAAACTCACCTTACCACCTAAAGCACAAGTTGACTATAGAGCAGCATGTTTCTGTCATAGAAATTTAATTGATATTGGTTATGTTTGTTCTGTTTGTTTATCAAGTAAGTGGAAGATGAAATAATCCTATTCTCTGATTGGGAATGGCTAAAACTTTCGTCAATAGTTTGTCCATAGTTTAATAACATCAAACAATATCAAAACACAGAAAAAGTAAATTATTGGAATCATATTCACCACATTATTGGAATCTTATTCACCTAATTATTATATTCACCAAATTATTGGAATCCTATTCACCAAATTATTGGAATCCTATTCACCAAATTATTGGAATTCTATTCACCAATCAGGAGAATAGGACAAAATCCTGAGGTCCATTTATTGTTTTGTACATGAAAGAATCCTCAAAAGTAGGCAGAAACGTTGTTGTCTGTACAAAATTCCCCTCATAGTTCAATGAATGATGTATACATGCCAGTCTCCATAAACTCAGTTGGACATTAAACCTGATGTCATTTCATTTTTTCATTTGAATTCCCAATTAGGATCTGAATTACATGTACATAAATCTTAATATAAAAAAATTACTATTTTGTTTTAGTCTGATTTATCGGGATTAAACTACTGGTAATTAAGAGCCATTTCTTAGACACACAGTCCATCTGAATCTGAAATGAAATGGGGGTTTAACGTCCTACTATTCTGCTCTGACTGGGCTAATGAAGATAAACAACTGAAACTAGTCATATTTAGAAATTTAGTGAAATAGTAGGTGCAGAGGGGTAATGCACATAAGCGTTTAATATAGAATTTCTTTTATTTTCAGTATATTGTTCCTTTAGTCCAATTTGCTCAACATGTCAGTAAGTAATACTTCTTATTAAAGTTATATTGATCCATTATTTCTGTAATATTTATATTTATAATGTTATATTAGAAATATGAATTTAGTTGCATTACACATTGAACTATAGAAAATAAATTATATTGTGTTTGTTTACAATATGGCCAAAGTTTTGTCTTGACAATAAACTTTCTCTTTTTTTGTCATTTATTTTAGGACAGTTATCTCCATCACTACCATTTTAAAAATAAAAAAATAAATGACTGATACAGTAAATGATTCTTTTTGTTAATTTTCAGGACAACATTTAAATTCATGGGACCACCGAAAATGCTTAAGAAGAAATCAAAAAGACTAGCAAGCTGAAAAACATAACAAGTGTACGTAGGTTCAGGAAATGTTTACCACATTCGGTTTGTGTGAGTTATGAATGAATGTAGTAAATGCAGATATCCAGTTGTTATAGCAGTGAACCCCAATAGCAACATTACAGTGAAACCCTTCTAATACTGAATAGGGGACTTGCTTTAATGTGGATTGTATCTAGTCGACTCTAACAAGCATATTATGGTGATGCTCCAGTGTATATTTAGGGATGTGTAAAAAAAACCTTTGTATTGGCCACTCCTGATCTTGGAAACCAGAAGAAGTGTTGCGATACAAATATCATTAACTGTCTTCTAGAGAACAATTTTGATACATCGATACATGTAACCAGTCGTGTGTATTAATTTGTATTCATAGCAATGACTTCGAAGAAATTTGTCAAATATGACACTATAACACTGAAACATTAAATATACAATGTGTAAATAAAGGAGAAATTAATTCAAATATCTTTTTCTTGTGTTTTTTTTTAAATAAATTTTCTTTTTTGTGTAAAAATCAGACATAAGAAAAATTTGCCAGGCCAAAAAAAAAAGAAGAAAAACCTATAACTATCATAGGTTAATTTAATTTTCATTAGCCCTGAATAACAATCTTAATCACTTTGAAATACTGACATAAAAATGTATGGTGACTATTCAGAATTTGTGAAAGTTGTGTGTAGGCTTGGTTGTCATTGTTATGTAAATTGATATTAAGGAGATGTTTGGGGAACATAAAGTTAAAAAACCCCACAATTTCAGCATTATTTTGATTATACTAACTGTGCATAAGTTGCATTATTTTAGAGAAGTATCAAATTTATCAAGGCTTAATCACGTTAATATGTACTCATATTGATTATTTAATTAAGAACAAATCAATATATAATCACCCGGCTTGGATTCAATCACATTTAAAACAGACTCATCAATTATATACTGTAGATCTAGTGTAACATAAGATGAGTTGGACTGGTTATATATATCACTAGCAAGATACCTGACTTCGCCAGGGGCCCAGTTTGCCTAGGCCCAAAATTCTTCCAGGACCCAAATTCGATGGCCTGAAACATGCGCGGGGTCATGCTGGTTAATTTGATACCACATATGTGGGGTGGCAATGAAGTGTTATAGGCCCCAAATTCAATGGGCAAAAACATTCACAGGGTCATGCTGTTTAATTTGATAGCACATAATGTGGGGGTGGATCGCAGCAAAGAAGCGTGATGGGCAAACACACACACACAGACATCTTTGATTTTATTTACATGTATATAGATAATATCAACCGACAACAAACAGAAAATAGGAGCAATTATTGGGTGGGGGACAGGTGTGGTTTGATTATTCTCCAAATTCCATTGTTGGACAACAATACTATATCTATGGCACATGTGAAGACAATATTAAATCCAAACAAATGTTTGTCTGTCATTCAAGCCTACATGTCTTGTAAGTACCATAGAGGCTACAATATTCATACCAAAATTTTAAGATTCCATATTTACACAATGGCGAGTCACTTGTACACACAAAGTAATTAATGATAAACCAGTCATTAGCTTATATAAAACCTGATGGGATTGTTCCAAATTTTAAACCTTTTTTCAAGGCTAGCTTTCACAACTTTAATACTGCTGGTGGGTGTATTATTCGAGCCTGAAAGTTCCCTATGTATGTTATCATTTACTGCTGCTTTTAATACTTGTTTTGATTTCTCTCGGGGGTGGGGGTGGGTGGTTAGCATGTGTGTGCTGTATCATAAAGTATGTCATTGAGTCAACTGGCGTGGTTTTGATTCCCCGGTTGTACGTGACAAGGAGTAGGGTCGCCTGTCCAACCTCGTGGGTTTTCTCTAGGTCCTCCGGTTTCCTCCCACTGCTAAAGACCCCTACGCGCAAGCGAATTGTTGAAATAAAAATGAACCATGTTAGTCCCGAAACGACCTAGTTTGTGTCGCATGGACGTTAAACCCCATTTCTTTCTCTCTCTCTTTTTGATTTCTCTCCCTTTTGATCTGTAGCAATTGAAAGAGAGAGAGAAATTGGGTTTAGCGTCCACCTGACACAAACTATGTCATTTCGGGACTAACATGGTTCAATTTTATTTCAATAATTCGCTTGCACGTAGGGGTCTTTAGCAATGGGAGGAAACCCACGAGGCTGGACAGGCGACCCTACTCCTTGTCACGTACAACCGGGGAATCAAAACCACGCCAGTTGACTCAATGACACCTTATGATACAGCGTGCACGTGCTAACCATTCGGCCATCCAACCCCCCGTAACAATTGAAAGTTGAATGAAATGAACATAAAGAGTTGAGTCAACTTAACAAATTTATTTGTCCACAAATATTCGATACACACAACAAACATGTATACACAACAAATGGTTTATTCCCCTACACAGATATAATTATTTATCTATCTTTGAATATTCACACATTTCGAGCAAATTTAACCCCTGTTTATATCAATCCATCCTCACTATACTCAAATAGAACAATACCACTGTGGATATCGAGGATGATGTTAGTCTTGTTAATCTAGTTACTTTAGTAACTGTCTGATGGACTAGCCTCTCACCTACTAATATCAGACACTGTTATTAAAACAACTAATGTTAATCATACCTCAGGTGCCTGGTGCATAAATATTCAAAGATTAAATTTAACAAATTATAGCACATCACAAACAACTAACAATAAAATTTAACTACTATGATTATAATAAAATATTAATATTTCACTGACAATTCTTTTGGGTCATATGTTGTTTACAGTGTATTCGAACTTTCTTTGCTTATAGTCCCTTTTAATAACAAATCCGTAAAATCATCCATTTGAAATAAAAATTATTCCTGCATTTCACAATAAAAATGATCAATATGTCCCAATGATATTTACTAATTTACAGATTTCTGGAACTTTAGTTCTAATATATAAATTGCACTTTAAATGTTTTCACAGAAATCTAGAAAAGGTATTATATACAATATAAGGCAAAATTCTTGAAATTTATTAGAGAGATACAGGAATCTCATATTTCTCCTTTCTGTATTCTACATGTACAACAGTGTGACCCAAATGTTCGTTGGAATGCACATCAAAGTCATTACAAACTGACAAGCTGCCTTGATTTTTAAATTGGTAACTAGTTCTGTGATATTTTGCACCACTTATAAGCACATTGAAGATGCATTATGCAAGAGCTAAATCTGCATATTGCAGGGTTTTCTTTAAGCCTTAAATTAATAGCCATTTATTAACTTGCCAGGACCATAATCAACTCTTTTGGTTTAATGTATCTTGGGCAGACCTCTCTACCAGTAGGAATAAAATTTAAAAAAAAAAAAAAAATAAATACCAAGTTGATCCTGTCGTCAAAATCTTGCACCTCTGTAAACAATAAACCTAGTTCAATTTATTTCCATGGAAACACAAAATTGACTAAATCCAAGACATTTCTAATCAGCAAAAGGCACAACTACTATAATACTAGATTGAATTGTGTTTTCAATGGTTATAGGATGATGTCAAAAGACGATGTCGTATATCTTTCTACCTATACATGTTCTGTCTTGCTATCAAGCCTGGACATAATCCACTTGTCACAGACAGAGTCAAACACAAACTATCACTCAACCTATATAGTATAATAAAAACGTCACAGACATTATCAGACACAAATTATCACATAAAGTTTTTATTATAATAGGTTGCAGTGTGATAATTTGCATCTGACAATGTCTGTGATCAGGTGCCTTATGTCCAGGCTTGTATAAATACATGTATATATACGTTTAGTGATAATTTGTACTTATATCCAGGCTTGCTTGTTGACATAGAAAGGCCCTTAGACAATTTAATATAAAATATTCAGTGTGCATTAAGGTACAGTAAATTCTTAAAAAAATGTAAAATGATAAAAAAAATTCACAATGTTTAGTATAGATTATTAATAATTTCTACTATACTATGATTTATTCGACATAATAACAGCCTGGTTAATATTGTTACAAGTATTATCATCTGCTTATTTAACTATTACAACATTAGTAAAAGTGGAATTAACGGTGTCAGACAATATGACAGGCACCAGAGGTTTTGTGCATGACATTATCAGTGATTGGTGCCTTATTTCCAGGCTTGTTAGTTGTATTTCGGAATTAGTTATCTTACCTATATGTGTAAATGAACTAATAATGTATTGTTACCACTACTCTAAGAAATGATAAGCACCCAGATACCAGTCTTCGAAGAAATGAAGTAATAAGTGCCTATGCTTATAAATAATTCTGTGAACATTTTTAGCTCACCTAACATCAGTGTAAGATAACAGTAATTTGTAAAATAAACTAGCTATGTACCTCTATACTGTTACTGATTGATTTTACCTAAATATAGCACCCTCTTTTTGAAGAACCAAGGCAATTATTACATCGAATATGATAAGTGTTGCTATTCCATGTATAGCTATTTAATACTCAATAATTTTGTGGTTTGTAGCGTTATCTTTTCTTCTGATGAAGTTCTACTGCTAGAGCACGTTTATATTTTATAATAGCGCAGGAAAAGACTAGAATATTAACCACATAAGTTGAGACACAAACAATACAGAAATCTTCTAATACATAATACAATATGAAGGCCAGATAAACTGATCCAATATTGGCTATTACAGATGCAAACAGCTGAACCACACAACCCACATAACTGGGGTTAAAAGCTGAAATTAAAACAAAAACCAACAATCAATTTAGGTAAAGAAAAAAAAAAACATGATAATTAATCAAGACTTGTGTTGACTTGTTTTATGAAACAGGTATGTGTCTTCAATTCTACATGTAAAATTCTAGAGATATTGCCATTGTTTAGATATCTAATTTTGTGTTCCACAAAGTTAAAGTAAGGCCTTAAAAAAAAGAAAGAAAAAATCTGGTTCGGAAGTATCTGGGAACAAGACTATTTTTTTTTATTTGGCCTAAAAAAGGGTAAGTTGAATACATGTAGGTTTATGTGTGTACACAGTGTTGTAAAGATATCTTCAGTAGTTTGAGAGATATGTTCCAGAAAAAAAAAACAAAGTTGGAACACAAACTGAAATTCTGAGGCACAGGTCAGTCCTATTCAGACTAACAAACTTGCTGGAGTGTCCAGTTGTTGCCGAGGATAAAACCATCCTATTATCTAGTTACGCAATTCAGAGATTCTTTGGGGATACTTAATTGAAACTTTCGGAATTGAATTCTCTCATTCCCCAAAATAGTGACAATCGAGTAAAAAACGGGATTTGGGACTGTGGTGCATAAGAAAATATATCAACCAACCATGTCAATTGAATCATATTTGTTGTGTTTAATTACATTATGACTTTACTCACACAAAATCCATCTGACAGGACTAAATTGAGAATTTTGCGTCAATCTATTGCAATTCCGTCAAATTGGCACATTCCAAACTGGCAATCGAGTGACGAGCATTCCCATCAGAAAGCTTATTTTGTGCAATCCTACTACCATGGAATATGCTTTGATGAATACACTGTCCCAAATGCACATTGTTACCAGTAACTATAATTACATCCATATACATGTAGTAGGCTACTTACCTAAGGCTGTTTGGAAAGTGAAATAAGCCATTCCAAATACACTGTTAGGTTGATTGATGACACTATCATTCCCCAAAACACGATCAACCAAACCAAACCCTCGACCATACCTGAAATAATAAAAGGCTAGAGTTTTAAATGTGACCAGCACCCACATAAACTGTAGCTGTGGAGTCTACTGCTCTGTTAAAATTTGAACTCACCACAGCAAATTTTCATGCTCAATATGACAAGTTCCCAGGTCATTCAGGGTAGACACATTACTTATTTCAAAATAAACTGTAGCCTAATATGTGTTGACAATTGTGCGTTTGAACATGTATCAATCTGTATCTGAGGATATACAGCGCAGGGTCCTGCTGGACATATAGTGCGCCATGAATCAAATCACAGTTTACCGAGACAATTTTATTGTAGCTAAGGTGCTAGCGGTATAAGTTATGTTGAAGAGCATTTGTGTACAAGCAATAGTTAACACCCATGACATGTGTTAGTCCTAATTTAAGGCATTCATCTATTCTCTAAACATCCATTTATGAAGGTCATGCTGTATTTGTTGCAATAGCAGCTAATGAGATAAGCCAGAATTTGGTGCTGATATAGGATAGAGCAGTTAGTTTTGCCAGAAGAGAAACCAAATTAACGTGACAATTTAAATCAAAAATGATTCAGTGATACACATCACTTCCAGTATAAATTTGAAGAAGATACGGTCTGGAATGATTGAAGATATGGATGCTGCTTAATTGTCTAAATAGACTCTCATCATATGATAGTCTAAAAGTAAGTCTATATAATTACACGGTCCATGATTATACGTACCTCGATGAAAACACTTTTGAGCAGCTGATTAATTCATTGTAGTCGCACAATGCAGTATAAGAACTGTCTCTCTCTTTGCTGATTTCTACGTGAAGAGCATAAACAGATAAACCCATACCTAAGGCACATAATGTTAAAATGCTAATACGTAGAAATTTAGAATCCGGATTGGGTAAAGATTTCTTTTTCTTGTTCGCCATGTTGACACCGGAAGGAAAGCCTCGGTTAGCAGGTCAACTTTGGAGTGGTGAAAAACATGCTCACAGAGAGGTCCGCGTTCCCAAATTTATTAGTTAAATGATGGAAGCGGCGACCTTGTCTGCGGTATCACTTCGGTGGAAGCGGACGTTAAATAAACCTATTTCACACACAAGATTTAGTGGCGACCCGATTTTTCGGGGGGAATTGTCTTTTACCTCGATTGGACTATGCCATTTAATTGTTATGACATTCCCACGCCGTGTGCGTTTAGTCGATAAATTTGATTGGACAGAATATTTTATTTCGTCTGCTGGAAAAAGCTAGAACAGACACTGCTGTTTAAACCGTTATTCTACAGTAGACACTATCAGGAACATATTGAACACAGTTCGCTACTGGTAAGTGACAATTTATATTGTAATTGGCGTAAATAATCGTTATGTTTATTGAAAGATGATTAAACATTGTAACAATGTGGTCTCACTGGAGAATTTAGAAATAATCGGGCCTAATTAGAACTATCTACTAAATGATACATTTACTAAATTATTGATATTATTTTTAAGTCGGGCACTTTTAAAAGAGCGACAGTGGCTTATACTATAGCGTATGGAGCTGGCTTGCTAACCCGAGGGAAAAAAACTCCAAGTCATTCGGATGGTAAGAACCCGACTTAATTTCTTGTGTTTTGTTAGCGTGTGCGTAAAATAACCTTTGACAGTAGGCCTACATGATGTTTGTGTGCCCACCATCATTATACCGGTTGGCACAGAAGCAGTACATTTTTTTTTATTTGTTTATAAACGAGCGGCTTGTCCGTGTGTGTGTGGTGTGTGTGTGTGTGTGTGTGGGGGGGGGGGGGGTCAGAGGCGGAGAAAACGTCAAGTTTGATGAGTCAGAGATGCTTCCAGACAATATTTCTGCTTATTTAGGTACATACATGTATAAGATACAGTGACGTGAGCCAAAACGGGGTTATTTCCATGAATGTAGGGGAGAATAAATATTCTCAGCGCCAACATACGCGCCAGTGAACTATACCTTTATTTCTCGTTTCCAGTTGTATTTTTCTCTTAGGTCTATGTGTGAGCGGTAATTAAATTTGAGACACCCTTTTTTATTTTTTAAATTCATTTTTTTTATTTTATAAAGCCAATTTTCATTAGATTTCCAAGCGGCCCACAACGTTTTTATTGGGAAGCTTAGAAGTAAACAGAAATGGCAAGAATTAAGAATTATTATTCTCGTGAACTATTAATGAACCGGGATTACATTTTCTTTTGTTTTCACTTCTATGCGAAATTGGGAGACACGATGGCTCAGTAAGGCTCGCTAATCTGCAGAGGGCCTGGTTTCGACTCCAATGATGACCAAGAAAGTTCATCGGGTTTTCCGCCGTGGTTTCCCCCTGTCAGTGGTGAGGGAAGAAGGTCCTCACAAGGATCAGCGTCTAGTCGTTCCGATGGAACGAAAAAAACCGAAACCCCGTGTACACCTTACTAGTGGGAATTTACTGGCCGGGTACAATTTCTATTATAACACATTGGATGTCGTATGTCCGTCTTCATGAGCCAGTTGAAATAGAAATGTAGGACGATAAACCCCATTTCATTCATTCTATGCGAAATCAGTAATGAAATTGGGTCTAATGTCTCGTTAAATTTTGTGGCACAAACATGGTAATGTGTGCAATGACGCAGAGGCAGACTTAAGTTTTATAGTTTTAACAGGTCTATGTTTTAATTCAATAGACTATTTCATTGGACTGTGCAAATGCATAAAAATGGAGTCGCAACTGTAGTAAAGTTGGTATATAAAAACATCGCATTCAACTTTATTTTATTTTGCCAGGCAAGATACGCCCACATTTTGCAAGAGATGGATAGAGAACAAGCGATTTTTCGTACGATCAGGGGCCATAATTCAGGAAGTTACAATATGCGCGAATATCAAAAGGAAGCCAGATATTGAAAGGGAATGAGATCTATGGGATATAAAGATATATTTTAAATTTCATCAAAACCTGATAAAAATTGTGACATCTTAAGGGTCCACAACCTTCAAGTTACATACTTTTACACAATTTGCGTACAAAGGGCGGCCATTTTGTCGAGCAGATTCGTTTCGATTTTCCTGTAATTCGAATTAAACCTTCATTATGGTGGAATGGTGATATATTTAAACGGTTTTTAAAATCAGGATAAAATTGTGACATCGAGAGGAGCCACAAGCTAAAAAACCCCACGATTTTTCGTACAATCAGGGGCCATAATCCAGGAAGTTACAGTCTGATATGTGCGAATATTTATAGGAACCAAGATCTTTGGATTGTAAACATACATTTCACAAAATCAGATAAAAATTGTGACTTCTAGGGGGTCCACAACCTTGGTATACCAACATACTTTTACACTATTTATGTAAAAGGAGCGGCATTTTGTCTGCAGTTTCGGTCCGATTTAAAAAAAAACAAGCTTTGACCGCAGTGAGATCACAAGCCAAAAAACGAGATTTTTCGTGCAATCAGGGGCCATAATTTAGGAAGTTACAATACAATATGCGCGAATATAAAAAGGGAGCCAGATTTTTGCGTTATAAACATAGATTTCAAGTTTCATCAAAATCGGATCAAAATTGTGACCTCTAGGGGTCCACAACCTTGATATACCATATGTTTACACTATCTGCGAACGAGGGGCGGCCATTTCGTTCGACAGTTTTGGTCCGATTTTCACGAAATTCGACCTCAACCGACATTGAGTATACGCATGTCCAACCTCGTGGGTTATCTCCGAGTTCCCAGGTTTCATCACACTGCTAAAGAATTATTGAAATACAATTAAACCATATTATGTTAGTCCCGAAATGACTTAGGTTGTGTCGATTGGACGTTTAACCCTATTTCTCTCTCCTTCATCTCTCCCTATGAGTCTTTTATAGATAGCGGTAGGAGAAAACGTTGCGAAAACCAACGACGTTAGACTGGCCTACGTCCTATACGTTTTTTTATGTGTTATTAGTGCGAAAGTGACCAAATAACAAACGTTAAATGGTATAATACTGAATAGCGGAACTTCTAAGATGACTTCCGCAATTGAATATATCGATGAACTGAAAACGTTTCTGGTGTTAAAATAACTCGAAATAAAAACCATTTCCGAATAGAGAACGAATTTGATTAAATTTAGAAGAAAAAACCCACCAAACTTCACCACAACATAATTATTAGATATATGTAAACTGGGTTAAAAATGGAACACTTGCACCATAAGCGTCTGGTTATATGCATGATTATCTCTTTACATAAGTTATATTAAAATAATGTATAGGAAACAGGTCAATATCCGGGGTTAAATAATAGAACACTTGCATCATGGTAACTGTAACCACAATTTAAAGCCCAGAAATGTCAAAATAAAAGTAAAATATGGTTTATGACCAAAGTAGATTTATTATAAACCCATATGGAAGTATTATGCCATCGCCCTTGTATGTCAGGACGTCCGTTCACATTTGTTTGCGGGCACTCTACGTGCACGTGTCTATTCGATTAAACTTAAAATATATGATTATATCCCAAAGATCTCGGACCGCAACTGGGTTATTGTCACAATGTTTATCCGATTTTCTACAAAGATTTCGGGTGATTTCGATTTTGGCACAATGACATATCGGACCGTAATTTTCTGGAATATTGCTCCTGCTTGTCTAAACTCGCGTAAATAGCTTGTGGACCATTAATTTAGCGATCGCAATTTTATTCAATTTTGATTAACGTTTAAATTACACAATAATCACAGATATGTCATATCATCCGCCCACCTATTGAAGAATGTGGGCGTATCTTGCATGGCAATTGATTGTTGAAAACTATTGTATTATGGTTTTCGATCAATTATAACGTAAGTTGTGGCCATTTAATGTTTATATTCGTTTCACACAGCCCATCTGTTGGATCGATAAGCTGGAGGTTTCGTGTTCGATCCCCGTGTTGGCCGAGAAAGTTCATGGTTGCCCCATGTTAGTGGTGCAGGGCGGAGGGACTGGCAAGGGACAATTGTACAACGTATAGTCATTCGGGTGGGACGAAAAACCAGGGTTTCGTGTACAGATTGACAGTAAGAATTCGATCTAAGCTAAGAAAAGGCCGTAGCGCTGCTGTCCGGGTGAAATTTCCCTGATGCCTATCTTCATTATCCCAGTCATTTCTGTATTTCTTTTACACAAATATGATATTAATAATAACTGTGCTATCTTTTTCGTACAAACCACCATCTTCGTCAAGACTTGGTTTTATACCCAGAATGTTTATTAAAATTTCATAATAAACAACAGTTGTTCTACATAAAAAAATGAGATATATTTGAGTATTGAGATATATATATATTTGAACGATAAATGAATGAATGAATCAATCAATCAATAAATAGAATTAATATTAGCTTTAGTACATTATTCCTTTGATGTGTAATCAAAGTTTTATTTTGACATGGATTAATACTGATTTTAATGCAAGTCCGGACTTTTATGATTTATTTCATAAATCTGCTATAATATCATTAGCAGTAATTATTGGTTTAACTGCAGGATTCAGTCCGCTACAACAATGTCATAGTAATCACTAACCCGGGGCGAAACCTTGCTTAATGTAACAATTATAAACATACGTTTATCATTAATAAAATGAAACAATAATTATTGTTATTGACAAAGGTCAGGAATGGCAGCTGGTTTCTATTCTGTTTCTTTGTCTATACATACCTGTTACTGCATCCAGCAACAATGGTTAACTCGGTAACTGATCTGTCATAAAGTCCTGCTCCATCAAGCGGCTACGATTGGCACCGAAAGTGTGATGGTTAATGTTATTATTGACCGTACATCGAAAACTTCTAAATGGCAAATGCACTATGTGGGGAAACTCGACCAAAATTTGCGCTCCTACTAATCACCAACAAAATCCGACACGAGCGGTAGAGCACCCCAGACCCCAGAACGGCGCGTTCACGGTACCGTTGGCCATGGACTGTCAAGTGTAGGTACATCGGCACCCCCACCCCCAACATTTTTGGGCTAGCTGCAGACCTGTACCCTTGTTTCCCCCCATTGCTTAATTGCAAGCGAATTCTTGAAATAAAGTTCTACCATATGCCATTTATTTCGAGAAAACGCTTAAGTCCATATATCTCCTCTCTCGTAACTTACGTGCCGATTCTGTGACGACCTCACAACCCTTCGAAAAGTTGCTGGATGCATATATTCGTTGTCTGAAAACGCTATGTGCTGATGACTAATTACTGGCCCAGAGAAATTTAAGCATGTTCCATTTTTCTCACTCTCCATAAACTGAAATGATGCTTTATCAATGTTTTTAACCACGATGTTTATTTATTCCAGATTCATCATGACATTAGATTATCTTCTGTTCTCCAACATCGTTGATCGTCTGCTCATCAATCTGCTTGGTATTTGCGTGTCTATGTATGCTCTTAGAATTGAACTGAAGAAAGAAGCTGATCCTACGTATAGAGCTGCGTGTGATTTTAACAGTAGAATGAGCTGCTCCAAAGTCCTGACTTCAAAGTAAGCACAACATGATAATACTCTCTAGAATACAAAATATTATTTCGACCTTTTCTAGAGTAGTGAGTAGATTGAGAGCACCGAGAGTCAAATGTTTTTTACCCAGTGTATCAACATGGTGACTCCCTGATTAAGGTGCTAGCTCACTAACCTGTCCGTCTTCATTAGTTCTTTAGAAAAGTAGAACGCTAAAAACTCTTAAATTGGCTGAACTCCAATAACGTTGGTGACGTTATAGAAAAATACACAATGGATATTAGTACAAGAATATTTCTAGTAGAGCTTAAACTGTTAGAATTTCTAACATCATATGCATACTATTCAACAATTCGTATATGATTAAAAGTTGATTAAATACGACAGTGTTGTGGTTTGCATAATATAACCTTATTAGCGTTCCTAGCATCTTTTTTGCAACCCGAGTTTAGTAATTAACCGGCAGATCGTTCTGCGGGGATAGTTCATGATCAATTTAGCTATCAAGGACTTGTTCGATTTAAATTTGTGTGTCGAGCTCAACTAAGTTATTGTGATAGCATGTGGCAATCCATAGGAGATAACTCCTGATCTAATCTGTTGCAATTCAGCCATTTTATTTTTTCTTCGTTCTGATTTAGGTTTATTTGAGAGAGTATCCACCCCAGGGCTTATCCGTTTCAACCTACTGTAATGTGTCCGCTTCGAGTCGAGTGCCCCCCCCCCACCCCCCGCAACGCTACGCTATCACTATCACTTTCTTTGGTCAGCATATACGCGTAGATAAAAAAAAATAATCTTCTTGATCTGTTATATTTTAGAAGGGCGTTTGATTTCCAACTTCTAATTGATTTCTTGCTGCTTAGTGAAACACCGTGACCGTTTCTGCTTGTGGTTTATCAATTTTATCAAAGCTCAGGGCGAGGTATCGGTAGCACATTTAAAAGAACTACTAAAGTGAAATTATTTGCCCGGAGGGAACCATTCATTTCTACTGCTGCCTGGCAATACATTTTACAGATTTTATTATAGTTTGGGTCACTGAGATGACCACTTATCCTTACGACCAGACTAGAAACCCTGAGATCTTAATACGCTGTTCCAATTGGCATACGTCATACAGTGTGTTATGAGGGAAATTTTGCCCGGACAGCGGCACTACGGCCTACTCTTATATCGAATTCCAACTGTCAAGGGATCTTTTACGTGCACGGGACCTCGGTTTTTCGTCTCATCCGAATGACTAGACAGCTGTCCTTGTCAGGCCCTCCGTCCTGCATCACTGACAAGGGGGAACCACGCCGGAAAATCTAGGTGAACTTTCTCGGCCAATGCAGGGATCGAACACCCGACCTCCAGGCTAGCGAGCCAGCGTCTTACCCACTTAGCCACCGTGACCCCCTCCGCCAAAGAGACCAACGAGTGGGGCAATGATGTCCAAATATTATGTAAACACAGATAGACGTCAGATAATTTTACCTCGTTATGCATTGATGAAAGTAAATGCTGAGGAAAAACAGAACAATTAACGGCAAACAAAATAAAGATATAATAGTTTAATTATAAAATGTATTTACTACTCATATATTAACAATCATATCATAATTTAATACCCAATCTTTATATATTTATTGTGCCATTTTTGTTTTAGGAATAAATAATACATGTAGGCCACATGGAGTAATTGTGGTTAAAACGTTTAATAATCATCGGAAAGTTATAGTAGTTGTCTCCCTTAACATCCCTCCAGACTAAGAAAAGACGCGAAAGGTCAAAGAGGAACATTTAAACAACCACTTTTATTTCAATATAATATATTTTATATCAGGCCCCGGTTTCACAAAGCATTCTCAGACTTAAGTTAAGAATTTACTCAACTTTCAATCCTTGTTAATGTTAATATGAGAAATATCTTTGATCCAACACAAAAAATTTGCACATAGTTTCTTACTGATGTATTTGATACATTTACATAACAAAAGTTTTTTAAAGGGTTATATTTTAGTTAAAACCTCGTACTTCATGTGGTCTAAACATGGGGTCAGTTGATAATATATGAGTTGCGATATGCATTATCTAGTATGATACAATACTAATAATTCTAACAAAAACACAACAAAAAATTAATAACATAAAAAGTTATATGGCACACATCAAAGGAAAGCGAAACATAAAAGAAAATAATAAATATATTTTTAAACCTTAGTAGACATTGAGTAATAGAGAAAACAAAAAAAATAATAAACTATACACAGAATATCAATTATCTAAACATAACCATCACTAGACATGAAAGCAACAAGTGGTTTTGTCATAGGCGTAAGGGCCAATCTCAGTTCTGGCGGCTGAGGCTATTTTCCCCCAAATTTTGTTTGTCATCCGAATTTTCAGAATGAATCAATCATGAACTAAAACGAGTATTCAAAACGTAGACCTCGAGTGATTTCCATTTACAATTATATTTATATGATATATGGTCTCATTCTCTGATGTTTGTGGCCGAAAAACGGAAATACATTGCCCGGAAAAGGGACGGTCTCCCGAATCTTGGGAACGGGTTGCGGGGATGTTCGTAAAAGAAAAATTATATTTATGACCTTTGTCCTCAAGGTATCAGCTTTTAAAGTCCAATTCCAAAGTAGTGACAGGTGCTGTACACGAGGTGGGGTACAACTTACATGTATACCACTTCACATTTGAGGAAGTCACATAGCTAACATGTTATATTGTACATGTTTGTGTTAAATACCAAATAAAATACTTTTTTTATTTTTTAAAAAAAAGAATAATAAAATTATAGTAGTAATGTTATGATAATGTAAAAATATAATATTGAACTTAAATGGAAATAAAATGTAAAATATAAGCCCTAAATATCTGCTGTGCTGTACTGTCACGGGTAGATAAACAGCAAAGAAGAAGAACACAAATAAATATTAAACAAAAAACAAACAAGTAAAGAAAAATGCTATCAGTTTTTAAAAATGGGTATTGCGGAATTTAGTACTTGTAATTTGGATTGTTATTATCGAACAGGTGCAACTCGAATTCTTTCTCTTTCATAAATCTTTTGGAATAGTTGAAATTTGCTTTAACATACATTATGCAAGAGCTAAATCTGTCTATTGCAGGTTTTTTTTTAAAGATCTGGGGCCGTATTTATAAAAATTCTTAGAGTTTTCATAACTTTTACTCTAAGACTTCCTAAAACAACATTTAGTTAAAAGTTACTCTTTAGAAATATTTATAAAGGGTCTTAGAGTTACTTTTAACTAAATGTAAGACTTGGGTCCTAACCAAACTCTTAGCGATGTAACCATGGGAAATCCGGGGATTCCCTGAAGTTATTTATAGCTCAGTGTTGATGTCATGCATTCACTCTACTCACTGTAGGTTGACTGACGCCGAAATCGTCACCACTACACAGTTGCAGTAGCGAGGAAACGAAGCGTAATGGCGATCTTCATCTCAGCGTCGATTGAGAAATTTCGTTTAGTAGGACTCGTAAGTAGATGCCGAACTAAATCTGTCACAAAAAGAATCCCACCCATGTCCATTCGATATCTCCTTATCAACTCGTCATTGTTGTACTCCACTAAGAAATCTCTTCTTGTTTTAAACTCTCTTAGGCGGCGTACACGGACGGCCATGTTAACCAAGATAAGAGTACTTTTAACAAGTTAGGAGTGCTACAGGAGGACTCCTAAATATGTGTCATAGTTAGGAGTAATTCTTAAAGTAAAATGTTTTATAAATAGGTCTTAGGAAAATCTACAAAGTTAGGAAACTCTTAGAATTTTTATAAATACCGCCCCTGAAATGTTATCTAAATTTTTAATTAGACATTAATTAACCTATCCAGACCATAATCAACTCTAGATGGCATCGCTAGCCTGTGATCTTTAGTGGATTATGAGCCGATTTACTGCATAACTTTCCTTCACGATTTTAACGATTAAATGGATAATCGAGACTATGCTGTTTATCGTACTGACTTTAGGAATGATGATCGAGGCTAGGCGGAAATTTCAATCGCTTAGTTCTCGGATCATAGTGAATCAATTTGGATGAAATTTTCAGCAAATTTCCATTACATTATCTAGATTTTAACTATTGTAGTGAGAACTGCCAACTCGTTGTCGAATCTCCCATAATGTATCTTTTAAGTAGTACTTGTAATTTGGATTTTCATTATTGAACACATGTATTAAACTCAAATTCGGTCTCTTTCATAAATCTTCGGGAAATCGGAAAGGCTAAATATCACAAAGATTTATTTTAAGCAATTTGCTTAAGTATAGTAGGCCCAATTTGTTATTTGGATTTGCATTATCGAACAGGTTCAAATCGAATGCCGCCTCTTTCATAAATCTTCAGGATTTCGAAAATGCGAATAATCACGAAGATTTATTTTAAGACAGTTGCAAGTTGCTTAACTGTAGTACTTGTTATTTGGACTTTAATTATCGAACCGATTCAGATCGAATTCTCTCTCTTTCATAAATCTTCGGGAAATCGAAAAGGCGAAATATCACGAAGAATTTTATGTATGTAAGGCTAAATATCACAAAGATTTATTTTAAGCAATTTGCTTAAGTATAGTAGGCCCAATTTGTTATTTGGATTTGCATTATCGAACAGGTTCAAATCGAATGCCGCCTCTTTCATAAATCTTCAGGATTTCGAAAATGCGAATAATCACGAAGATTTATTTTAAGACAGTTGCAAGTTGCTTAACTGTAGTACTTGTTATTTGGACTTTAATTATCGAACCGATTCAAATCGAATTCTCTCTCTTTCATAAATCTTCGGGAAATCGAAAAGGCGAAATATCACGAAGAATTTTATGTATGTAAGGCTAAATATCACAAAGATTTATTTTAAACAATTTGCTTAAGTATAGTAGGCCCAATTTGTTATTTGGATTTGCATTATCGAACAGGTTCAAATCGAATGCCGCCTTTTTCATAAATCTTCAGGATTTCGAAAATGCGAATAATCACGAAGATTTATTTTAAGACAGTTGCAAGTTGCTTAACTGTAGTACTTGTTATTTGGACTTTAATTATCGAACCGATTCAGATCGAATTCTCTCTCTTTCATTAATCTTCGGGAAATCGAAAAGGCGAAATATCACGAAGAATTTTATGTATGTAAGGATGTGCCATTTTACTTAAAAGTGGCCTTAGGTAAGATTAGATGAAGAGCTAACAGTTTTCGCTATAATGGTTACAAAATAGATAATGAAAATAGAATATGCTAAATATTTTCAGTCAAATCGCTTCACTCTGAACCTAGATATTAGCGTTTCCGTTTTATGCTAGCCTTGATCGTCATTACTACGGTTGTTACGATAATAAACAAAGTCTCGATTATCAAATAATTATGATTATTTCATCCACCAAAATACGTGTTCAAATCCACTAAATATCGCAGGCACCCGATGGCATCGAGAGTTAATTATGGTCTTGGCAAGTTAATTAATATGCATCATTAATAATTTAGATAACATTAATTAATGCCCAAAGAAAGACCTGTAATAATGCATGTTTAAAGAGCGCATAAAATGGTCAGAATATTTTTTCTGTACTTATAGCCAGTGATTACTATATACACTTTACGGCAGGTTCACACCAATCTGATTAATATTAATTGAGCCATCTTCACTCAAAGACGCAAATAAAGTCTGCCAATTATCGAAAACACTCTTAATCCACTCCAACTGTATCTTTTTAGAATATACCAAATAAAATGACTATTTGTTTTTTCTTAAAGAATAATAAACTAATAATAGTAATGCGGTAATACTAGAACATTAAACTTGGATAAAAAATAAAATACAAGTAAAGAAAAATGCTATCAGTTTTTAGAAATGTGTATTGCGGAATGTAGTACTTGTAATTTGGATTTTTTTTTACCGAACAGGTGCAACTCGAATTCTGTCTCTTTCATATATCTTCGGAAAATCGGATAGGCGAATCCATTATTTACTTGAAATAATGGTTTAATGTTCTCCGAAGAGTCCCCAAATCGTCTTAAAATACAATAGGTACGCGTAATAGAAATAATGCGATAATATTACCCATAAATCCAAATGAGGTGTTCCATTGAGAACTCGACAACTTGAAGGGATATTTTGTACACCGTATCTACCATAACTTTACTGACTTTACCAACTGAAACTACAGCAAGTTATCAAGTGTAAAAATACTAATAGTTTATTAATTTATAAGATCTAAATTAGTGTAGCTAGTTCATGGTACTTCACTGTGAAATCCATAGTATGGAATTTCGATCCTACAGCATTTATTAACTGGGGGTTTTGTGAGAAAGTTCCGATATCGATAGGAAATACCGTGTGTAATCCATGGGAATATTCAGGTTGTCATTAGCCGCTTCCATAAATCATTCTGATAATATAAAGCACTGATAGAACGAGATTATTTCTAACTGGTTTCAATCTGTTCTTCAATAGCACCTTTCGAATGACATACTGTGAACACTTGGGTTGTTTTAGAATTAATAAGTACCCGATATAAATAGGGAGAGTCGCGTAATAAGGTGAACATCAGGGAATTTGATATACTTTCTCAACCTGTTAACACAACGGTAAGGAAATATATTATCTATGAATTTATTAGCATATAAAATGGCAGACATGACCTATGGGCTTGTGGAACTGTAATACGTTTTCATACGGAAGATAACATAATGCGTATAATAAATCCTTTATTTACTTACCTGTGGTACTCAAAATCATGGAATATATAAACAATAACATCATGAAGCCCAACACTAGAACAAAAAAAATAGTATTGGGGTGAATTATGTCTATTCACGTTTTCGTTAAAAAAAACTCCTTTGGATATGAGTACAACGGCATACATTTTTATATTATAATTAAGGGAATCATTTTTATCAAATTCGTATATGTCTGAACTAGAACTAGGTTACAGCTGCAGAATTTGTACTTTTGTTGCTTCCGGGTATCAACCCGTGTATTTTCCACATTATTATGCTGACGTCCTTGTTTTTGCCGTAAGCTAAAAATCTACCGAATCACGTATTTTCATTATTTTACGATATTCAAGGATTCACAGTCATATAATATTGATCCTATAATACACTGAGCTATGGATGTATTGTCGCACTTTCAAGTAGTAGATCTCGAACTTTAAGGGTTAAGCTATTGGGATAATTTACAACAGATGGCTGAGCTTTGTTGTTGTGATTGCTCACATCTACCCCCTCCCCTCGTCGCTTCATGACAATTACAGAAACTATACCAATACAACTTTCTTACCCATTTTGAAAGATCTCGACCATTTGTCTTTCTGCAATGTAGTGTCTTCCTCAATTAACTTGGTTTTTGGTGACCCATTGCATATTTCATAGGTTTTACTCAATACCCCTGTCGGCATATCAGCAATTGCGTTGTTCCTCGGTGTGCCTAGTTGTAAATAAAAGATTTTGAATAGGGTCCTTTTCAGCGTAAAAATGGAAATTAAACGACATTCCATCGAAATATTTCAATTGCGTAGAGTATTTTGTAAACTTTCGGAAATAGGCAACCATATTGCGTTGGTCATTAACCAGTCTCAAGTGGTATGATTTGAAATTGTCCTCGTACTGGATAAGGTCCTAAAAAGAGCATGTTCTGAACATTCAAAATCCAGCATACACCGAAAGATTCAGATCGATTCTTAAGATCTCAAACCCATATTGCATAAAATAGGTCTTTTTAATTACCTCGTGACGTTGAAGCCTCTTCGTCTTTGAAATAACGGCTAATTGTAGACAGCTCCTCGTCATCTTCGTAAATCAGGGACGGATCGGATAACATTAGTGGAATATCATCCGTGCTCACGCTGTTTCTGGAAATTCGTCTGTGTTCATTTGGGCAGCGACAATCCAGACTACATCTCATTGGGTTAAGCTTTACTTTAGCCGCTATATCGGGGTATTTGTACTCCAGGGCTTGGACAAAATCTTTACTGATTTTTGCTGAAGTTCGGGTTAATTCATTCATCTTTTGCCATCTCGTAGTGATTGCCATCTTTTCATTAGTTAAAGAACGGTAGTCATCTGGTCTCAGTGTTACGCACATCTGATCGGCTATGAGCCTGATGTCTACGTGATGAGAGATGTAACAAAATTCGCATACCCTACTTCTAGGTCCTGTCACCAGTCTTTGCTTGACCTGTTTATAGAGATGTGCATAGGCTGGGTCAGAATTTAAAACTTCCAAGAACTCTTCAATTTTTTCGGGAGATTTCTTTCGTAAAATTGTGATTAATAGTCGTGTCTTACTTTCTCGTGTCTTTTCACCGCGAATGGATTCGTCTTCTCTTCTACCTACTATTTCTTTACTCACCAGCTTATCTAAGATGGGACCTGGATGGAGATTGTCTATGAAGTCAACCATAGAATATCCAAGTGCTGTGGCATAAGCTGAATCTAGAAAATAACAGCACAATTAAAACTGGCTCAATGTATTGAACAATACTAATATTCTAATCGATAGTAGTGTTCAAAGATTTAAAACCTGGCCACCAACAGATATTTTATAGAAATGGCGTAGATTTGTTATAATATTCTCTTTTTTACCAAAATTTCAAAAATAAGCCTCAATTCTCACTCCGTCTCCGAAATTATAATATAGCGCCTATTTGCCTTTTCTGAATGTTTCGGCTCTAAATATACGAATTGGTTTCTACACAGATTATGTACCAATTTTAGAGCGTTCGCCTACAATTTTTGTTGAGTTAAAAATCGACATTGTTTGTAAACTTTCTAAAACGCAGCAATAGCCTGAGAAAATCTAGTATTCGCTAGTAAGCAACAGCAACAAAAACCTAGAAATTATAGAGACGATGGATTTCCTTGTTCAGCCTTGCTGAAGGCTCGTATTTCTTTGAAAACTAAAGACAGTTGCTTGGGACTGAATTATATTATTCACTGGGTTGCGAAGTTCCTCCTGGTTCTTAAGCCTAAGCACAAACTATCGATTCACTTTCCATCATTAGTGATGGGGAACGACATGCTAACTTTTTCTAGAAAAGAACCTCTGGTGTAAAACATTGTAAAGGATAATCAAAGACAAGTCGATGTTATAGTGTATCTAATATATTATTAAGACAAGTGCACTTGCCAGAGATTAAATCATCGCTTTCTTCGTAAAGTAGTTCATCCCTTCCAATGTTTGGGCGATTCCTATTTTCAAGCAATTGTCGGATGAGATCTTCATTCTGTTGTAGTCTTTGCTCGTACATTGTCTTCATTTCTACTATTTCACACTTTAGACTTTCTATGCCTTAAAAATAATAGGGTTCCTTTACATTTTATATTACGATTAATTCCTCTGATATTTATTTTTTACACTCCAATCAAGAAAATACTTTATAGAAGCAACAAAAGAATTCTGTATGTTACTTATAAGAGATCCATTTGCTTACTTGAAAAACCACTATCCACCCTTGTAAGTCTTGGTGTTGATCGAGGAAAGTATGACGCTGAATAACAAGCTCTGTTATTCATGATTTCATTGGCGCTGTAACTTTTTTCTCTCTCAGAGTTCCATATTGGCGGGAGGTTGTACCTTTCCTCTGTTTTTTCGGCCAACAACATTTCGCTCCTCTCTACCCTCTCCTGGATATCCTCCAAACTACCAATAATACGAAGCATCTGTTGCTCCTTCTGAAAAACAAACACCTTCTTGTTAATTTTGTATTTATTTCGTCTAAAAAGGATACATTTATACTAAAGCCACAGCAATTGTTTTGCCAGGAAGAATAACATCTATGTCACACCGTTTTATTCCAAACGGTTAAAACCAACAACAATCAGTACCAATACAGGCAATTAGATTTAGTTAAAAAGTCGACGTGATCTAAACGAAGACTGCAAAAGTTAGTGTAGTATAAGATGGTAAATAAAATGAATCTGAAATGGTGATGGGTTTTGAGTAGTCTAATAAACACACTAAGGTTTCAGCGCCAATCTTATTAAGGCTTTGCGTACATGTCCCGTGTGTAATACAACCCAGAGGACACATAACAATCCGACCATTTCATCTGTAATAAAAGAGTTACAAGCGGAAAGAGAAAAAAAAAATAATTGCAAACGATAAGGTTTCCCTGACCTACACCAGCAACAGTTTCGCACCGTCATAGAAGGAATTCCCCGTCAACAAAATTATCTATCTATCACGAAGACTACCATTTTTGAATGCATAAGTGTAGCATATCTGGGTGTCAATCGCGGACCCAATTGATAAACAGTAGATTTAGTTGCCAGTGTGTCGACTATGTCTTAAACCATAAACAACATACCTTTTTTTTCTTTGATTTCCTGTTGAACGGGTTCATATTTAGCTTTCAGTTCTAAGAATGCCCTTCAATAGAACAGACCTTCAATAAAACAAATTTAACATCATGCATGAGCATCATTTTGTTTGCGTTATAAAGGCCAACTGGTAATGAACTGACGTTCTAGAACATCCGATACCACTTATCGTGTATTTGGACGTTCACATATAGCTAACAATCTCTAGTGTAATTTCCTGGAAATGAAATAAACTGACTATGATTATTGTCGAGGCCATTTTACGTTAAACCCCATGATCATTTCATCTTGAGGATATATTTTATTCGTATGGGTGTACCTGTACCATACCTCGGACTAATTATCATATACTAGCAGGATACCCGGCTTCGCCGGGGGGTCATAACTCCGAAACCGGAAGTGATAGACTAACGCCACCTGGCCTATATTACTCCCCGGTAGCCGCCAACCCCGAACAGACCGGCTTCGCTCGGGGGTCATAACTCCGAAACCGGAAGTGGTAGACTAACGCCACCTGACCTATATTACTCCCCGGTCCGAGCTACCCCTATAACCCAAATTTCAGACTCGGGGCAGACCTAGTGTAGCCGCCAACCCCGTACATACAGACTTCGCTCGGGGGTCATAACTCCGAAACCGGAAGTGGTAGACTAACGCCACCTGGCGTATGTTACTCCCCGGTCCGAGCTACCCCTATACCCCAAACTTCAGAGTCGGGGCAGACCTTGTGTAGCCGCCAACCTCGAACAGACCGGCCTCGCTCGGGGGTCATAACTCCGAAACCGGAAGTGGTAGACTAACGCCACCTGGCCTATGTTCCTCCCCGGTCCGAGCTACCCCTATACCCCAGATTTCAGACTCGGGACAGACCTAGTGTAGCCGCCAACCCCGAACAGACCGGCTTCGCTCGGGGGTCATAACTCCGAAACCGGAAGTGGTAGACTAACACCACCTGGCCTATATTACTCCCCGGTCCGAGCTACCCATATACCCCAAATTTCAGACTCGGGGCAGACCTAGTGTAGCCGCGAACCCCGAACATACCGGCCTCGCTCGGGGGTCATAACTCCGAAACCGGAAGTGGTAGACTAACGCCACCTGGCCTATGTTACTCGCCGGTCCGAGCTACCCCTGTACCCCAGATTTCAGACTCGGGGCAGACCTAGTGTAGCCGCCAACCCCGAACAGACCGGCTTCGCTCGGGGGTCATAACTCCGAAACCGGAAGTGGTAGACTAACACCACCTGGCCTATATTACTCCCCGGTCCGAGCTACCCCTATACCCCAAATTTCAGACTCGGGGCAGACCTAGTGTAGCCGCGAACCCCGAACATACAGACTTCGCTCGGGGGTCATAACTCCGAAACCGGAAGTGGTAGACTAACGCCACCTGGCCTATGTTACTCCCCGGTCCGAGCTACCCCTATACCCCAAACTTCAGAGTCGGGGCAGACCTTTTGTAGCCGCCAACCTCGAACAGACCGGCTTCGCTCGGGGGTCATAATTCCGAAACCGGAAGTGGTAGACTAACGCCACCTGGCCTATGTTACTCCCCGGTCCGAGCTACCCCTATACCCCAAATTTCAGACTCGGGGCAGATGTAGCCGCCAACCCCGAACAGACTTCGCTCGGGGGTCATAACTCCGATACCGGAAGTGGTAGACTAACGCCACCTGGCCTATGTTACTCCCCGGTCCGAGCTACCCCTATACCCCAAATTTCAGACTCGGAGCAGTCCTAGTGTAGCCGCCAACCCCGAACAGACCGGCTTCGCTCGGGGGTCATAACTCCTAAACCGGAAGTGGTAGACTAACGCCACCTGGCCTATTTTACTCCCCGGTCCGAGCTACCCCAAAACCCCAAATTTCAGACTCGGGGCAGACCTAGTGTAGCCGCCAACCCCGAACAGACAGACAGACAGACAGACAGACAATCGACAGTCCCAAATAAAAATATATAGATAGATTATATGATATACCCTATTCCCCGTAAAATTCAATTTCCAGAGAAAATCCTTATTGCGTCAGCTATAAAAATATTTCGTGACATGTATTCATTGAAATATAAAAGACCTTTGTTATAGCTGCAATACTATATGGAGTATACAATATGAAGTAACAAGATAGGGAATTTATATTTAGGTTGTATGAAATATGTATTGTTTAATTGTCGAGAGCGAGACATTAAATAATATATTGTAACAACATGAGGGCCGTGAGGCCCGAATGTTTTTACAATATATTACGCAATGTCTTAAGCTCGAGACCATTAAACAATACAGACACTTGCACGTGCTTTGCAATGAAATACGTCACTCGAGTTCAATATTCTACCAAGTTACGCTTGGCACATTTCCCGTACGATTATTTGAAATAATGGTACTCCAACATCAAAGGATGACGTCACATCTGTATTTTAAAGAGATATAATCTGGTTATTTAAATATTGTGGAAATTAAACATACATTATGCAAGAGCTAAATCGGCCTATTGCAGGTCTTTCTTTAGGCCTGGTATGTTATCTAAATAATTAATAGACATTAATTAACTTATCCAGACCATAATCGCTAGCCTGCGATATTTACTGGATTTGCTGCTCAACGCTCATTGATGAATAAATCAAAAAATGGATAATTGAGACTATATCTTTATCGTACCGACTTTAGTAATGGTGACCGAGGCTAGGCCTAAAATTCAATCGCAAATATTTCGGGTCAGAGTGGAGCAATTTGACTGAAATTTTCAGCATATTTCCTTTACATTATCCAGTTTTTAACTATTATAGTGAGAACTCCCAACTCTTTATCTAATCTTCCATAATGTTCCATTAACTTTTCGGTTAAATCGACACTAATGCTTGGAGTTGGGTGGGTGTCAGTTTATATGGTTATATCGGGCGTTTAAAATTAGATTGTATGCTTGGAAGACTTTATTTACTTGTAACGTCATCTGCAAATTTAGAATGATCTTATTTGGAATATAATGAATAATGGACAATCTGTAAAAAGATAAAATGTGTGAGGGGTGGGGTGGGTAAATGAGTGTGCTTTAGATCTTAAGATCTTTCATGGGGCTTCGATTACCCGCTTGAACGTGACCCATACTCGCAAACGAATTATTGAAATTAAATTGAACCATACCTAGTCCCCAATCGACATATGGATTCCTCCCACTGCCAAAGACACCTACACGCCTGCTAATTATTGAAATAAAATTGTAACATATGTTTGTCTCAAAAAAACTATTTTATGTCAAGTGGATTGTTGGTTATGGTTTGGATATGTTAATTAATGTCTAATTAATAATTCAGATAACATTTCAGGTCTAAAGAAAGATATACAATAGGCAGATTAAGCTCTTGCATAATGTATGTTTAACTGTTCGGATTCGAATTATACCTATTTGCCACTCTTTTCTAATCGGATCGTTTGGTTTCTGACCAGAGAATGGTTTACAAATTCTCGTTCATCTGTTCGGGTTCGAATTATACCTGTGCTGATCCCTTTAGAGTGGGTAGGTAACTCCGATCCAATAATAATAATAAAAACAAATATATAGGTTAATACCAATCTGATGGTTACTTACCCCTTAATGCTATATAAAACAAGATGTTCCGTATCAAATGAAATGAAACGGTGTTTGACGCCCAATTGTTCTACCTGGGCTAATGAAAACGAAATTTCTTGTATTTACTTTTTAATAAATATCCTGGAAGTCATTTCATCATATTCTGGAACGACGACGCAATCAAATGTGTGTTTATTTATATTGTGACAACAAATATACCCTTTCAATATTTTGGAAAGCCCGATAATCACACCATATCTATTTTGGGGGCTGTCGTGTTCCTTTTCTTATATGTTACTTGAGTATATGTATGTCATGGTGACAATGAAGACAGTGAAAGGCAACCATCTCGATTTTCAAACAACATCCGTGTCCGCAAAATAAAGTCTTGAATGTTATTTTTTTCGCATAACTGTCCGCCATCATATATACGTGTCCGTATATCGCCGCCCATGTCCGTCGTTTGTTCATATTTCCTTGTAATTGCATGCCTGATTTTTTAAAACTTGTACGTATGTAACGAATTTTGTCGCTAAACATGTTGAGGTGGTCTGAGGATGAATAAATCATAAAATAGGTCGAGGTCTGTGTATATGTATTTATGTGATTACAAACTTCTATTTTCAAGGTACAGTAAAGGTTTTGGTATAGTGGGTGTACTGTTTGGTGAAGATCACCTTCTTAATCAAAGAAACTGTAATTTAGGAATATTGTTTTATACAGTTCAGATTTTATTGGGTTTGTAGATGCTTTAATTATCTAATCTAACAGGGTTATTTTTATAATATCCATGTAATGTATCATTTTATACTACCACGTGTTTAAGAATGTTTTTCCGGCGTGGTTTCCCCTTGTCAGTGATGCAGGACGGAGGGCCTGACAAGGACAGCTGTCTAGTCATTCGGAAGAGACGAAAAACCGAGGTCCCGTGTACACATTGGCGTGCACGTAAAAGATCCCTTGACAGTTGGAATTCGATATAAGAGTAGGCCGTAGTGCCGCTGTCCGGGCAAAAAATTCCCTCATAGCACACTGTATGGCGTATGCCCGTCTTCATTAGCCCAGTTCGGAGCAAAACAGTAGGACGTTAAACCCCATTTCATTTCATTTCATTTCATTTCGTTTAAGAATGTAGCATGTAAGAGCTAAATCTGCCTATTGAAGGTTTTTATGTTGGCTTCAAATTTTATATAGACTATTTTTAGACATTTATTCACATGACAAGCCTATTATGAACTCCCTAGGCCAGTGGTCCGGGTGGTCGAAATTCAAATGGATTAGAATATCCGCGAGATTTATAAAATAAATAAATAAAGATAAAATGGATAATCGAGGCTTAGATCCGATTGTCCAGTACCGTTGCTACGATGATAAACAACTAACAACTTCGTCCAGAATAAAGTAATTTGAATGGAATTTTTCAACATACATGTATTTATTTTTCTAAAACTATATTGGTACTATTTTAGCAAGATCGACCAGCCCTTTATCTAAATCGTACATACTGCATCTTTAAATCGGAAAATGTAAAATATGTAATGTCTGCTTAGCGAGCCAAAATGAGGAAATGTTTTAAAGGGACCATCCCGAAATAAAAGTCCGTCAACGTATATAATGTATGCGCCAAAATATTGAACAATGGTGTATTTACCTTGTCTCAAAATGTCAACTCAAAATATTGAGTCGTGAGGACGTGAACGTCAAAACCGCTTGCGTATAACCCTTTTAAGATTTCAGGTCAAGTTTTTCGTTTGGTGACCTGATAATCTATTGCCGTTCCTTTAGAGATCTATACAGTGTATGATCCACGTGCTGTACTTGATAAAGAAAGGTAAATTTCACCGACACGTCATTTTTTATAGAATAAATGTCTGGTTTTATCAAGACACCGTATAACACATCTTGCAACACCCGTCTCCATTTCCTGTTGAAGACTGGTGGATTTAAGTAGGTTTCTACATAGCATCTTACGCACGACACTATCTTTGATATTATTAGGCGGAGGACTGGGAAGTTCTAACTAGCAACTCACCGCTGTGGAAAGTTTTAATATTTATTTCTCGAGAAATAACCCTAATGTATTGTAAACAAAACTGCCACACTCCAATTTATGTGCCAGAAACGTTTTAAACAAATAATCTAAACGACAGCATTTTTTGTCCTCGCAATAATAAAAGTAGTGAGACGGCGAGCTTTCAGCCAATGAAAATCTAGTAAATAGCGAATAACAGTAAATACACGTGACCTTAAGGATAATTTAATAGATCAATGTCGTTGTTTTGCTATAATATAATTAGGTCGATTTTTTTTAGCCAATCTCGTTGTAAATCATATTTCTAATGAAAAGAAAGTGCGCTCTATTAATACTGGTATTTACCGGTGTCGGCTAAAATGTAATAAGTGCATAAATGTGAAACTGAAAGATTTAGGTCAGCGATGACTCATTGGGTAGAGTGTCCAACTGACAGCTGCTTACCACTTGGCGATTATGTCACATGTGCCGTGTTTTCGGACCCTCCACCCCATCAGACGGACAGTTTTCCCCGATGCCAGACAAGCTTTACCCATCTTAGCCCCGTGAAGCCGCTGTCGGTAATACCTGACGGGCTTGTCCCCTCTCAACAAATTTTAAGCTGTTTGTAGCCTGTGTAAATGTGATGAATCAATTTATTATTCTTAAGAAAGTAGGCCTTCTCGACACTGTGGAATTAATTTTTGCATGCATCGTGTTTGTCCCACCACAGCTCCGAGTATTAAGATAATTTGAGAAGGGTTGGAAATGTTGTTTGATAGCAATGATATAGGCCTATATATAATCGAATATAAATATAGATAATTGCCAAATATCAAAATCAATCAAGGTGTGTGAAGCTATATTTTATTAGAGGCTCTCTTCCTACTGTAGTCTTTGCGTGTGTAGACATGCATACTTTGCATTGTCGAGTTCACCCTAATATTAACTGGTTAGAATAGATCCCGTAAGCCCACCCTTCCTCATCTCTAATAAAGTCGACACTGTAGCATCCATATAATATAACTATGCATAAATCAAGGCCCAGCACTCCCCCCCCCATACACTGCTTAATCCCCCACCCTCCATATAAGGTTGGAAATACCTTTTAATATCAATATACCCACAAAAGCACCCCTAATAAGGTTTGACAATGTAATAACAATTAACTGATGTTTTGTGGACAGTTATTTGTGTTTGCTAAATTATGACTTTTTGAAATTAATGCATAGGTATAATACAGGTTGTGTTCTAACAACTGGCTAAAATGTCCCTTGTTTGTCCATTCCCCTATTTTAAAAAATATATATAGACTACTTGGTCTTGCTCATAGGAGTGGTCTATGGGAGTTTTAAAAATAAATTATTTTTTTTAACATTATTTATTAAAGATAATTGGATTATATAGCAGGCAACCCCACTCTCCAAAAAAAAAAAAAAAAAAAAAAATACAAACAGATATAAATATTACAATCAAAACATAATGAAATTACAATAATAAATCAAATACATAAATATACACATATATATATTACATACACTCACACACATGTACATACTACACATACACTAATTCATTGATAATTAACATAAAACAACTGAGAAAAAATGTACCATAATAGACTAAAATAAATATGTATGCTGCACATGTCTGATATATAAAGAAATAGTTAAGATTTTTAATACATGTAGTTCAAAATATAAACATTAAAGTAGCTAAGTCTCTAACTCAATATCATCCAAAATCTTCAACATTGAAAACACGATTTATTTGTCAAATCAACATTCATGTTGTGATCTTACCGGAAAAAGATGGGCTTTTGATATCCAATATTTAAGACAAAATAAACATTTTACCATTTGTACACGAATCGTGTACCATAATGCGCTTCAGCCCCAGTTGTATCAAGAGACTCGAGGGACGAAGCTAGACACATTGCACCAAATCAAACGGCGTATATAGACTGGAATAACCAGACGCTAGAAATTTGCACTCGCTTGAGACTGCTGGCTTATTTCGCCGAACATAGATGATTTGAAATTGGAGTAAAAACGGAAACCATTGAATGTAAATCAATTTATATACATTCATACTACAGTATTATATGCGTTGCGACCCACTTTTGTCAATTTCTAGGTCTCAAGTGTTAGCGATTTAGCTCCTTTAAATATTACTGTAATGACTTTAATTGACAAAAGTACTGATTTTAATGAAAATGAATATGGAAAAAAACAGTATGTACAAGCTCTGTTGATAAGATATGAATTTATAGGCTTGAATCAGCATACAATAGGTATGTAAAAACAAATATACAAAGTTATTTTAAAATTTAATAAAACATGTTGATTTTGATTTTATAATTATACTAAATCATTCATGGACTAAAGTGTACAAAATATGCATAATGAATTTGTTATGGTTAATATATGTTATAGCGAGTTCAATGATAGGTTCAATATTAACAAAGATTACTTGAATTGTAAAACTGTTAAAAATTTAAACTCGACTAATGATACAGATTTAAAACATTAGTTTTACTATAAGATAAAACAAAATTATAATCCGATGGAATAACTTGATTTTCAAAATATCAGAAATAAGAGAGAAAAAAATCACTAAACTTCAGCCGATCATAAGGGACAGACACAAAAAAAAACCTGATGTAAGAGTTATAAACTATGTGAGAATGTAGCATTCAACTGAGGATAAAATCCATGCTCCCATATATTGCTTTAATTTTAGTAATGCCAGGTTAAAGGTGTAACAATATATAGTTTTTACATTCAACATTCTTCTTCATCATCATGATCATCATTATCATCCATAGCCATCTCTGTGGGTATAGGTGTGGAATTTTGACAGTCTTTACATCCACATAGATCTGTACAGGAAAGAGCAGCAACTTTACAGGAACATCTTTTTGATTCACCTTTGAAGCTTCTTCCTTTGTTCCTAAAGAAAATAGGAAATATGATAGAAAAAACATAATTGTATGTCACATGTGTGAATTTTTTTTGGAGCAATGCAATCTCTAAATGAAATCAAAATCTAAAATTGCTTATTTAAATAGCATTTCCGCCTGTAGGATCAATAATTTTTGCAGATCTTTTTACGGCTTAGACTAATTGCCTTTGATTTTTCTGTAAAGGCTATTCCAAACTATGCTCCCACAAGACGGCAGGTTTTGTTTTAGACCAATCACCGACGGAATATAAATTTGACAAAGTTCCATGGAACCTGACTAAAATGATTCTAATAAGAATGTAATTTTAAATATTATGTGCTGTACTCTATATTTCTAATATTACTTTATTGAAAATGATATTTCATAACCCTTGACATAGTAATTAATGACTAATGTAATTTGTTAGTTATGTTTCATAAAAAATGTTTTGCCCTTCACCTCTAGTTATGTTTCACAAGAGCATCGCTAACGCAGCAATATACGTCCACATTCCTGTTTTGTTTGATATGGTCCAGTTTGCATTGAGGGTCTGTGAAATAAAACTGGGTTGTAGGACTGCTATCAGTATAACATTTCGTTCACATTAACAGAACACAATTTTTATTTTAAAACAATCGATGTCTTTATTCTAAAAGCATGACGTTTTTTTTTTGTTTTTTTTTGCTTGATTGATAACGATAAGAGAATACTTGTGGAAACGTCGTGCTTTTAGAATAAACTAGTGATTGTATCCCATAAAAACTGTGTTCTGTTAATTTGTTCCCTGATCGCTAAATGCCACTTAAAGAATAACTAGAAATGGGCGTGGCTCTGCCCCTGGGGGTCGGGCATGCACCAAAAACAATAGGGATCTTCCTTGGGGTATAAGGAATAAGTATACCAAGTTTGAAGAAAATCCAGTAAGAATTGCGCCCTGTAGGCGACACAAAGACACACGAAAAGAAAATGGGCGTGGCTCTGCCCCTGGGGGTTGGGCATGCACCCCAAACGATAGGGATGTTCCTTAGGGTACAAAGAATGTGTATGCAAAGTTTCAAGATTATTAGTTAAGAAATGTGGCCTGTAGACGACAAACAAACAAATACTAGAAATGGGCGTGGCTCTGCCCCGGGGGGTCGGGCATGCACCAAAAACAATAGGGATCTTCCTTGGGGTATAAGGAATAAGTATACCAAGTTTGAAGAAAATCCATGAAGAATTGCGCCCTGTAGGCGAACCACAGACACACACACACACACACACACACACACATACATACATACACACACACACACACACAGACAGGGGCGACGGCATAATACGTTCACATTATGAATGTGGACGTATAATAAAATGTTTTGCCCTTCACCAGTTTAGGCTTCAGTTTTGTTTTAAAACTTGAAAGTTTGCCCACCACTGGTTTGCGTGAAACCATGTATTGTGAACAAGTACTTTATATATTTCTTAACAACAACCAACGTGAACACTCACAGCCTAGAAAAAATTTAAATACTAAGACTAAGAAAATAATAATAATAAAATAACTAATAATAACATACAAACATACCTTCGATTCGAACACATCTCGATACGTGATTGCAATGTTTTTTTCTTCTCCATCCAAAGTCTGCCACTGTTTTGAATATTCCACACAATGCCTCCAAGTGTTGCCGTTAAAAACCAGTAACTTGCGGGGCTGTGTTGCATTCTGATGAATAAGGCACTTCATTTTTCTGGTCAGAATGCCAGAAAAATGTGTCTTTGTTGACTATGTACGCCATGATTGAAGGATCGGGGATAGAAGTTTTCTTTATTTTGATTGGCCAAAATGGCACTCGGCATTGATCATAGTGCGTATTCCTACGCGTGTAATGTTTATTTTTTAGGTGATTAGGTTAAAAAGAATTCCATTTTTAAAAAATAATTATTAAATACTGGCACATGCTGAATGTGTGGAGATCTGTTTTTTTAAATTAGTACAAAGAGACGTGTAATTTAAAAAATTAAAATCCCCCACAGAGGTTGTTGCAACGAACTTGAACGATAAATTCCTTCGGTCTTTCGCCTATATGCAAATGTAGGATATCACGTGACTTATTAGCATAAACATTTGCTTTAATAGTTTAATAAAATATAATGTTGAAGATTTCCGTCAAATCACTTTATTCTCAGCGAAGACAGTTCGAAGATGTAGCGGCTTTTGTCTATTATCGTAGCAAAGGTACTTGACAATTCAGGCTAAGTTTCGATTATTCATTTTATCGTTAAATTTTTATATCTGGCTGGTGTTTTAATTCTTTTAAATGTAAGCCATCTGATGTTTTATCGAGTTGATTATAAGTTTGTCATGTGAATAAATGTCTAAATAATAGTTTATATAACAGTTGAAGACCTATTTTGAATATAGAAGATATTTAATTCTGTTTATATATAGAAGATATTTAATTCTGTTAATATTTTGTTTCAGCCTTTTTACCGAACCCAGCAGTATGTTCTAGATTATTATTGTGTTGTTCAATAGCCGGTGGTATAGGATCTGTGTACTTGGCGCTTATACTGTTTATCGTCTTAAAGGACGTCTGTCTCGTTTGTATAACTACCTATATAATCAATGGTGCTTTAATGTACCTGAATTATTCACTGTACAAGAATTTTAATATGGCTTCATCATAGTCAGTGGTGGTGTCATGATGTCAAAGTCAGTGATCTACAAAAACTCACATTATTGGTGAAAAGTGAACGATGAATTATTTTTTGACAAGGAACATTATTGAAATTCTTATTAAATATTATTACATAAAGGCCTAGTTGTTTTTTTCCTGTATCGGATGGGAGCATATTCCTTACCTGTGTCTAGTCGTTCGGATCGGACGAAACTCCGGCTTTCACCCTTGTGCGCGTTGACGTGCACGTAGAAGAACAAGAACCCTTGGCAAATGGAAAGTAAGAAGAGGCGAAAACGCAGATTGTGCGGGAGAAACACTCCTATCGTGTGTGATACATGTAATCGTAGCAATAAGAGGAGTGGCTGTGACTCAGTGAGTAAGACCTGAGGGTACCTTGTCGGCCGAGAAAGTTCATCCGGATTTTCCGGCATGGTTTCGCCTTGTCAGTGGTGTAGGGCTGAGGGTCTAACAACGTATAGTTTTTCGGTGGTAAGAAAAACTGATGTCCCGTGTAAACATTGGCGTGCACGTGAAAGAACCGTTGGTGATTGAAATTCGATATAAGAGTAGGCCGTATAGAGAAAATGGGGTTAACGTCCACTGAACACAAACTATGTCATTTCGTGACTAACATAAGGTACAATTTTATTTCAATAATTCGCTTCCGGGTCGGGTTCTTTATCAGTCGAGGTTGAGTATATTACCCTACTCCTTGTCACGAACATAGCCTACATGTTTGGTTGGATTTTATAAAACATATGTAAACGTCAGTGTGTAAACACACGGTGTTGCAAGGATATATCTCACCTTGGAATGTATAATATGCAGTATCATATTTCAAATTTCGGGAAAACCCTATAAATTTAAAAAGATAAATTATGACTAGCAAAAAAATAAATGTGAGTAATTTACTTAACAGAGCAAAGGAATGCTATTATCATATCTGTAATAAAACACGTGTAAACGTCAGTGAATAAACAGACGGTGTTCCAATAGGTCGCCCCTTAGAATGTATAATATGCAATTATCATATTTCAAATTTATAAAGATCAATTATGACTAGCAAGAAAATAAATTTCCGTAATTTAATTAATAGACCAAAAGAATACTATACTATTCAAAAAAAGTAGGGGATATTTGATTTTTAAGTGTTATTAAAGTCACCTAATGAAACTGACGAAGAAACAAATGACAAAATGAAATGAAGTTCACATTCATCGATTTATTCCAAATGATCGTTAGACTAAGTAAGGCACAGACTGACCATTATAAGGGTAAGATGATACCCGGGGTCAAACAGCAAAGTTACCACAGCATCACAACCAAGTCAGTAACGGGTAAATCCTCCTCTGTTTGCCAAACAAGCATTGATCCGACGTGGCATACTCCTAATGAGACGTCTAAGGTCATTTTGGTCCAGATTGTCCCATTCCTGTTGCAACGCAGCAGCAAGTTCTTGGACATTGGCAGGACGTTGTTGACGTTGACGTAACCTCTGTCCAAGCATGTCCCAGACATGCTCGATGGGGGAGAGGTCGGGACTCAGTGCTGGCCAAGGTAATGTGGTGATGTTCTGTTGTTGGAGGTAACCTGTAACGATCCTGGCCCTGTGACATCTTGCGTTGTCATCCTGGTAGATGAAACGGCGGCCATGACGTCGTTCGAACGGCACAACATGGACTGCCAAGATGTTGTCCCGGTAGTACTGACCTGTAACACGCCCTGCAACAACATGTAAAGCCGTTCTTCCAGCAACAGTGATGCCTCCCCACACCATAACAGAACCACCCCCAAATCGATCATGTCTGATGACGTTAACGTCTTGGAAGCGCTCGTTTCGACGACGCCACACCCTCCTACGTCTGTCCAAAAAATCAACAGTGAACCTTGACTCATCTGAAAACATCACATTGCTCCAGCGTCGATTATCCCAGTGTTGACGATCCCTACACCAACGACGTCTTGCCTGAATGTGATGATCTCTCAAACAAGGGATCACGCGAGGACGTCGGGCGCGAAGGTGACCCCTATGCAGTCGATTCCGAATCGTCTGGCCACTCACTCTCACACCAGTGTCTGTTTGAAGACGAGCGCTGATCTGATTTGCTGTGATGACACGATTTCTCAAGGCCAAGGTACGGATAAATCGATCCTGGGCTTGAGTTGTCGCCCTTGATCGACCTGAGCGTGGTCTGTCCTGTACAGATTGTGTATCACGGTATCTGGACCATAGCCTGCTTATGACAGACTGAAAATTATTCATCGTCCGCGCCACAACCGCCTGTGTTGTGCCGATCTGTAGCATGCCAAGGGCACGTAACCTTTCATTTTGGGTAAGCCGACGCATATCAAAATTTGTTTTCTGGTCACTAAAACAATTAAACTGATGTTTCCACCCTGGAATTCAATGCCACAATGACTGTAACATTCAAAGTCAGAGTCGTGCAAATCTTGGGTTGGACCCCCATGATGATCCCAAGCATCACCTGCATTCCATGCGGTAGCTATTGGTGCGTTTGGGCGTCACATGTAACTGGAAATGTTTCTTCTGTTAGGTTCTATAGTGACTTTTTTCGTAGTCATTTGCATATTTTAGTATTATGCCCCCAAAATCAAATATCCCCTACTTTTTTTGAATAGTATATTATTATATCTCTATAAAAAAAATTTTTTCACAATAATCGAAAACACTATAATTATTGCTTCATCTGGAAGCAAAGGGTATTAAAGAAAGGGTATAGTTTTGTGCGAACCACAGTACTGTGGATGCTCATGTCGCCATCGAGCACAAAAGTGGGTGGGGAATGTGGTCTTATAATATATGTGTTTTGCAAACGAATTCTTATGCCGTCCTGACCTTATTACAGATTATGCAAGAGGGCAAGAGGGGCGTAAATAAAATAACGAAAACTTCGCCTTTAGAGTCCATGGAGTCGCGGCCTACGAAGCGCTACATAAGACCCGGGAGGGGGGGGGGTCTCACCAAGAAAACCGCGTTTACCTGCTGTTCAAGGCCGTGACTACAATAACTTGAAAGCTGTCTTACATAGCATTACTTATGTAGTTTCCAAACAACAAATTAGTCAACCAGACATTTTTCTTCTCGAATTGACGAAGCAAAATGATGACCAAATGTCGTGCATAAAGGGGGTGGGTGGGGCGCAACTGGGCTGGTTTAAGTGTCGGGGTTACCTACTTCCGAATTGACTTCAGCTTCTGATATCGAGGTCCAACCCATCACTCCCTATGGATATATGTGACGAAGCAAGCATGGTGTGCTTATTCTTTCTAGTAAACCGGGAGCCGCGGAGGTTCAGTGCGTAACACACTGGCTCACTAACTAGGACGTGCGGGTCCGATCCTGGTGTAGGTCGAGAGTGTACTCGGGGATTTTTCGGCGTGACCGCCCCTCCCCTTGCAGGGGTGTAGGATACGCAACGGATACCGTCTAGTCGTTCGGGTGATCCCGTGTAAACGTTGGGCGTACACGTAAAACAACACTTGACATTGAATGCTACATCTTAGCGCAGCTTCCGGACAAAATTTCCCTCACGCTCATCTTCATTAGCCCAGTCGATGCAGCAAAAAAGGACGTTTGCCATTTCTAGAAAACCTCTTACCACTTTTTATTTGGGGAGTTAACATAGCTACGGTATTTTTGTTGCGCGTCAATATTAAAATATATTAATGTAGTTAGGGCACGGTCCAGTAATTTCAAATTACATACAAATTAGTTTGAACGTAACCACCAGAACGTAACAGTTATTTCTACACTTCATTAGATAAGCATTATTTGTGCATGATCTACGTCACAGATAAGAAACCAGGTTTGAAATTCATAAGTATTTAAATGACTGTCAATAGAGGTTGACGAATATCCATGTTATTTAAAAGGCCAATCCCGATAATATTTTGGAGAATAAAACTGCTTAAGTTTGTGTTAAAATCCCTTAAAATCCTCTACCAAATTGCCGAGCAACTAACCCAATATTTGTGATACTTTTTTAAACAAGTCTTAAACCTATCAGTCTTCATCTGGAAATGGAGAACGGTGCCACAAACTGTATTATGCGGCTTATGAATAAACCAGATTTTTACTTATAAAAATAATGTGTAGGTGAAATTTACCTTTCGTTATCAAGTACAGCACATGGGTCATTCATTGTGTAGACCTCTAAAGGAATGGGGATCGATTATCAGGTCACCCAACGAAAAAATGACCAAAAATCTTAAAAGGGTTACATGTCCGGATAAGCATTTATGATGTTCACGTCCAAACGACTAAATATTGTGAGCTGAATTTTTGAGACAAGGTAAACACACCATTCCTCTATATTTTGGCGCTTAAATCTCAAACGCACTCGGACTTTTATTTTTGAGACTCTGTTCAAATCGGGATAGTCCCTTTAAATATACCGGATTCGGTAAAAGAGAAGACGTCATCGCTATCATAAGCATGCAGAAGGGGGTCATTCCATAAATAATTATGAACTAAGCGGGGCTTATTCTGGGATTTCGATGCCGAGTCAACAGAATAAATAGGAATTATTTTCTCATCAACCATACCTGTAGCTGTATGTGTTAAAGGCTCTTTGGGTCTAGTAGTAGTAGATGTAGCACCGATCAGCATATCATAAAGTTGAGCGTGGGATCGGCCTTGTACCGTATTTTGTGTGACAGGGTCAGTGGCCTGAAGTTAACGATTCGCTTCCTTTTCTAGTTCTATTTCACGCCGTAAGTGTATTTTCTTACGTTCAAGACGAATCTGTGCCAATTGCTGTTCAAGATTCAATAATTCTGTTTTGGCGACAGCGTCCTTATCATTAAGTGGAGTGACATTGACAGGGCAGGTACCCCGGCCTTCTGATTGTGAGACTGGTCAATCTCGGCATTGTTGACAACACAGTTTTCATCATCCCCAGCGATAAAAAGAAGCTTATCTGCGGAATTTTCGTCGCCGGAACCGTCGGTCGCCTGTGATAAGCAAAGGAGCGGAGCTTACCGTTTTTCTGCTATTCTAGACGGTGAATTAAGCAACTTCAAAGTTTCCAATCGGTTTGCAACCGAAACCCTGCTTTATGCCGACCTGTATCCCATTCATCTAATCAGACGCTGCAGCTGCATTCACAAATAATAATCGATGCCCGAAAAATGTCGCACAAAGTTGAGTTGCTCCAGACAAAATGTTTTAATCCATAGTCAATTCAGTACAAATTCGTGTTATTCAATTAAAAGTAAAATTAGTGTTTTATAAGATTTCGGGCACATTATTTTGCCAACTAGATGAAATAATAATTTTTGTTTTCACTTTACTCGTCTGCCCGAAAAGTCAGATTGCCCGAAAGTTAGGGGGGCAGCTGTCCCCTTACCCCCTGGCCCGTACAAATATCACATATACCATATAATTTTTACAAATCTAATTAAAAATACCAGTATATGTTATTTTCGTTCGGTATATACAGTTGGTCACAAAATAAAAATCTGAAGACATTATGAAACGCTGGCGATATAATCCTTCCAAAAGAGTTTCTGTATTACAGGTTTTGATTGGTGGATTTATCACCCTCTTTGCATCACTACGTAAGGAAATATCTCTAGACATAGCGTCGGCGATATTACATAGACATAACCGGACGTTAAATAAACCTATTTCACACGTGAAATATACTCGAGTAACCTACCGGAAAATATAACAGAACGAAATGTTGGTGTAATTTTAATAAGACTGTTGTATTGCTTAGCTGTAGAACGGATATAAATATACTTATGGGAAAAAACGTCTTAAAGTACAACAGATATGGATACATTTCTGGGGTAGGAAAGGGGTGGGGATAATCTTCTTATGTGATAGTTTAATATTAGTGGGTGGGAATACTCTTTATATCTGATATGGTCTAATATGCAAGGGTAGGTAGAGGGTTACGAAATTAACAAAATACTGATCTTGCAACCTTCTGCAAATGGAAATACATATGAGCCGCACTCTGATTTCACAACTTGGCCGATTATTAGACAAATCTCCGTTGTGACAAGTTTTGGTCAATTTGGCGGAAAAGAATCAATTTGGGAATCCAGATTTGATAGATCTAACACCGTAATCCATAGTTATAATTGATTACTGACTACTTGTCACAATATCTAAGGTATTATATATAGTTAAACCAATATGGTCTCAAAGCACATAGTACCGTCTCATAAAATATATTCTCAGATACACAAACCAGGTTTTTCTTTCGCCATTATACAACAGTTTTATTTCTGAAATTGAAAAAATACAGTCTTCTAGTTGTTACATAAGGATTAGACATGGATTAAAAAAAGTAATCCATTTCACCAACATGGACCAAAATATGTACGAAGCGTAACGGGATAACCAGCAAAGGCACATTTGAATAAAAACGTGAACGTGTATATTATGAAGAACTTTTATTCTTTAAAAGAAATCAGTTTCTTACCCTTTGTCTAAATTCATAAAGTGCAATAAATTCATTTTCAGTTTTAGGAGTATATTGGGTACATCTGTATTCGCTGAAAAAGATTTTTTAAAAAAACATTCAGTGTGCACACTGAAATATTATTTTACTCTAGAAAGATTTCAAAAGCTTTGTAATCAAATCATGCAGGGAATTGTAATTGTACACTGATTCTTTTGCATGTCTGCAGATCTCCAAATCCAATGATTAATCTGCATTTTCGGATAATGTGCAAAAGATTGAATGTTAGGCCATACCTTTTTTTTAATATTTTTATTTTCGGTTTCTGGTCAAATTAGAAATCCATCACTCTTAGACAAATAAAATAATGATATCTTTTTTTTCACACAAGTCACCCATGCTTGATGAAGATTTTTTTTATACTGTGTGCTTAATTACGGAATACCAGTCTCTAAAATAAAATAGTATATGTTCTGACGATCGGGAATCACTCGATTTGTTGTGATTGAATCCCGTCCATTTCTTATTTCTAAATAAAATATAAATTACTTACTGATGGTATTATAGAATAACATACATGCTATCAATAACAGCAACACAGCTGAAATACAAGTGAAATTTGAAAAAATAATATGTGAAATCGTGACAGAAATAATGTCTAATAAGTGACCCTACATTCTGTCAATCGGTCGAAAACAATTTTATAAACCTGTAGCAGTAAAAACCGTTGATTTTCGTAGGGTTTTCTATGTCCAGGGCGGCTTTGAATATATCCATGGGAATTTGGGGTTATTATTCTGAGCTTTTTCTTTCGGCAAGAAAACATGATGCGGGGTTCGGGGTTATGCTTACAAAGTGTACAGATTATTCGTTCAATGTTCGTTAAATAACTAATTAATAAAAATGATCGTGATTTTTTGTCTTGATTAGAATAAATTCGATCAGAGCCACATTCATCCATGGCCGGGTCCGTAGGCTTCGAAATTATTTGGGCCCCTTGAAACCCTCTGTCAAATGGAGTACCACATCATCTTATCACACAACATTAATTAACATAAAGCAAATAGTAGTACCAAAATACCGGTACTGTACTGTAAAGTTTTTGGCTGGCCCCTGCTCTTGGTTGGCCCTAGATTTCAGTCTGGCCAGCCTTTAAGATGAATCAAATGCTTCGTCTCCGTGCTCCGTATCTGTTGTCATTGTAAGAATATCAGCTCACCTATCATTTTGTTCAACCAGTTTCCATTCGCAGTCGGGTTAACAGCTTCCGGGGTTGTACTTGTTATCGAATCTTGCATTATGTTGCGTTTTCTTCCATGACGTCTTTTTTGGGGATAATATTCTAAATATCATTATATTTGTGTGAGAAAACCAAGGAGACCAGATCAGATTAAGAAAGTGCAAGTCTTATTAAAAATAAAATGTTTAAGGTGTCAATCTTCTAGACAATTTCAACCGGGGGTGTAATTTACTATGAACAAATAGTTTTTGTCTAGCTCATACGATGACAGCAAGACAGCGAAACCAATAAAAGCTAAATGTGACATTAGTTCGGACAAATTGTACAAATAAAATGGGGTTTATTGTCCTACTGGTCTACTCCAGCGAGAGGGGAATTTTCCCTGGAGAACGGCGTTTCCGACTACCTTTGGTCGAATTTTAAATGCCATGGGGTATTGTAAGTGCTCGCCAAAGCGTATACGGGACCATGGTTTTTCATCACATCCGAGAGCTAAATGCTGTCCCTGACGAGCAGTGCATGCCCGATACCACTCACAATCGAAACAACGCTGACAAATCCAGACGAACATTACCGGGATCTAACCCGCGTCCCCGCGTCCATGGTTATTCAGCCACTGGCCCACCCACTGAGCAAGTGTGGACCCCCAATTGTGTAAATGATACTCACTCGTATTATCAGCTTGATTGACGTGTGAGGAACTGTCGTCTTGGTGTTCTTGATTAAATTGGTGAATCGTTGTCGATGTAATTGACGTTACTGCGTCGTCATCATCATGACCCATGTCATCATGTTGATCATCGTCGTCGTCGCCAAAAAAGTAATGAGATTTTATCATGTTACCCAACTGCATCCCGGGCTTCTTTTTAATTGTTGTCTTACTTTGACGTCTAGAAGGGCGACTCTGTTTATTTGGACATCGACATGCTAAACTCCCGGTGTCTCTTGTGAATGCTACCATTGCTGCTACCTGGGGATACTCTATGCGTAATGCTTGGACAAATCTATTTCTTACGTTTATTTCTTGAAAAGATGTAAGCGATTCCATTTCCCGCCATTTTTCCTTTTCAGATATGCTGCCGTTGCTGAAATATTTATACATACCATTATCAAGGGAAAGATTTCCAAGCATGGTGTCTGCAATGTTGCGAATATCCACATGTTTAGCTATAAAGCAACCTGTGCAGATCTTTGTGTTGGGTTGCTTTTTTTCTTTTTCGAGTTTCTTTTGAAGTCTTTGATACATACTGAAATGATCACTCTTTAAAACCTCCAAAAATCGTTCTATTTTCTCAGGGCGTTTTGTCGCTAAACTAGACACCAATCTTCGAATTTTTCTTATGTGCGTCTTTTCTGCTTGAATCGACTGCTCTTCGTCGTCATGAATAACTTCTTGGCTTAGTAGCCTATGCGTAATGTCACCCATGGTCAAATTACTTTTCAAGTCATTTATTGAAGAAAATAACACTCTGCTGTGAGGATACTCTGTAAATATGAATACGATAGGAACATTTTAGGGTCGTAACGTGACCGCCAATCAGTTGTTAAATAATGATGGTTCTACTATTACTAATAATACTGATGATGATGATGAGTTAAAAAAAGACAAAGTTTGCAAGCCAATTTTTTTAAATTTTGGGAGGGAGGAGGGGTGAACCACTAGCTATTTTATTTCCCTGACAGAATAATGGCTGTGCTTTATCAGACACGAAAAGACATACACACAAAACCAGACATATGACAGACTGATTGGGTCAACAAAACATTTATTTCATTTAATCCTGTGTGTTTATATATGTTTTACGGGATGAAAAGCCAGAATTGTGATGTAACCGATTTCTGCCACAATTTCGACAGACCAAGCGAAAATTTACATTAAAACTATAGTAAAAAAAGCACTTTCCGGTTAATTCAACTTCATTCAATCTAATCAGATTTTAATGCTTATTGCATCGAGTGATTAATTTTATTAAAGCGATAATTTCATATTTTTAAGTTATATTTTTAAAATGTATTAAAATAAAGTCTTAGAATAGATGGTATCTATAAACAGTCCTACCCTGTTAAAGAATAATCCTTTTAATTCTATAATTCACTATTGCCAGTTGAGAAATTGGCAAAAATATCATTTTCAACTTCAAATTCAAACGTTTGAAGATAGCTACCCCATGGGGGGAATAGAAAAGCAAAGGAGGTAATTGTGTTATTATTTCCGGTGTGAATGATTTTATAAGTGTGATAATGATACTTATGATCGTATAATAGTGAGTTGACAACCTATTGAGCAAAAGACATAGAAATAATTATGTTTTGACTTTCTTAGAAAATATGAAATACTCTCTTTAAAGAAGGGTAATAGGGGTGTATACATATATTTGAGATACCTGAAATCAGATCGTCTTCTCTCATTGTGTCATAAAAATCGATTTCTTCATACTCGTGAACTTCGGGAGCAGGCGAATCGGGCGTTTGATTCTTTAATTCGCTCAATATTTGTTTCATCATTACCATGTTCTCTTCCAAAATTTTTTCTGTTCTATCAAGTCGCTCATTAGACTGAGTGTGCATTTCTTTTAGCTGTTCAAATTCTTCTTGTAGACTTCCTCTACCTGAATGCAGAGTACACGTTAATTAATAATGCCCAGTTAATTTTCCTATCTACCAATCAATATTTATCTTGAAAATTGCAATTAATGGCAAGAGAACCGTCTAAGGTTACCTAATCTGATAGGCGAAATCTTAAAAACACTTTCAATTTGAAAAACAATTTCGAGAAAAACTAACAAAGGCAAATCTAAAAGATTACTTGGTATTTTTGAATGTGGCATCCGAATATCTGGCAAAGAACATAACTACATAAATATTAGTTTAACTTGCATTTAGGTCTTACATTCACATATTACAGAGAACAGGTCCGAGCACAACCTATACACATCAATCCGCCATTTAATTCCACATTTCTTTGTCTTAGCATCGTCGAATATCTGGTAAAGAACGCTTGAGCACAAACCTTAATCAATCCGCCATTTAATTCTACATTCTTTGTCTTAGCATCGCAGAATATCTGGCATAGAACATAACTGCATATATATTAGTTTAACTTACATTTAGGCCTTACATTCACACATTACACCAGACATATTACAGAGAACAGATCCGAACACAACCTATACACATCAATTTTTGTTCCCCTCTATTGTCTCGTCTCACCCATTTGCATAATTACAAACACCTTCCCCAACCTTTGGAACATGGATAGGTCCCGCACCAGACGTCCTCTTCTTCCCACGCCACGCATCTACCAATGGACTGGCCTCAGTTAAGAAATAGATTCCAACCACCGCCAGGCTTCTACCAAGCACCACCAGGCTTCTACCAACCACCACCAGGATTCAACCAACCACCACCTGGGTTCCACCAACCGCCACCTGGATTCCACCAACCACCACCTGGATTCCACCAACCACCACCGGGATTCCAGCACCGACCAAACCAGGGCCTACCAAAGGAGCGCCAACCAAACCAACGTCTACCAAAGGAGCGCCAACCAAACCAACGTCTACCAAAGGAGCGCCAACAACCCCAAGAAAATGCAGGTGTCGTGAAAGCCTTCTTTCAGGTCCTCCAATGCCTCCACCACTTGACCATTATGGAGAGTCAGGAGAATGGAACACCAACCAGAAGTTTCACTTGGAAGATCCAAGACCTGAATAAGTTCGTGAAGCCGGCCATGAAGACGCCTACCATAGCCACTACTATTGAGACATTGAACTTGAAATGGGCCAAGGACGTCGCCTCATCCCTGTCGACACACTACCGAGCCATGCTAGCGGAGAAACTGGAGTACTTGAAGTCACGTCACTTTACCAAAGATGCTGTACAAGAGTACTCTAGTCACGCCCTAGCATGGGCCAAGAAGTCCTACGGCAAGCGACTTCAGGATAGTGTGAAGACAGGGTTCCACCGCCTACTGTCCACGGTCACGCCCCCTCCCCCATCACCCATGCACATTACACACAACCTTCTCCGGGACACACCAAAACGATACACACCCAACAGGAGAAAATTATCCCCTGGAGAAGGCACTTGCATTAACACTCCCTCGAAGCGTGCAGCTAGATCAACCAGTTCGCCCCGGGTTGTGTCTGGCTCACCTACTTCCTCGGGATCTATATCGCCACTAAACGCGCTTGTCGACTGTCTGTCCACTAGATCGCCCATCATTCCTAACCCTAGAATCGCCACCAGATCTTCCACCAGATGTAGGCGATCACTCAACCTATCCCTAAAGAGACCTCACAGCTACAAAGGTAAAGACGAGAAGGATTTATGGTTCCTACCACCCGTCATGGCAAAGACCCTGGTTATTGGATCCTCTAACCTGGCTAGGATTGCATCCTTCCTCGGGGACTGGGAGATCCATAGCTATTCTGGAGCCAAGATCAGCCACATCAAACAGATACTCCAGAACTACATGGGTCCTGCACCAGAAGAATTAGTGATACACGTCGGGCTCAACAACAGGGAGGAAAGTGGGCCAAGGATACACGAGCAGATGCTAGATCTACTCAAGGTGACCAGAGCAGCTTTCCCAACAACCAAGCTCTTCGCCACACAGATCCCCACGTCTTCCCGACTCCGACAAGAAAATCCGATCGCCTACCAAAACATCACCAGCTACAACCAACTGATCTCCACTGCACCTTCACCAAACGCCACCACATTACCAACCTTCAAGGGCAAAATAGAACTGAAAGGTAACGACGCAATCCACTGGAGCCCAGACACGGCCAGAGACATCATCAACTGCTGGATGAGGAATTTAAACTAGGATTAGGGAAAAGGAATGAGAAGCCGTCTTTAGGACAGACAGTTGTCAATTTGAGCGACAGACTTCTCAACCCCCTAGAAATGAACATTCTTGATTAAGGCCTTAAATTCATCCCAACCCCCACAATAACATCCATAGACCCCATCACCCAGGCAACCGATCGCTTCCAAAGAACACTTTCGTTGACTTATTTTTTTAGGAACAAACCCGGCAGAGGTAAAAAATTATTCACAGCAAAATCCACATGGAAACCACCTAAAAAGTCATTATCACCAGCCATCCTAAAAACTTTCGACGAAATGAATATAGAAATATCATCCATTCAACCACAATCACAAAAACCAAATCTCAACCGAGCAACTAAAACGGCATTAAACACCCTTAAAAAAGACAAAAACATAATAATTAAGAAAAGCGACAAAGGCTCGTGTTGTGTCATAATGAATCGCGCAGACTATATCTCAGAGGCAGAAAAACAATTAAGTAATCCTATACATTACACTAAATTAGACCATCCCATCTTTAAGGATACCGCAACTTTAATAAACAACATCTTATATGAATTGCAGGATAAGGAATACATAACAGCAAAACAATATGATTATCTATCTGCTAAATCTGACTGCCGACAAAGACATCTCTATACACTACCAAAAATACATAAAAATCCAGAAACAGAATGGTTTATACCTAATAAAATACCCAAGGGACGCCCAATAATATCAGACTGTGGCAGCGAATCATACAACGTATCACAATATATAGACCATTTCTTATTACCCCTAGCATGCCAACACCCATCCTACCTTAAAGACACTAACGATTTCATTCAGAAAATCAAACATTTAAGAGTCCCCGAACACACCATTTTAATATCCATCGACGTACAAAGCATGTACACGAACATTGATAATAACACAGGTATTGAAGCATTTCTTAGGAACCAGCAAGCATCCAGGCCGGACGAAGAAATCCTCAAACTATTCGACATTTGTCTGAGGAGGAATGACTTCGCTTTTAACGACCAAGTATACCTTCAGTCTTCCGGAACTGCGATGGGAAAACGATTTCCCTCGAGTTATGCAAATCTCTTCATGGCGGAGTGGGAAAGGGAAGTTCTGCCACTCTGTCCATTAAAACCAGATTTCTATGGGCGGTTTTTAGATGACGTTTTCATAGTCTGGACGTACACAATAGACGAATTTTGGACGTTTTTCAACATTCTGAACAATCATCATCCATCTGTCAAATTAACTGCAAATGTAAGCCATAACAGCATAGATTTCCTTGATACTACCGTGTTTAAAAGTAGCAACACCAAAATCACAGGCCAATTGGAAACTAAAGTATTTTTCAAAGAAACCGACACACATCAATTATTGTTCAAAAGCTCCTTTCACCCAAAACATACATTCTCTGGCATCATAAAATCTCAGATTCTCCGTTTTCATAGGATATGTACTCAGAAGACCGACTTTGAGTCAGCATGTACAATGGTATTTAACAAACTAAGGGAAAGGGGATACTCCAAACGCTATCTACGACGTATGAAAAACAACACTCTCGCTGAGCTTGCCGCCAAAGAAACACATAATATACAATCAGCAGTTAAAACCAAAATTTGTGGCCATCCAAGATATCCGACCATTTCCATAACAAAACATCTGGCACAAAATTCCCAATATTAGACCAACTTTCATGCAGTAGTTCAAACATAATTTATCTAATTTCATGCAGAAAACGTGACAAGCAATACGTAGGGGAGACTCAAAATGCACTTAGGGAAAGAATTAACGGTCACCGGTCAGACATAGTCACCAAAAAAGACAAACTTGTCTCACCAACCGAATCATGACATTTCTGATCTTATTGTCACGTCAATAGAAAAGACCAAGAGCGACTTTGAAACTTCAGAAGGAATTAAAACGTTTAGGCTAACACAAGAAAAATTCTGGATTGACAAATTGAAAACAACAGCCCCCCTAGGTTTGAACATTCATACGGCTAGCGCAATAGCTCCTTTTGTAGTTCCATTTAGCGCAACAGCAGCAAGTGCCTCCAAAATCATCAGAAAACACTATACTGATCTCCAAGAAAATCACCCGAAAATATTCACACAGAAACTTATAATTGCATATTCTAAAAATAAAAATCTGAACGACATCCTAGTGCACAGTAAATTAGATTAAATAAGACCAGTCTCCACCCTGACCCAAAACAAACCATATATCAAATCCTATCCCTAACCGTTAGTAAATAAAATCAATTAGATATAAGAATCCCTAGCCCTAACCCGGTGATGTGGAACAAACACGATTTTTTAGAAAATCCAATCCGGAGAGCCTCAAATTTATTTTCTTTTTTCTTCAGAAACAATAATACCAGAATACCAGAAGCACCACCCAAGGAAGACCATCAGCGCCACCAACACCAATAAACAGTGAAATCGCCTTTGTATATAAATCTAATGTATTGTATGTATTTTTAATAAAACTAGGAAATATCACGAACTAATTTTTCATCATCCTAGGTCAGTGCTTATGTGGAGACTTAACCTCTCCCCCAAATTCTTAAACCTAACCCTTTCAAGCGGGGTACAGGTAAATTGGATCCAAGTTCAGTCTTCTAAAAAGGGTTAGGGATAGTATTCCCCAAAATACTCATTTAAACTCATTCCCGAACCTTCAAAGCCGGACTACAATTAGCATCTTCCCCAAGCGATAGTCTCCAATTCGTGAATTATGAAGTCCTGTCAAACAGCAATAGATGTACAAATGTCTAATGAGCAATACTAAAGAGCGTACTCATCCCAACCACAACAACAAGATTATCTAATGTATGTAACCAGCGCCTGGTTAAATAAACAATTACATCACAAACAAATTGATCTAAATTAATGCCTTACTAGAAAAGTATGCACTTTCATCTCTTGAACGCCGAAGATTTGGATGCATATGTATGTTTTCAACACTCGTTATATCGCCCGTACTATAGCTTCCTCTGGTAGGATTGAATGGTGGCACGTAACTAGCTTCTAACGGGCGCCTTCTCCGTTCTTCTTCTACAGCTTGTTCCTGTCGTTCTAGTCGTCTATTAATATTAGTTAAACTCTCCATTATATGTTGGTTTGTGTTGTCCTATTAATTAATAAATGAAAACAACAGTTCGACTACTCAAAGTATTATCGACATAGCATCATATTTTCATATGTGTGGCCTATTCTGTCTCAGAGTAATTCTACAAAATACACTGCACCACTTTAATTAAATGATCTTTAAAATGGTATGGATTACAGCATCAGAATGTACATAAGAGATTGTCATAGTCATGTGTATACCAATCTTTATTGTAAATTTATCTTTCTTTATATCTTTGACACAACGTATACAGGCTTTTCAGTTTATTGAATAAACATTGTTCAAACTAACTATACATATTTGCTCTACATGGATACGGTAATGGCTTACTTCTTTGGTTGAATTTCGACAGTATTCAGAAAATTGTAAAAGACGTTATTGACACTATGAAATTGAAGTTTTATATAGACTGATATAACTATTTAATTCAAGAACACACCCTTTAATGAACGCCAAATCTCACACGTTTCGTGTAAGGTAAGAATTGAACCCAAACAACAATAAACAGTCCATAAATATAAGTTAAAACTACGAACCTTTTTCTTTCTTCCCATCTTGAAAAAACTCATCTTAATGTTTCCGCCTTATCACCGGCGTTTGTATTATGTCGTTCTGTGCCCTTACCGTATTTAATAATGGTGCAAGGATCGGTATAGCCTATCACAAAACTGGGGTTTGTTAGGGAATATATAAATAGCTGGGTTGTACCTATAAATACATTATTCAGGTGAATGTGGGTAATTTAATACATACAATGGGGCGCCTGCGCATATTTGTCATTTTATTTAAAATATTAAAATGAGGTGAAGTATGACGAAAAGATAAATGTTGACAACTGAAGACTTTCAGCTAACAATGATGTGATATGCTATCAAATGAAATAATGTTGGCTATCAGATAAATGATATATACATATACCTGGACGTATTATTTTTATTTATTTATGCATTTTTCTACCGTAAACAAAGACGTACTTGTACTTTATCTACTTTAATACATATACATGTATATATATTTCAATAGACTAACTGAACTATAAAAGGCCGCAATAATAAGAAATATATTTAAAGTTACAATTTCATATTTTCTAAGAAAGTCAAAACATAATTATTTCTATGTATTTTGCTCAATAGGTTGTCAACTCACTATTATACGATCACGGGTTATCTTTCTCACACTTACAAATCTTCACACCGGAAATAATAACACAATTACCTCCTTTGCTTTCCTATTCTCCACCATGGACTAACTATCTTCAAACGTTTGAATTTGAAGTTGAAAATGATATTTTTTCCAATTTCTCAACTGGCAATAGTGAATTACAGGATTATTCATTAACAAGGTAGGACTGTTTATAGATACCATCTATTTTAGGGCTTTATCTTAATACATTTTAAAAATATGAAATTGTAACTTTAAAGCTGAGCCTACAACAAGAAAGGGTTTGCTATGTGAAGTAACAGGAGTAAATAGAGGCTCTGCCGAGGTTTTTTTTTACTTTATCGACGAGTGTTGATATTTTTTGATATCAAAAAGGACTCATAGGAGATTTATAGGAGATTTTATTTATCACCCAATCCTTTTCTTACATGGACAAATAAATAAATATAAGTCTTCGCTATAGATTTCACTTTTACTGAACCTGATTACATTATGTCGCAGTGATACATCAATTTTTGACAGCAATAATTATCCAACCATTGCAAAGTCCTTTATATTGACCCAGTGTTTCCATCAAGGGCAATTAAATAAAATAGTTCATTTTTAATTAAAAAAAAAGAAGTTACTTTTAATAAAAAATGAACTGTTCTTTGCAAATAAAAAAAGTAGTCCCCTTTTCAACTGACTAATCAAATTCATGTAAGCGATATCTCCTAGAGAGATTATGAAATTTATCACACAAGCGATACCTACTGAAGAATGTATTATTTGGTGATAATACACGTTACCAGTCAGCCCCTGGGATAGCTAACCGTAAATGGTGCAACGGTTTAGAATTAGAAGTCATGTCCGCATGCCACTAGCAGAATCACGCCTTGACTTAAAAATTATTGAGACAAAATAAATACACCTAACAGCAGCTTTTTGACGGGAGGTAACAGTGGCGTCACAAGGTGCAGCTGGTGTGTTACTGTACTTCTGAGATGAAATAGTGCCTCAATAAGTGACAGAAATACTCTATTTTTCGATTGGGATTTTTTTTTATCGGTGACGTTTCTTCGTCATGCACCCTCCCTCACAAACGAACGGTGGACACATATCAAAGTGTGTATGAGTGTGTGTTGAAGGGGGGGGGGGGCTTAAATATATAAAGTTTGATCCAAATTGGACAAGAATTATTGCCTCTGGTAGGTCCACAAATTTCGTACACAATTTACCTATTTCAAGTTTCATCTAAAGGGTCCACAACCTTGGAATAGACTACCTTTTACAACGTTTCCACTATTTGCGTAAAGGGGGGCGACCGGAACTTTCGGGCCGATCGTCACGAAATTCGAATTTCAAACATAACTATTGTGTAACGGTGATATATTTGAACAAAATAAAACAAAAATTACGTTCACCAGTGGGTCAATAAACTAAAAACGCGATTTATCGTACAATCAGGGAAAACATACATCTTAAATTTCGTTAAAATCGGATACAAATTGGAAACTCTTCAGACGCGATTTGTAGTACAATCATGGGCAATAATCCACGAAGTTACGTTCCGATAGGTACTAGTAACGAAGAGAACCACGTTCTTGGGATAAACACCTATAATTTCAAGTTTCTCCAAAACTGGAGAAAAACTGTGATCTGTCGGGTGTCCACAAACAAATATGAACGGACGGACGTAGGCGATGACATAACATGTCCACATGAAAATGTCGGCGTATAAAAAATATGAAAACTGTACTATTGTGCTGCCATGAACAGAGGACAGTTTCGCAAAATGGGGCATAACTATTAATCTGATTTTCCGAAAAGGTATTGTTGCCCTTGTCTTGTCATAATAGAGCTGAAAGTTTAAGAATAATCAAATGAAAACTGTAGCCTCTATACTGTTTACAAGAAAGTGTTGAGGGACCGACGGTCGGACATGGTGATTACTATATACGACCCATAAATCTACTGGAAAGGGACAATCTTCTCGTCTGACAGATTTATAGTAAATATTTCCTTATTTTTTCGTTTTGTTACTACAACCTAGTAACTTTAATATTTCATAATATTGTTTAGGGGGATATATAACTAACATGAAAATAATTATTATCTATGTATAACAAATAATTTTATTACATATGTATGTACAATAAACATACAATGGCTTTTTACATTATAAATTAAACAATATAATAACCCACCTAACAACATATTGATGATTTACAAAATATATACCAAATATTATTTTTATATAAATATTTAGAGTCAAACACAAAGATAGGTTGTCAGACAACAAAACATACGCCCACAGCAGCTCACAATTCATACTATTTGGAATCTTCACAACCAAACATCTAAATCCAGAAGCTGAAAGACATCATTTACCGTACCCATCACTTTTTGATTCTGATTTAAATTTACAATAACATGGAATACACTTGATTTAAGCTTATCTAATATGTGTACATGTATATATTGTTACTGGTCCATGAACATACATCAATATGCAATCACTAAGTGACTAGATTCATAAAAGATGGTTCCAGCTTCACAAACAGAACAGATGGTGGCATGTTCCATTTGTCATTAAAAACTATTCAGGTCTGTTATATCAAAAATCACTTTTGATGGGTAGTTTATCTTTAGATTTCGAAACGCTTAATACTGGTCTAAAAACACAGGTGATCTTAAAACTAGTTAAAATTTGTGGCCTGAGTGCAAAGGTGGAGCAAATAATCCAGTTTTAAAATAACAGCCTATCTTTGAGAAGGTTTTTCATAAAATCTGGCTTATCTTGGGCTTCTGAAGGTGTTGGCTTAAAACTTTAACAGGCTTATAACTTTAACAGACGAGATCAAAATAGTAAAAACTAGTTTGGCTTGTAAACGCCACACTTCACCAGTTTAAAAAAGACAAGAGTTTTTGAATTAGTTTAATTATAAGCGCCTGAATATCCTATTTGGTTACTGTCACTTCATATTCAATTGGACATCCATGGTCTAAGGTGGATAGAGTTGATTATATGGCATTGGGGATTGAGTGGCCATTTCTTGTTCAAAATCTTCCAGATCAGCTAAAGTTATATTTCCTCCACTAACCTCTAACCAATCAGCTAGAAGCGATGAGGACAGCGGACTTTGTAGATCACTGAAAAAAAAATATATAAATCGTGTATCAACTTAAAATTATTATATTCTTCTTGTGCATTAGACAATAGTACAAAGTAAAATTTGAATTTTAAAATAGTTTCATTCTTTTCTTTGGACAAAATTAGTCCTTCAGATGAGATGAAAAAGAACTCTTGGAAGTTGAAATTAGAAGAAGAGTAGGTGGAAATGCTGCTGCTGTCCATGCAAAATTTCTCCTACAGCATACTGTGTGATGTACGCCCATCTTTATTAGCCTGGTTGGCGCAGAAACTAGGGACATAAAACCTTATTTAATTTCTTTTGGACAAAGTTTGTGCATATATCATGTACTGATGCTAGTATATAAAACGTTTTATATGCTGATTCTGGGTTCCAGACTCTCCCACTATTGTCTCAATAGATTTACATGTGATTGCTCCTGTTATTTGAAAAAGGGCCCTCAACAGTAAGTTCTGGATGATAGAACCACATATCAACTAACTAGAAACCCACTAAAACACATCAACAAGACGAAACATGGACACTGCAAGTTCTGAGAATCATCTAAAAGAGGGAATGGTGATGTATTGGGAATGTAATGACAGGAATATACAGGACATAATTCTATGGATTAAATTCTCTAGTCTTTATCAAGTTCTGTGTGTTTCAAGTTCAGCAACTAAATGCCACTGAAAAGATGAAAGGGTCTTGACTTAATTTGTAACTGAATAAATGACTCACCTATTCGGTGCTGATTCCTGGGCTTCAACTAACAGTGAATCCAGATCCATGCCCACACCATATCCTGCTCCAGTACCTCGAGGAGTTAATGACAGTGCTGGTGGTAGAATATTCTCCAATAAAGACTTTGACATCTGTTTACTCAGTAATGCTATCCAATCTGGCTGACCACCATGACTTTGGTCGGGTGGAGAAAGTTGTTTCTTGGGAGAAGAGCAGTCTACTTTAAGATCTGGCACTTTGGATCTGTAAGGCAAAGTTTGACTGGTTGATGGACCCTCAGAGTTCCAGTTAGGTTGCTGTTCTGATGTTGAAGTGCTTGGATAGTTTGAGTGGATTGGATGACTATGATGAGTTGCTTGATCAGATTGGGCTGGATGATTGGCTTGATTAACATTTCCAAAGAATGGATTCTCATTAGTGATTTGCTGCGGATCAAAATAATTTTGTCTAAAATGATCAGCTGAACCAGAAACATTAAACTGATCACTTTGACTATAATTATTAGAAACATTCTGTTGTGGCATGGGTTGAGATTGGGATGTGTGATGAGGATGGGTTATGATGGAATGGGGGTTTGTATTATACGAAAACCCGATATTTGAATCTTGTTTAACTTGATTCATCATGTTCGTTGAATGTTGCGTAAAGTTTTGTGTAGACTGTGGGATGTCTAGTGATGGATGTAAACTGGTTTTAATAGAAGACTGAAGATCTTTTGATAAAGACATCAAGTCAATGTTATCTGAATTAAGGGAAGTAAAACTGGGGTCTGATTCGTAACTGACAGTTGAGTGTCCAGATGTATTGAAACTTGAATCAGTGAAACTGCTGTGATCGGTGGTGTTTGATTGGGTAGCATAACCAAGGTTTGGATTAGGCTGACTGACAGAATAGTTTGGGTTTTGTAGCATAACATTTGATTGGCCGGTTGATGATGTTGGATTAAATTGCATGGGAGCAGCCATTTGCGTTCCAGGAGTAAATTGGGTGTTACTGTTTGCTGGTAGCTTGTTTTGATCAAACCCAGTGGTAAAATTGTTGCTGAATTGTGAATTTGCTTCTTGAACATTGGTTGTAACTTGACTTCTATTTGCAAATGATTGTTCATATATCTGTTCACTTCCTGGCACCATTTGTATAACCGAGTTCGGATTTATTGGAATTTGATTACTTTGAGATGTTTTATTTGTGCTGTCATTTTGCTTTGCTCCAGGATCGTATGTTTGGGGTGGACTGTGTTTGACTTCTGTTTCTACTTGATTTGGTGGGGTGATCTCCCTTTCTGGTTTATGATTGACAACAGGGAATTGAACTGTGGTTGTTGCAGGAGGTTTTGGTTGTATCTGTATAGGTTGATCAGATCTCTTGTGCATACACGACCATCTTTTTAACATTTCCTTGTCAGCATCAGATAATATTACCTCATCAGCTAAAAAGAAAGAAAGGTAAGATAAAATTTCTGAAAAATTTTAAATTTTAGCAGAGACAGAGGAAGAGAGAGTGAGTGAGAGAGAGAGAGAGAGAGAGAGAGAGAGAGGGAGGGTATAAGCTTGGGATTGAAACCATGCTACTTGATTCAATGACAGAGACAGAAATTACAATCTAAAGCACCCACGTTAAGATCACCTGACAACACTATCCCCCAATCTACAATAAACTCTGACTTATAAAGTGGTCACAAGAAATTGCAGCTGGAGTTGGACAAATTACACAAGACAAAGATGATGACAATATACATGCACATTAAAAGTAGGCATAAAAAAAGAGGAATTTGACTCGCCACTTAAGAAAATTGACAGGACTGAAAAGCAGAATATGATAATAATGAAACCTAGCTCTTCAATTTCTAAATGACCTGAAGGTCAAAATGGATTTATACACCAAATGTAATGTTTACCGGTATATACATATGTGTTACTTACATTTACGATCTTTCAGACCTTTCATTTTTTTAAGTTTTAAGGCTTTATTCTTCTTTATTTTTCTTCTATCTTCTCTTTCTTTCTGTCTCATAGCAGCCGTCACAACTTTTGGTTTATCATCCTTGTCACTCACAGAATCTGAAGCAAAGATGGAAGGTTAAGGGGTTTAACTCAGAAACTGACATTCAAAACATTCTGAATTTCGGTAGGGGCAATCCTTACGTCCAAATTAACTATTCAACTAAGCATTAAAAAAAAAATCATATTGAAATCTTTTTCCTAAGTATTATGAATTTTGACAGGGTTTCTCCAGATTTCCACATGGGCAATCTTACCAATTTTTCAAAAATCATAATGAAGACATTTTCCTGTATTATATTTGACAATTTCATAACTCTATAATGAACAAGTAACCAATTTTGAAATGCAATATGATCAAAGTCAAAAATAAAATCAGTATAATACTTAAAGATACATTACGGGAGATTCAATAACGAGTTGGCAGTTCTCACTATAATAATTAAAAACTAGATAACGTAAAGGCAATTTGCTGAAAATTTCATTCAAATTGATCCACTATGAACCGAGAACTAAGCGAATGAAATTTCTGCCTAGCCTCGGTCATCATTACTAAAGTCAGTACGTTAAGCAGCATAGTCTTGATTATCCATTTAATCGAGAAGGAAAGTTATGCAGTAAATCGGTTCACAATCCACTTAAGATCGCAGGCTAGCGATGCCATCTAGAGTTGATTATGGTCTGGATAAGTTAATTAATGTCTAATTAATAATTTAGGTAACATTTCAGGCCTAAAGAAAGACCTGTAATAGACAGATTTAGCTCTTGCATAATGTATGTTTAATAGTATAAATAATGAAACATCTGTTTCTATATTCTAGAAACAAGCTAAATATTTTTAAATGCTGGTGTTTTTAGTATAGCCATCCAATTTCTTTTTTTGTTTGCCAAAATTATCTGTAAGTGTGTTTCCCTATCCAAATATTAAAATTCTTACCTCGTTTTTGACGCATTTGACAACTTAACAAGGCTTTTTTGACCAAGGCTTTTGTGTCATCTGAGATCGTTTTAGAGTCATTTACAGTTTTATTCTCTTTATCTAAAATTGAAGTTTGTGGAACTCCAGAGCTTTGGATCTCCATGGTCTTACTATCTGTGGAATATTTTGCGCTGAGCATCTCAACGTCCGATGGATGGGTAACATTAAGATTATTCACTTCTACAGAGGGTGGCGATTTCTCTGGTTTAGGAAAAACTGTATTTGAGTCAACTAATGGTGAAGACTTTTCAGGTTTTAGGTCTGCATTCGTTGTTTTTTCAGGAATTTGGGTACTAGGTAGCATATTGGTTTTAATGACATTGACTTCATTAGTTTCTTTGGGCGCTGGTCGTATGAAGGCATTAAAACTTAAAGTAGGTGTTCGAGGTTTGTGAAACTCCATTATTTCACCATAAATAACCTCTCGAAGTTTGTCTTTATCCATATACTGGAAGAAAGAGATATAAACTTGGTTATTTTGGGACTAATATCTTATATTTCTCAGTAGTCAAAATTTCCAGTCTTGACATAGCTGGCAGTGTAGTATTTTAATGTCAAAACTGTTGTTTGTACGTAATTGTGTACATCTGAGTTCCGGTACGACCTACATGAAAGATATAGAAAAATTATTAGCACCTTATTTGTTTTAAGACACACAAAGATGGTGGTGTGAAATCAATGGTAACCTATGTAAACTTCAAATAACTGTAGTTAGAACTGATGTTTTTTAAGAAAATTGCTTTAGTTTGTGTATGGTCTTTGGAAAACTTCTATTTAAAGATGAATTATCTAATAGGTAAATCTGAGTTTGATGATAAAATACATGTAGATAATTGAGACTTAATCTTGATTGTCAAGTACCATTTTTATGATAACAAAACAATCTACACTACATTTTGTGAAGAATTCAAACACTAAAAATTTCGACTGAAATATATTTATTTTTCATTATCTATTTTTGAACTACATGTATTATAGCAATAACACAACAGCCAGCCTTTTATCTTATTCTTACACAATGAATCTTTAACAAGCCCAGCTGTCTGTATCATTCAGTAATTATACATGCATATATGCATTTATTTCAGTCTGTTTCTATTTCAATAAAATAGGAGCCACAGTAGTCCCGTGTTCGATTCCTGGCAAGGGACAACATATATTTGTTTGGCGTGTGTGAAAAAACATGGTCTTGTGTACACAGTTGGAATTTGATATTAAGAGAAGTCTATAACGCTACTGTCTGGGTAAAATTTCCCTCATAGCAAACTGTATATTGTATGCCTTCAGTACCCCAGTCGGTGAAGAACAGTAGGACTTAAAACCCCATTTCATTTTTCCATAAAATAATACATTATTTTCACCCCTCTTCTATTCAAGTAATATATGCATGCAAATTTTTTATTCTGCTTCTAAACCTGACATTTCAAAATTAATAGCAATGTATTCAGCTCACAGTGATAAACTTTTAAAACTTGAAATTACCTCTTTTTCAAAATCAAATTTAAACACTGGAACACAAACTGGTTCATCATCTGGATCGTGATATTTAGATAAATATGGATGCTTCATGGCATCAACTACAGTAATTCTCTGTGTTGGATTCAATACTAACATCTTCGATAATAAATCCATAGCGTTTTTACTAGCTTTAGGAAACAATGTCGTCCATGGTATGGCCTCCTTATGACCTATAGCTGTAAGAAATAAATAAATAAATTATTTTACTCTAGTAAACGACTCTTGATATAAAAGAAAGAATAACATCCTGATTGAAAAGAAAAAAGTCTCATAAAACGAGCTCTAAGCATCCTCTAGACACAGCACTTTGTTCATTTTGAGACTAAACGTAGTGGAATTCTGATCCTGGGAATTTAGGCTATTTGCAATCTGATTAAATGACAGAACCTTTTTCATTTCGTTTTTTATAGTTCAAAATTTTGTTTTACTTGTCTTCACTACAGTAGTGTAGGCCATCGAAAGTATAAAAAAACGAAACGAAATACAGATCTGTATTTTAATCAGATTGGGCCATTTGTCAACTAGTCACACTGCGCGTACCCAGATTTTCATTATCTAACATTTGATTAAGAAAACAAAACAATAATATAAACAGTAGATAATCTCCCGGGTTGGTTACGATTGGATTAAAAAACAACCGGTCCAAAGATTTTGCCCAACACTTCTTCATATCGTATCTTTGCAATTATTGAATGGAACTAACAATTTTGGACTGACAAAATCCTTCAAATTTAGATTACTAATACATTTAGATCCAACTTGTAAATTTTCAAATATATACATATACTGCATTCTGAAAGAGAAATGCATTCATTACTTACTTCTTAACATTTTTCTGATGACTTCATTTTGACAGCGTTTAAATACAGCGGTAGATGGAGAACCAAGCACACCAATAATCAGTTTAATCTGTGAGATATAGTCTTTTCCTGTAATATATAAATTATCAATCCATTAATACTTGTATTTTTGAGTGACTGACATCTATTTTTATTTCCTATCATCACAGGGATGCTGTATGATTTGTATCAAATTTTGCACATCAGACAGTTAATAGAGGCCAGAATTAGGTAACCAGAAGGCTTTGTTAGCGTCAATTATAAATAATTTTTATAATAAAAACAATTGGGGTTTATTATCGCATCAACACAATACTTCGATCATTTTCAGACAATCTTCTGGTGTAAAATGGATAATTTTGGCAGCCAGCAGTGATTCTAAGTTTTCTTCTTTGATTTCTACCTGTTACAGATTCTTTAACTTGGATGGCAATATATAAACAGGTGGGCACACTTTCCTTATCAGCCTCCCAAGGTGTCATCCCCAACAAGTGATGTCTAGCCTTGAAAAATTGTGAAGGTCAAATATTTTCTAAGCCCAATTGTGCCAGTAAGAACAAATTTCACCTGGGCAGCAGCAAGGACTATTTTACATGCACTAAAAGTTTTCCATTAGATGACTCAATGGGTTCCATATATTTTCATCATGGACTGTATAGTAGTAGAATCCAGCCACCACCCAAATAAGCTATTATTACCGGTATCCAATTGATATAAATTAAAATGATTTGGATTTTTACCTGGAAAAAGATGCTTTCTACCCAACATTTCAGCAAAAATACACCCAACAGACCACATGTCTACAGCGGTACCATATTCTATCAAAGACAAGAGAATTTCAGGAGCACGGTACCATCTTGTAGCAACATATTGTGTCATAAAATGTGATGGTTCTTCTGGTGATGCAAATACTCCTCTGGACATTCCTGAAAAACCATAGAAGTACGTCACTTTAGGTTCATTTTACATGAAATAAATGGAAAGTAACATTTTCTTCATCTTATTGAAAGAGCTTCACAGCTTTGAAATTTCTTATTTGGACGATTTAGGAACAGTGAATTTTATACTTGTGTTACCATGTCTATATTGGCACACTGTACCAAGATCTCCAACTTCAGTTTGAATGTTGGATTAATAACATCCTCTAATATGCAATCATGATGTGATCTGAAAGACTGAACTTTCGTGTGTAAGTTAAATGTATATGTAATTGCACAAGTGCTACACATTCTTTTGAGCTGTGATACTAGAGGTTGAGAAAATGTGGTCTGAAATCAATGGTTACATGAATAATTCTTTCCTACAAAAGCATATATTTTCCTCCCCATGGTTACATAATGGAATTACCTACCAAAATCTCCAATCCTGACATGACAATCTTCATTCACCAAAATATTTCCAGGTTTCAGATCCCGATGAACAACTTTCGCAGAATGAATGTATTTTAATCCTCGTAATATCTGATATAAAAAATATCTCGAATGTTCCTCACTTAGTTCCTGGTCAGAATAAATTATTTTATGTAGGTCGCTCTCCATCAAATCAAACACAACATAAATATCGCGAAAATCCTTGAAGTCTTCCTTTGGTTTCAATATTTCACGAATACAAATAATATTATCATGTTTGAAATGTTTTAATATTTTGATTTCTCGATGAGTTCTTTTGGCAATCACTAACACATCAAACACATTTGGAATCTTTTTAATGGCTACCCTGTCTTTTGATTTCTTATGGATGGCAGAGCACACTACACCATAGGCTCCAATACCAATATTTTCGATTGGCTTATATTTAGTTCCTTCTAAATCAAACTTAACATCAAGCGACCGTTTTTCCATGTGTTTGCGCACCATCTCCATGGCTTCTGTTTTATTAACAATGGACGATGAAGATGTCATCCTGAATTTATGAGTTGATTCTCTGTCAAAGTGCAAGATTATCTGAAATACACATTAAAATTGGATTCTTACTTATTTGTTTTCCCCAACAGCAGAGTGCCAAACGATCACCTTAGTTACTTTTACACACAATTTGACTACAAACCTCAATAAAAACTTGAATTAGTCAGCCAAAACATAGACAAAAGCAAATCATTAGAAAAAATACCAAATGAAGCAAGTGATTGGATCCAGACGCTGCATGATATAATTGCTTTTCATACTAAAAGATAAGTATTATTACATCTATGGAACATGCAGTTTTATAGAATGATTCATTAAGCATTTTAAAAGCCTGAATATTCAAGACTAACAGACTTTCAAACCATACATTACATGTACATACAAAAATTAATCTTACCCTAAAACTAAAAACCTGGTATTTTCAAAATCTACTTAAAGGAGCCAAGTCTTTAACTCGATACAGTACGTAATATTCGAAATTATAAACACCCTATGAGTATGACTAGAACACCCTATGACTGAGTTATAAAGTGTAACCATTATTTTAATATAGTAGTACAGGCCCAAAACGATCATTGAATCTGTACTATTACTTCAGTAATGAAGGCCAGGGATGTGGTCGGGTAGTGTGTGCACGTAGAATCAGAAAGTCTATCGATTCATTGAGTCAAGTGGCGCGGTTTCGATTCCCCGGCTTGCACTTGCAGGTGACAAGGACTCAAAGGCAAAGAAGAGTCAAGGAGTACAGTCAGAGGAGGGTCGCCTGTCCAACCTCGTGGGTTTTCTCCAGGTCTTCCAACGGCACTGCTAAAGACTCCTACACACAAGGGAATTACTGAAATAAAATTGAACCATATATATATATGTTAGTCCCGAAATGATCTAGTTTGTGTCATAAATGAAGTTTATTATAAATTTATAGTAATTTATACTATTTTAATTACTCACTGATCACATTCCAACTTCGTCCATTCGGCCTGCGAATGAAATGTTTCACTCTTCTGTGCAGTGCTAATTTTTAGGCTTCTGCAATATATTTTGAAAATTATTCGGTTTAACAATTGTGCGTCATCTAACGCTCCCCTGCGCGTAAGTGATCGCCATTTCAATACACCTAATGTTTTTATAACTTATGATATTGTTACTATTTTTAGATTTCTGTGACACGTTTTGTAATTTTTCAATACAAAAGAGTGAGTAACACAAGTGGGAATAACTCTAATGTTCCGTTGCAGTCGAAAAATGGATTAGCCTCCCTTCTTGCAAGTAAGTTTCATGTCATGGGGTTTAATGTCCAACTTTTCTGCACAATCGTGTAACGAGTGGAATGTTTTCTCGGGAATGTGATTTAACTGATAGTTTTTCTGTAAGTAAGATAAGATAAGATAAGATTTTATTGCATCGAAACATCCATTTAGGACAGCATACAATATAAACATGTACATAAAAATACGACAATTATAGTAGGATGGTGTCGATATTTTAACCAAAAAAAGTATATGATAATAATTGATTATAACCACCCATCTATCCAACCTATCTCCAGGCGTAGCCTATAATGGCATTTTATTTATTTTAATTTAAATAACACACATAGTTATTACAATGCATGCATGTTTCTTAAATATGTACAAATATATTTTACTGTGGTAGTTTGGATATATTCTCATAACGATGGTATGCAAATTAGAACCTAGCGACCCGAAAGAATATATCTTTGAAGATTATGTTTTGACATAATTGATCCACTAGTCATCCATGCCAAGCAAATATCAATATTACGTTTCTTGTGAACTTTCTTTTTACCAAAGTATATATGAAAGGCACTTATACTCATAGGCTTAAGTCAATCAATCTGGGCATCGTTCTTTGATATTAAAGTACACACATATTGGAGAGAAATACGATAAAACATGTAGGCGTTTGTTGACAGATGTTTTTGTTTATATCTTTTAAAAAGGTCAACATCTTTTAAAAAGTTATTAATTATTTCTCGATAAAAAAAGACCCATCCCACCCCCACCCCCCAACCCCCCCCCCCCCAAAAAAAAAACAACCTAACAAAACAAAAAACAATACAAAAAACAAAAAAACAAAAAAAAAACCCCAAAGCATCGAAACTATAGCAAAACCCGCCCTTAAAGGGACAATAACACACTTGCTGGCTTGACAGCTCCAAATAATCCCCAAAACAACCTTATTCTAAGTACTAGATGTGTTAGTGTCCTACCTGTTGTGTAAATTATCCATTAAATCCTATTTTACTTGTCCAGAGGGTTCAAAAATATTTTTAAATCCAAGACACATTTGAAAAGCTTTACGTCAGGCTTTTCAAATTATTTAGTTGAATTTTTCCAATTTTTTAAATTAGGTGTGTTAAGATGAAATTTGTATCATCAATTAATTGGAATATTGTAAAATAGTGCAATTTGTTGACCAGAATAAAGATTGTGACATATTATTCAGTTACAACAAGAATGGTATTGAGCCTTTAATCGCCTATCAATATACTGGCTCGGTTTTCTTGTCCCAACCATTGACAGATTGCATTGTCAATGCGGATTATCTCCTGTGCTATTAAACGTCATTGATTTGATAATTGTTTAGCGGTATTTAGTAACCGGAGAGGAAAATCGTTACTAATATGAAAGTGCATTGGGTTTAACACCCTTTTTGAACAAACCGAGCTAATGAAGACGTGCGGGCTATGAGTGACAATTTGCTCTGCCAGCGGCGCTTTTTTCAATATCTACTATGAGGGGATCTTGAACGTACTGTCATTGGTATACAAGGGACCTTGGTGTTTCGTCCCATATCCGATCGCCTGGAGGCCTTTCCTTCTCCGGTCTCAAAATCTCCACAACTGACAAGAGGAAACCAGACTGGAGGTTAGAAATCTTTCTCGGTAGACACGGTTATGTCTAAATCCAACTGCAGATTTGGCCAAAGGCCACTAGATGTATACAGGGCTAGCGCAAATCCTAACCTTTACCCTAACGCTAAACCTAGTTCTAAGCCTAACCAACAATCTCGTCAACAACCACGTGCCCTAATCCTATTTACATCCCGCGACCTTGACGAAATCTAGACCTTACTAGGTGTACACCAGAATGGACGTAAGACTATTGGTAGATTTTTTGCTCTTTAAATTATTAATAGCATTTTATCGTATCTTTAACTAATTATTGGATTTACACATTCAGATCTCATGCACTCAAATAATAAGTGACGGATTTCGACATAAAAAGACTTTTAATTGGGTAAACATTTAATTCTAGGTTAATAACACAATACGTGTGACACTTCTGTTGTAAGTTTCCACTGTCCATAAGGGTGGTTTTCGACGTCATTAGGCTAATTAACCAATCTTTATAATTAATTACGTTATATTTGATCAATTAGATAATTGAAGGTTCAAACCCAAAGCTACAAGACTTTTCAGTACTTTTAGTGCTTATAATATATTGCGAATTGTATACGATTCCGGGTTTGATTTTAATGATAAGTTAGTTTCTTTTCAGGTGTAATTTCAATGCATGGCCAGTAGAGTCAGATGACGAACTAAATTGACCGGATGTTCTTACTGTACATAAATTTTGAAGAAAAAAAAACATCTTCGAAAAATCTCTTCAACCCCACCCCCTTTAATATAAATGCAGATAAAACTAACCCCACAAAAACAAGCAACATGCCCCCCCCCCCCGATTTTCTCATTTGAAGCCTCCAACCAAGGCTGAGAACCGCGGTGGCCCAGTAAGTAAAACGATGGCTCGCTAACCCGAGGGCCTGTTTTCGATCCCGCTGAAAGTTCGTTGGGATTTTCCGGCGTAATTCCCCTTATCAGCGGTGTTGGGTTTAGGGTCTGGCAAGGGTCAACGTATAGTCGATCGGATAGGACGAATAACCAAGATCCCGTGTACACATTTGCGTGCACGTAAAAGAATTCTTGACAGTTGGTATTCGAAATAAGAGTAGGCCGTATCGCAGCTGTCTGGGCAAAATTACCCGCTTAGCACACTGCATGACGTATGCCCGTCTTTATTAGCCCAGTTGGTGCAGAACAGTAGGATGTTAGTATTGTTACACCCATCTCATATCCAACCAGTATCAATAACACAGATAAGGTAATTAATATAGCTGTTTATTTTAGCGGTTTAAAATTAGTGAATGTCATAATGCATCATAACTGTAATTACATATTTCTACGGGCATTTTTTTTCAGGTTTTAATGACTTTCAGGTTTACTTATTTGGCATGAGAAATTACCCCACCCTACACTTACAATATGCAAATGTTAAATGACTTACAGGGTTACTTATTTAGCATGAGAAATTACCCCGCCCTACACTAACAATATAAAAATGTTAAAATTAACACGTATTAAGAATGCAGGGACCGGCACATGGTGAGTGGCTGATTTTCACCATTTTGTTGATGTATGATGAGTAACCCCTCCAAACCCACTGTTTCAATATTACAACGATCGAACCATTTTAGAGTGTAGAAGAAAAACAAGAAAGCGTTTGAGATTATTTAACGATTTGTGGAAGATTGTTCCACAGTTTAGGCGCATTCATTAAGAATGATATGTATCCAAATAATTTTACTTTCCACCATGGGCAACACAACTGATGGAAGTCTGTTCGGCCGGAGGTTACGCGAGGGAGTTGTTTATGCTTGCATAAGTTTAGATAGGTATTTTTGAGCTAAGCCATTCACACACTGATACGTCGAAGACAGAACTTTGGAGATTATTCAGTCAATGAAGTGATTTCAGAACAGGAGTAATATAAGAGTATTTTGATGGTCTGGTAACAATTCGAGCTACAGTATTTTACACACGCTGATTTTATTGGCACTAGATGATTCTACTAACAAGTTGTTACAGTAGTCAAACCGTGAGAATACCAAAGAACATATAAGTGTAACAGCTGCTTCCTGGCTAATCAATTGTCTTAATATGACCAAGGTTCCTGGACTGAAGATATAATTTTCGACAATTTTCACTAATGTTACTATCCATGCTTGAATTGGGCCTTAAAATAACACCTAAGTTTTTCACAGTGTATTGCATCTCATACATCCAACCATATCATTTGAACTTGTATTTTTCAGATGTGTATTTGGACCAAATAAAATACATTCTCGTTTACTTAATTCAATTACATTTAATTTCAACACATTTATTGTCATCCTATCTTTAATGTCACATTTGATGTCAGAATAATTAAGGAAATGAAATGAAATGGGGTTTAACGTCCTACACTGCTTTGCTCCGATCTAGGCTAATGAAGACGGGCATACGCCATACAGTGTGCCATGAGGGAAATTTTGCCCTGACAGCGACACTACGGCCTACTCTTATATCGAAATCCAACTGTCAAGGGATCTTTTATGTGCACGCCAATGTGTACACGGGGTCTCGGTTTTTCGTCCAATCCGTACGACTAGACAGGGAGAACCACGCCGGAAAATCTGGATGAACTTTCACGGCCAATGCAGGGATCGAACACCCCGACCTCCAGGCTAGTGAGCCAGCGTCCTACCCACTTAGCCAACGTGATCCCGAATAATTAGGGGATGGAACAGTTTTTGAAAGGAAGTAATTTGCAATCAGCATAAGAATGTCATCCTAGACACCATGATTATCGATTAGTTGTCATCTGTTAACATCCAAACCAGTCCCATTATCAGAAAATCGCTAGTTTCTGGGTTTCTTAACATGGCATTTGGCGATTGATAAACATATTAACAGAACACAATTTTTGTGAGAAACAGTCACTGGATATTTGTTATGTAAGCACGACGTTTCGACAAATATCCTCTCATTGTTGTGCTTGATAAGAATGAGGGGACACCTGTCGAAATGTGCTTATATAATAAAACCAGTGATTGTTTCTCATAAAGAATTGTGTTCTGTTATGCGTTTCCTGTTAGTTCAGTTGACTTAAATTTTCAGAAGATAAAATATATTACAAAATATACTAAACAACAACCCGCACCCCCTGCAGTTGATACGCAGTACCGACTCTCATCTGTGAATAGAACTGTTCTCCATTGCCTGTGTCGCCAGTTCTGGTGTTGTTGGGCAAACTGTAGACGTTCACATCGATGGCGAGAGGTGATGATCG